GCCGGTACGAGCTCCGAAGGTGCTAAAGTAGGCTGCAGGAGTTGTGGTGAGAAGGCTGAAGAAGAGAATCAAGAGGGAGCAATCCCGGAGACTGAGACCAAAGATCAATGTCCCCACCATGCCTGTGATGATACTGATCGCTAATGTTAGCAATGCCATCTGCGCGTGTAGGCTGTAGTGTAAATGGACTGTCACGCACGGAAGCAGATTGGTACTCATCGTGAACCAAACAAAGAAGACATTGATGAAACGCTTGTCTTTCCTCTCCTCCAGTGGCACAGGCGTTACCCCTCGGAGCTCAATGCCCCAGCTGGCGATCTTTCCAAGCCATCCCTTTGGTGCTGGGCTATAGTCTTGAGACTCGGAGACGCCCACATCCACTGATTTCTCTGCAGTGCTGTCGAGGTACTTTTTGTCCTCCTGGTTTCTTTCTTCCATGGTTGAAACAACAAGGCAAGTGGCGAGAGGACTGACGTGTTTGTTTGGCGGTTGAAATGAATCAATGCTTTAGAAGGATTGAGTTTCTTTGTTTGGGACGGGTCTCATGTGGATGAATGGGGTATCCAGGGGTTTTTAATGAAGCGAAGCTCTAACGAAATACTCTAATTAGAAAAGAGAAGAACCTGATAGGCTTGCGTCTGTTGATTGCAGGCAACGCACGTGTTTCAGCCGAGATAGAGTTGTGATGAATCGCAACTTCTCGACCCGCGGCCCCGGAGTCGGTTGAGATTAGAGGACCCATTGAGAAGATAACAATGATGAGGGATGCTTATCAATTTGATTGCGTCCGGCTGGCAAAAAGTCTAGACACCATCCCAGATTTGGTTGGTGAAGTCAGATACGAGATGGATCAAAGATAGCATTTTCCAGGATGCTTATCAGGGCCCATCCGGCTGGCAAAAGATAATCCACTTTGACAAAGCCCACGAGAGTTACCTCCTTGTCAGCCGTTGTGCGTGAATATTGCGGTGAAACAATTCTGTAGCACCGTTGTGTTTGTTTGATTTATCGCTGCCACATGAATCATTCCCCGAGCCGCCTGTAAAAAGTCAGTCAGAAGGTGATCAGAGGGGATTAGCATTAGCTTCAGTCTTTCAAACTAGTAAAGTAGCTCTGGTAAGGGCAAGTTACTGGGAGAAACCATTTTGAAACAAAATTTAGGATTTACTTAAATATACAGATGATGAATATGATCAAACAAGAATGCAGATTGTTGTCATTAGACCAATCGCAGGCCTTTTGAGAGTACAGAAAGATTTTGATGGATATCAAAGCTATTTACAAGATTCAAGGTCAGACTTCGCCTTTTCCAAATGGTCCAAGAAACTGGCATGAAAGCCATCCCACGTATCCTCTGGTATGGGTTGAAGTGTCCCACTCCGCTCAAGAGCAAACTTAGTTAGACCCGTATGAGCTGAAATGTGCATCATGAAGGCCATGGCCCCCTCTCCGATTCGTTGCGGCTGTAGTTCTACAGTCGTCGCCTCCTTCCATCTCGAATATGACTCCCCGTGTGGCATATAGCTTGGTTCATAAGTCAAGCCTCCTGGCTCAAGCTGGGTCGCAGAACCAGCCCATTGGCCATACATCATCCCCATAAGCTCAGTCGCTACATTGCGGTGGTAGTATGGAGGCCGGAATGTGTTGCGAGTGACGCACCACTTGGGAGTGAAGACGAGGAAGTCGCTTAATGAGACTCCAGGGATCTTGGATTTGGCCGTAAGGACGCAGTAGATTGAGGGATCACTTTGATCTCTGTCGACTGTCGCGGAACTAATAAACTTCTCCATGGCGTATTTATATGGAGCGTAGTTCCCATGCCACGCGACCACATCGTAAGGTGTATGATTTTGTTCATACACAAATAGTTCTCCGGCCAGCTTCACCACCATCTCCCATGTGGATTGATCTATATCGAAACTGGCCACGGGAATTTCAAAGTCTCGAGGCAACGCCATGCCGTTCGACCCAATTGGGCCAAGCTCTGGAAGCTCATAGTGAGCACCGTAGATCTCTTGGATGTATCCGCGGCCAACGCCATCTGGGAGACCAACAGTGAATCTGATTCCTGCCTGAATAACAACAAGCTCTCCGGGCCGCACCATCATTTTTCCAAACTCGGTCTGGATATCCAGGCGGCCTTCCTGGGGAAGAATGAGCATGTCTCCGTCGTTATTGCAGAACGCCTTCTTCTTCATTGACGTATTAGCCAAATAGACGTGTACAGCAATGCCCTCCTTTAAAGTAGGGTCACCATGCCCGGCGATTGTCTTCAAGCCTTGAACAAAATCAACCGACGCGCTCTTCTTTGGTAGTTCGAATTTGGACCAACCCAAATCCTGCGGTGTGAAGTCCACATTTGTGTTCAAGGGAGAAAATATGGCCTCCAAGTCTGGATTTTTGGGCAACTTCTTGAATGGTTTATGTGCCACCGAAGGTCTGATGCGGTAAAACCAAGCGTGCAGTAATGATGCACGGGGAGAGATGAAAGGCGTTCCATTCAGCTGTTCTGAGAAGAGGTCGTACTTGCATCTTTGGGGCGTGTTACAGCCTTGAGGCAGGGCTTGAGGCAGAGCTTCTGTTGCGAACCGGTTGCCAAAGCCTACTTGATAGGTATATGGATCGGCGGCTGATGGTGTTGTTGTGAAAAGTCCCTTGGCACTGGCCCCTGTGAACGGCGTTTCCGTTGTAGCAGCCATCATGACTTGGTGGAGGAGGAGTGTATGAGATGATTATCCCCAGCTTGGCGTCGATAGTTTGATCGCTCACGATCTTTCACTATGTATATTCAAGTTCTCGAGTTAATATCCAGGGCTTGTCCCCTAAGACGAAGCGAGTCTATGATGGCAGGGCGGAGAAGCCTTATCAAACTTGCCGGTCTCATCCCTTATCTTGCCGGCCGGCCGGATATCCTTAGCAAACTCTGAATGCATGGGCATGAACGAGCTTATCTCCGATGATACCAGATCTCCGGAAACAATCTGTGCCCCAGACAAGGCCCCCGGCATGTGGCAGTTGTCAGATGGGGCCTCATTCCATCGGCCAGTCGTAAAGACACTCGATAGCGCTTGGAGAAAGCCAATCGCAATGTCCATATTTCTCACCATCTGAGGCTCATTTAATCCAATGATTATACCATGATTAGACTTTCATGTCCAATGACAGGCCTGTAACCGCGATCAACATTACCCTTCCAAGCGAGCTCTTCTTGACCATCGGTTAGGTCTACAACAGAAAACATGTTGCTCAACATTCCACTCGCGTATGCGGCAATTGCCCTGGCGTTGATGGTATTGGCACCTCTTCTCCTACGATATGTAGGCCACAGCAAGAAACTACCGCTTCCTCCAGGACCGCCTGGGGAAGCTCTCTTGGGTCACCTTCGTGTTATCCCGACAGACCATCCAGAATACGCCTACACACAATGGGGGAAAGATTACAATTCCGACATCTTACACTTCTCTATGCTAGGCCGCTCCATCATTGTCCTTAACAGTGTCCAAGCTGCCCGCGACCTAATGGACAAACGAGGAGCCAACTTTGCAGACCGTCCCCGGTTTGTCTTGTTCGAGGTCATGGGCTGGGGCATAACTCTCACTTTCCTCCGCTGGTCTCCCCGGTTCAAACTGCATCGAAAGCTATTGCAGCAGTCATTTACCCAGTCTGCGTGCAAGGCATACCGCCCTATCCAAATCGATGAAGCTCGCCGCGCATCCAGGGCTATCTTGCGAAACCCAGAGAACTGGGAACTGCTCTTGCGCCAATTCTCCACTGCCGTCGTGCTTCAAATTGGATTCGGAATTGATATCCAAGAGAAAGATGACCCATATATCCGCATGTCGATCGATGTAGAAGAGGCAACTGGAGAGGGAGGTGTTCCTGCGGCAAGCCTGGTCGACTTCTTCCCTTGGTTGAGATATCTTCCGAACTTCATCTCAAGTATGAGCAAACTGCTGAGTCCATTGGTTCATGCGCGTCGTACTAGGGCATCAATTCAAAACCTACACGACGCTCCGTGGGACAAGATTGAGCCCTCGATGCGAGCCTCCAAGGTCACTCGCCCTTCTTTCATGCTGACACATTTTGGGCGTTATCTTGAGAATGAAGCCAAGGGTGTCCCAAATGAGGCAACAATTGATGATCTGAAGGGCGCCGCCGGGGCTATCTCCATTGCTGGAGGCAACACGACCTGGTCCACGATTGTTGTATGCGTACTAAATCTCATTCTTCATCCAGAGGTGCAGCAAAAGGCGCGTGTTGAACTGGAAGACGTGATCGGTACCGATGAGAACGGAGACCTTCTACGCCTCCCTGAATTTGAGGACCGGGCTCAACTCAAGTTTCTAGAATACATTATCCAGGAAACGACGAGATGGGCACCGCTTTCACCCCTCGGAGTACCTCATGCAACCATTACCGACGAGTGTTACAAAGGATATCACATTCCTGCTGGATCAGTGGTCTATGCCAATGCCTGGGCCATGTCACGAGACGAGAAGGTGTATTCGTCTGCTGATGACTTCATTCCAGAAAGATATGCTCCTGTATCCGATGGTGGATATGGGGAGCCACTGCCCGATGGGCCCTTTGGGTTTGGAAGAAGGGTGTGCCCGGGGCAGTATCTTGCACTGTCTGGCGTGTATATCATAATTGCGACCATGATAGCCACCATGGATATGAAGTGCCCGGTTGATGAACATGGAAATGAGGTAAAGCCTAAGGTTTCTTTTTCCAATGGCCTAAGCGGAGTTCCAGACAACTTTGGGTGTTCAATTACTCCACGATCGGAACGGGCCAGGGAGCTTCTTGGATTTGTGTAAGGAAGGGGCAGGTTTGACATATGACTTTGGGTTACTTTCAGACTCAACAGCACTCAAAAATAACGAATAGGAAAAACAAGAGAATGAGAAAATGCGTGCTATATTTCTAAACAAGTTCAACTTGTGTCATGTTATTCTCTGAGGACGTTGCACTTGGTGCATTTCGTCGACCAAGAAACATCACAAAAGCCTCCCAGCCTCGCTTTTCGTCGACAAATAACCATCATATACAGTGCCAACTCCGATCCTCCTATAGCCCCCTCCTCCCAGCGTTTCTTGAACCACGATGACAAGGTAGCTTTTCGGATAAACTGCATTCACTGGACTACCTGACCCATGAGCCCCAGCTACGACACAGTAGTTGAACTCAATTTTGTCCTTCTCCTTCATATCATACCACATCGACCCTACCTTCTTAGTTGCACTATGGAGAACCTCGATAGCATGGATAGCCTCGATGGTATACTCGTTGTCTCCATTATTCTCTCCCAGATGGCAATTTTCGAATTTTCTGATCTTGACCTCAAACTCTTTCCCGTCTTGGCCGAATCCTAAGTCCAGGGATTGAGGTATCCTAAGGTCATATCGAAACTTATCTATGAATTCGATGCTGCCATCGTACGCCATCCAGGACCAAGATGGGACAGTCCGTCGCTCAAACTTGATCGGTGCTGTCATTTCTTTGGCAGTGCGTTTCCACAGCAGCAAGCTGCCTATGAAGCATCGCACAATGCCATATCTCACATCGGTGGCTAGTTCACGGCCCATGCGCTCAAGCAGGCTTCGTATCGCTATGTCTCTATCGGATTTGTAGGTGAGCCCGCATTTCGAATATTCCTCCAGAAGGAATTGGATAAACTCGAGGCAACGATAATATCCAGCCTTCTTTAGTCGAGATGGAAAGTATGAGTCAATAATAAACGTCTCCTTTCCAAGTGGCCTAGAGATCGTTAGCAAGCCAAAGGAGCACTGCCAACACTGGGTATTGCTATTTTCAAGCAGAGACTGCAGACTTACACACGTAGCTGTGAGAACTGCTGGCAACGGACCCCATTGCCGCATTCCCAATATGTGTGCGCCGCGTTGGGATGACTCTCAGTGAAATGGATGGTGCGGCGAGACAGTACCCTCTCTTGGATAACCCAGGCTCTTTTCATCAGATTCCCTTCATCAACACCGGATTTGAAATCACAGTCGCATTCCGCACTACCTGGAACGACCTGATTCCAAAGGCTAGGCTTGAGGAAGCCATCCTTCCAATCAGCAGCTGAATCTGCGGCTATAGTGCAGTAAGCATTGGCAAACACACGCTCCATCCTGCCAGCCTCGCTTTCCCAATCACCGTCAGGCCCTTGGACAATGCAAAGGGCGTCGATCCACAGGTACTGTTTCCCAAGCTCCCGCGTCACGTCTATCGCATCGCGAAACGTCTTTGGCAGGTCAGCCAAGGGAAAGCCCGACAATCGACTGCGATAATTGTGCGGAGTAGTGCAGAAGGCGTCCCATTCTTCCTTCGTAGGCTTGCCCCAGCAGTGAGAGAGCACAATATAGTCCCTATCACCACTTGGCTCTTCAACGAGCTTAAGCTGCTGGTCGTCTCCAACAAAGATGGCTCTTGTTGGCCAAAACTCAGGCTCGTCTTGCGGCAATTTGCAACTGTCGTGGTTGTCGCACGCCAGAAGCCATTCACGCAGAATTTTGAAGTAAAACGCTCTTGCCTCAAAATCGGAGGATCTAGACTCCAGAGATAATTTCTCGGCAAGTCTGTGGTCACCACGATGTTCCCAATCCTTAGGCATGCCAACCAGGGCAAGAGGGGCCCAGGTCAGAGGTTCTGCGAAGCTGTATGTGCCTCGGTCTGCCGGATCTCGAGGAAACTGTAGCATCTCCTCAGACACGAAATCATGGTCAATAGGGAGCTCAATAGGGGGAGAGTTTGAATCCATGTTCTCCATCAAATTGGTTGCTTCCTTATATTTAAAGATGTCAGATTGGTAGTTCTTGCGGGGTTGAGCTGGAAATTCTCGCAAGGTCAGCCAGTCATATAAAGTACTGTTCATTACTAATAATATCATATAAAAGGTCTGTAATGTAACCCATTCATGCTCACGTATAATAATAGCGATCATGTATGTTTCCCTTTGGAAACAATAAACTCAATAACGGCTTCATAATATGCAAACCTCTAATTGTAAAGCAAGATTTCTACTACTTTTTACCCCTTTCATACAAGCCTTATTACTCAACGAGTGGCTACACTGAGAACCAATTTGCCGCTTGGTTTGCTGTATCCTCCAGGAGCTCTTTTCCCTTTTGTAGTATACCTTTGCACAGATTAGTAGGCGATTCGAAGTCTTGGGGCACAACTGGACGTGAAAAGAAAACTTACCGGACATAGCAAGTATTGAGTGGGTTGAGCCTTTGTACGACTTCACAAATATCTCTTTCTTGACAGCCTCGTTTTCCCAGGCATCCCTCAACTGGTCAGCATATGCGATACCTTCAGGGGCTAAGAGATCCTGCTCCGAGACAGCAATCCACGTGTTCGGACTCGTAGCAAGAAGAGAAGGTGATGCCTTGCAGGGAGAGGCTTCCCATTGTTCCTCGCTCTCTTTATTAGGAAGATACATCCGACGATACCATAGCATTCTTGCCGGAGTCAGCCACGGAGCATTCTTATTCGGGGCCCAAACTGTGGCTTCGGTAGCCGTATTATCAATAACAGGAACAACAAGCAGTTGGAACTTGATTGGTATAGGAGGTTCGAGCATTGCCGCCTTAATCGAAAGCGATGCCGCGAGTTGCCCTCCAGCTGAAGTCCCACCAACACCGACCTGAGAGGGATTTATGTTCAGCTCCAGTGCCCCCTCTTTTCCAACTACCCACATGAGTGCCTGGACGCTATCATCGAATGCTGCCGGGAAGGGATGCTCAGGTGCGAGACGATAGCCTACAGTGACAACGACGCATTCGGCGCGCTTGCAGATCAGAGCGCATAGATCGTTCCCGCTGGAGATGTCTCCCACCGCCCAGCCCCCGCCATGGAACCAGAGGAAAACTGGCCAGTCCTGTGCTGGCCTCCCTGAGCTTGGAGTAAATACTCGGAGCTTGAAGCTTTCCAAGCTAATGTCGCGAACATTAGCCACGTCCACGGGTGCCGATTCCGTCCGTGGTAATGTCTTGGAAGGTACACGGGCAGATCCGTCCCAGGTATTTTGGTCATCTGGGAGCAAGTACTGAAAATACTCATCGTGAAAGGCAACATATTCCGGATCTAAGAGGGGCCGGACATCTGGATGGATTGGCTGATGGATTGGGCGATCTTGCTTAGACATGGCTTGAACTTAGTGGCTGATGACGGTTTAGGCGTCTTTGTAATGGGTGTATTTTGACTTCAGGGATGTTCTCTGACTTTGCTAGTCTTGGTTGATTCCTTCATGATGACAAAGTGCGGGCTTTTGAGAACGTGGAGTGAGAGTTGCCGGCCGGCAATGATGGATCATAGCTTATCTCCCCCACCACCAAGCATAACACCCGGTCCGCCGAATTATTAGCAAGCAGCGCAGACAGGCACAAAAATGATGCTGAACGCCTGGAGCCGGTCATTTTAGGCATCTAAGAGCGCTGTATTTACCCACCATAAAAAATCGCACGCAACTCCCCAGGGAAATCAACAACCGAACTGTTCCATCAATCATTCGTTATGCAATCTCATCCTTCTTCCAAATCGTATTCTCAGTCTGGTTTCGGGGGCCGAATGGGCTGGGGGAAACGCCCGGCCCTACTGATCATAGATGTATGCAAGGCATATTGGACCGAGGGGTCGCCTCTCTCTTTACTGGGAAACCCCGAGGCGGAAGCAGCCCCGGACTCTATGCGACGGTTACTGAAGGCTGCTCGAAGCAGCGGTGTTCCTGTGGTTTGGAGCGAGGTTCAGTATACTCATCCAGAGATGAAAGATGCAGGGTTATTCTGGCATAAGTCCAAGGGCCTCAGTGTGTGGCAAAAGGGTGACACAAGAGGTCTAGCAGAATATGTAGAGGGAATCGTGCCGCTTCCAGAAGAGACCGTTATCGTGAAGAAGTACGCCAGTGCCTTCTTTGGAACCACGCTTGCAACAGAGCTTCAGGTGAGTCACATTATGTCCACTCAAGTATCAACGCGGTTTCAGCTCACTCATATACTTGGTTCTAGGTTCTCAATATTGACACGGTAGTCATTTGTGGCGTAAGCACCTCAGGGTGTGTCAGGGCCACAACCTTAGACGCAATGCAGTCCGGGTTTCGTCCTATGGTACTGCATTCTCACTATCATCTAATACGTACCGTTTACTGACAATCTCTAGGTTGTGGGATCAGCGTGCGGTGACCGTACACCCCAAATCCACGCCTCCAATTTATTCGATCTAGACGCCAAATATTCTGATGTAGTCTCGGAGGAGGATGCCATTCTACACCTGTCCCAAGCATGGAAGGTCGAGGGCTAGCTCAGCGACATATGTTTCTAAAAGTCAAACCTTTTTGTGTTCACAATCTCTCAACATTTACTATGTAATATATTCGCTCTAAATGTAGCCATCGTGGCAAATTCAGTTCCATGAAGAGGCAGGAAAGACTTCTCCAAATGCTCCGTTGTCTAAGCTTCCTTGCATATCTCCCCACAGATAAGTCTCAAAGACTTCAAACATTGAGTCTGAGACGAAAGGATCATTAAATTGCACATCCATCCTGGTACATGCCTCTCCGTCTGGGGTGTATCCCTCGACAGCTGGCGCGGGGCCACTGATAGAGTGAGAAGGTTGCACATCTAAAACCGGTTCGACTTGCATATCTGGCTGCGAGTTATCACTTGCACGACATAAAGCCCTGTACCAGCGCTTAGCAAGTGGCCAAGCGCTCTTTAAATCACCCAGTCCTTTGATCGACTGTTGCAAGATACCCATGGCCTGCGGCGCAACTCTCGGACATATCTGAGGTTGCTGGCGCAAATGATTTGCTAGTGATCCGCAGACATAGACGCAAAACACGATCAGGGCTGGATAACCCTGATCAGGAAATCTGTATTCGAAAAAAGCTGTGATTTGTTCATGCAGTCTAAGCATGTTGTCAAATAGCTCTTCCGATACCGTAGACCAGGGTGGGCCCGTGTCTCCCGAAGGCGAGGTGTGCGTTTCAGATTGGCGGCTCTGACTGTTTAGCATATCATGGACATAGCTTCGACGTAGTATGATGTTGCTCAAGCGCAGGACCATGACAGCGGACAAGTACGCCAGGTCGAGTCCTTCAATTTTGAAACCTCGAAGATTCCAGACAGACCACTGATGCTGCTTGGGGATCTCGCTCTCAAAATCTGCTAGAGCCTTGGAGAGGTTTTGATAATCATCCGGATCCAACCTGGGCCCATGCCCTACACCGATCTTTGGCGCGTCGTTGCTGACCAATCTAGCCACTTGACCCCATAAACTATGAGTCTGTAGGAGAGTTGCAAATAAAGATCGTGAAGGTAGGCGTGTAAGATTAGGCTCCTTGATGGCCGGGGGTGTTCCCAATAGTGCAGCACGAGTCTGTGGTCGGGCACCAAATGTGAACTCGCGTTCCTCACAGGGGAGCAAGACGGTGATATCACTATAGGAGAATGCAATAGGCGAATCGGATCCCGAGTGGAGGTTTTCAAACGTCTCCAACATCCAAAATGTACGTCGAGCAACCTCGGAGTAAACGACCTCCTGCTGCGAAGCCGTCTGGGGGAGGCAATAGGTGTCCTCGCGATGTAAGCGTAGGATTCCAGCCAGCCTCACGGCAATGCCCATGTATATCAGACTGCGGTTCTTATCCCCATTTCCCCATTCGGCGATGCTCATCAAGAAAAAGCCCTGTATGGAGTTCAAGGAAGGATCAAACATGCGATCTTGGATGAGACAGGTTGCTTGGCTGAGAAAGCGCTCTGTTGCGGCATCTCCCCCTTGGTAGCGTCTAACAAGGCTCGGGGTGAACCTTGCAGACACACTCAGAATGCTGAAGAGTAAGAAGACATCGATGGATTCTTTGTTCTTTCTTATCTCTTCGAAAAAGAGCACCTTGGGTAGAAACCCAAGTTGAAAATAAGATGTTGTGAGGGTTTGGACCCCTTCCACCACCTCGTCATACGGGGGCAGTGTTTCCCATCCCGGTCTTATGGCTCCAACTCCGACAGTCTGGGTAACAAGGGTATGTTGGAGAGAGTTGTTGAACGAAACGTCAGTAGGCAACGATGTATCAGCACTATCTGGCGTTCGATCCGGAGTATGTGCCAGAGTGGCAGCACCGGCTCGAACAGTTCTTGGTCGCCGGAACGACCGATCAGAATCGCCTTCTCCTCGCCGTGGAAACTCGCACTCATGTTTTGACCGACGACAAGGGTCGCATGGGGGGCTGCCCTGGTCATTGAGACATCTGATTCTCAGACGACGGCAGCGCCGGCAGGCCTTGGAGGCTCGCGTAAACACTCTGACTGAAGGGGTATCCGGCCCGGAGTGCGGATCCATGAAATCACTCGGAGATACAGGGCAAGGACTGGCGGATATCGTAACACTCACATCTTGAAGGATGAAAAGGGACTCAAGATTGACGAGACTTCCACGTTATCCCCTTGTGCCGGCCGGCTTCAATGTTGTGGGGCACGATATCTTGTTCTTATCTCGCATTGCCGGCCGGCTGTGACTAATTTGTGGGACATCGTGATAAGCTGCTTGCCCCAACTTTCTCATCAATTATTGCACGTGCAGGTTTTAACAGTACGTGAAAATAGAATTCGTGTTCATAGTAAGTTGCCTAACATGAGACCCAAGACTGGATGGACAAGATGGCCGCACTCAAGGCCGAGTCCGAAGGAACGGGAGGACAGTCGTTAACATCTAAACCTCAACCAACATCAGCTCATCCCAATGCCGCGCCATCAACAGTATACAGCATATACAGCCCTCGGGAGAAATGGATTCTTGTCGGTATTGTGGCTGTCTCCGGTCTCTTCAGTCCGTTGCCGGCCAACATTTACTTTCCCGCCATCCCGAAACTAGCTGTTGTGTTTGACCGGTCCATCGAGGACATCAACCTGACTGTCACGGTTTATTTGGCAATGCAAGGAATTTCGCCAATGCTATGGGGCCCGCTATCTGATCGCTATGGAAGACGGCCGCTATATCTTCTCTGTCTACTGATACTCTTTGGGTCGACTATAGGATTGGCACTCTGTCCAGTCTCTCAGTTCTGGCTACTGCTCCTCCTTAGAGCACTCCAAGCGGGGGGTTGTGCAAGCACTATTGCGCTTGGTGCTGGGGTGGTCGGCGACATTGCCTCTGTTGACCAGCGTGGAGGGTTCTTCGGTTTCTTCAACCTGGGCCCAATGCTGGCTCCATGCATTGGGCCAGCTATCGGGGGTGTGTTGTCTGAGCATCTTGGATGGAGAAGCATATTTTGGTTTCTCGCTATATTCTCGGCAGCATGCTTTATCCTGATTCTACTCTTTCTTCCTGAAACATTGCGAGCTTTGGTGGGGAATGGAAGCAGACAACCAAGTCAGAGACTCCTTCGGCCGATGATCCCAATCTTGGGCAAAGCCGAAACCAACAGCTTCCCCACAGATGACTACCAAAGGGATGGGACCAGGAAACAAGGATCAGCAAATCCCTTTCGCCTACTAACATACACGGATATCCTATTAACACTAGCATACACTGGCATCGTGTACGCGGTAAATTACACAATCACGTCAACCATCTCGTCCTCGTTTAGCGCCATATATCCTTTTCTGTCAGAGACCGATCTCGGGCTTTGCTATTTGCCTACCGGCGTGGGTATGATACTTGGGTCTACCATCACTGGGAAGGTTCTAGACTATGACTACGCCAAGATGAAGAAAAGACTCGATAGTCAACACCAGCAGAGTGAATCTGATGTGCCCAACGACGAGGACAACCCTGACATCCCGCTGGAGCACACTAGACTGCGGACTGTACCGGCTCTATTGATCATTTTTGTGGGCTGCATCATTGCATGGGGCTGGTGCATCCAGAGCAAAACCCATATCGCCGGGCCGCTGGCTTTGCAAGTGGCGAGTGGGTAACCCTCGTTCAGGTACTGGCTCCAGGAGATTGTGCTAACTGCTTTCTAGTTGGATACACCTCCATATCCATTCTTAATTCGACCATGACTTTGATGATTGACGTTGTGAGGTCGCAAAGCTCCGGGGTGATTGCATGTGTGAGTGTGTTCTATTTCTAACGCGAGGCCTCCAAGCTGACTGAACTGGTAGACAAACCTGGTTCGTTGTTCACTTGCCGCCCTTTTGGTCTCTTTGATAGACAAATCCACACAGAGCTTGGAATATGGATGGACCTACACTCTTCTAGGGGGGATTTGTGCTTTGCTACTTGGACTTATCTACACAGAAATAGAGCTGGGACCAAAATGGCGCAAGAAGCGCGGCGAGTCCAAGGATCTGGGTTCTTGAAGATGATGTTCGGATGACGGTGGATATGGAAAAAGAAAAAAAGGGGTAAACATACACCGAGGCATGCAGATAGTGTGATTTAGAAAAAGAAAAGAAAAGAGGATACCTGGCTTCATGAATTGTCACTGACTTGTCAGACCAGGAAGGGTCAGGGGTGAGTGACAGTTGATCCACCTTGCCATGCCAAGCTCGCAATACCAAAACCGGCATGGTTTTATAATCTCCCTCGTGGGTTGGTTTGGGCTTTGCAGTATTAGTGAGATGTATGTCACTTCGCTGCAGGTTTAAGTCGGAATCCTACTCTGCCCCTTTGTTGTCAAAATCTAGCGGGTTTGAGCTTATTTGAGTGACAACTCCCACGTCTCAAGTCACGGAAGCTAGCAGGGAAACCGCCTTCTACAGATACATAGTACATAGAGAAGAACAAGGCTTGAGAGGGACTTAAGCTTGTCTTTGTCTTGCCAGGGAGGAAATCAACAGACCTCCTCCACCTGAAAAAAGTGGTGTCAGTTCGGACTGGAACAGGGCCTACATGGCCGAAGCCGCCGCCAATGGCTAGTGCCCGGAACGGGATTGCGGCAAGGTCCGCCGTCAGGTTCAGGAGGGTCCAACAACAGTGAGAAGTGAGGCTGTTCTAGTAGTGGTTGAAGATGTTGTCATCTATCATGTTTATATTTATATATGTCATCAATTATCTAAACGCTCTATTATAGCTCAATAATTAGGCGATCTCAGCCTCGATCAGCATCTCGTACTCCTGGGGGTCGGGGTGGTAGTTGACAATCTTGAAGCCAGCACCGGTCAGCAACTTCTCCCACTGGTCCTTGGTACGCTCGTTAGCCGAAAGCAGAGACATCATCTCGACGTCCATGGTGGTCTGGCTGATACTTGCGCCCTGGGGAGGCAGCACGATATCGTAGACAAAGAGCTTGGAGTAACCCTTGACCATGGCCTCACGAGTGTTGTTCAACAACTCAGTGGCCTTGTCGTCAGCCCAGTCGTGAAGGACGGCGTGCATGAAGTAGGCTCTGCTTCCTATAGGTTCTGTGTCAGTAATTGTTATAACTTAGCGTGGGTGATGGGGCGTTTCTTACCCTTGACGGGCTGGGGCAGGAAGAAATCGTGAGCGGTAGCCGTGATCTTAGGGTCAACCTTAGCACGGGCAATGATCTCAGGGAGATCCTGAAGGACGAGGGACCCAGCAGGCAAGTCAGGCTGGGCGGTAAGGACATGGGAGATGTCGATGCCAGTGTTGCCACCCAGGTCAACAACAAGGGGAGCGCTCTCCGTAATGGTGGCGCCCTCAATGAGCTTCTTGGGGTCGTAGAGCTTGGTCCAGGGGGTCTTCCAGGTGGTCCATGCCTCCATGTGGCCAGTGAAATCTTCGTAAAACTTGGGGCTCTTTTGCAGACGCCCGAAGAAGTTCAGGCCATCGGGGTCACTACCCGAGTGGTTGTTGTCCTCTGCGGCTGTGGGCTCTTGGTAGCCAATCTTAGCCAGGTACTTGGGCAGGTTGTGGCCTGCCAAGATGTACTGGTTGTTACTGTAGGCTCGGTTAGTGACATTTCCTAACACATTTCATGCATATGTGAGACAATGGGCTCTTACGCAGCTTCGAGAGAGGCTCGGACCTTAGTGCTCTCATCGCCAATGGCGGCTGAGAAAGGGGTGGGCTTGAATGTGTCCACGCCAACTTCCTCAACCACGTTGAACGCGGCCAGCAGACGGAACAGTCGACCTATACCAAAATTATCAGCCCAAGAGTTCACATTGCAAGGTTATGTCATTGGGCGGCATACGAAGCAGGTTTGGCTGGATATCATGCTTGGCAAGCTTAACTAGATCATCGATGGTCTTGTCACCACCACCGGAGGCATTCCAGGCAGCCCAGAGACCGAGATCAATGGACGTCTGGAGAGCAGCAAAGACAACAGGATGCTCGAAGCAGAAACCCCAGGCTCGCTCATAAGGCGACTCCACCTTGGCAAGCAGCTTGCGGGCAGCCGCACGAACGCGGAGACGCTCTACCTCGTTAGCAAAGGAGGCATGGTTGACGCCTTCGAGGATGTCAATGATCTTTTGGGAGTCTGAGGCCATTTTAGGTGCGGGGTGAAGAAATCTTTGTTGGGCTAAGCTGGTTTGCAGACCCTAGGACATGGCGGTGCTCGCTTCTGTATAAGTACTCACCCGGTTGGTCATCGACCCTCTTACCGCGATGATCAAACTGGCATGATCAGAAAGAGCAATCTGATCCGCCCTCACTTCCCCGCTCAACTGACGACCAACAGCCAGGCGGTGGACGATAACCATGCGGCATGCCCATCGACCTCCCCAATGTGGACCCCTTGGTGATGGGCGTAAACGCTGGTCACGACAATCTATCAACAGCCGAAACGTCGAGCGCCACTAGCTGAAATTCAAGTGGGCTTCTCACAGCTATAATCAGGCTGCTAAGGCCATTATGATATGCCGGGAAACGAACTACGTCGATGTTAATCCAAATGCCGTTGGAAAATGGTTGGTAGGAGCCAGCCCCTGGTCAAGTCAACAGCCCAACTACCGCGTAATAGCTCCGAGGTGGAGATGCTACTGTATGCGAGCTAAGCGATGGGTCGCGACACTGCTGTAGAATATCCCTCGAACTGGAGTCTCTTCCCATTGAACGTGGTACGATGGATGATGATCCTTGTAGAGCCCCTTCCCCTGGTGTCGGTCAACTATGATTCTCGTCAGGCTAAATATGCACGTCTTGAGAATCTAGGTAGCACAAAGCAAGCCAGGGCCAGGTATCTACCGCCGGGCCCGCCAGAACTTCGGGAACCTTCAAGACACCGAATCAAGATATTGGCTGGATGCATGACCAGTCGGACGTTTCTTCACTACAACCGCGTGCTATTGGTAGCTTCCGTCTTGCCGTTCTTTATTAAGACATTAGCCGTTATTATTGGAACGGGGGAGCTGAACTGACGCCTGTAATAGATTTCCCAGGACTTCCTATATCCGGGCTAGGGCGAGTGTCGATAGATTAATGCAGTGACCCCTGTCCTGTGACATTTGTATCCACCCGCCGCCGGTACCGAAGAGACGAACAGTCCGTTGGGTGAAGGGCAGGGCTCGCGAGTGAGTTGCCACTATGCTCAAAGAGATTTCACGTGTTCCCTGCCATACGCCAGACAGAAAGGATGGGCATTGGTGCAGAGTGCGAGCATCACGGAGACCCCGTTTTCGGTCATCTTAAATCCTTTTTTGGCCACATTGACAGGCTTATGGAACCTGCAGGTTGAAAATCTGCAGAGCCTGGAGCTTCAACCCTGAAAGGGGAGTTAGTTTTCTTGAATACTTTATGCCGACGCTCCTCAAATTCTCCCCAGACCGCTAATTCACCACGATCGTTTCTACCAAAAGTCCTGTTGGGCCACTTTCAAAAATGGACGAATACTATGGAGGCCTGGGCCCCATGGTGAATGCAGTATTGTGGGTGCATGTCGTCGTCTTTGCGGTCTTTGTCGGCCTGAGAATCTACACCCGTGCTATGATTCTTAGGTCGGTTGGTGTTGATGATTATCTGGTAGTGGTCGCTTTGGTATGGACATGGAAACATCACTGCCTCTCTTGATAACAATACTGACCTGACTTTGTAGGTCTTCCAAATCGTTTATACAGCCTTGGTCAGCCACGCGACACGATACGGACTCGGACGGCTTTTCCTGGACATCAACAATCCCCCGATCTACTTCGAAGCTGTCAAATATGAGGTCTTCAGTCAGACCGCCGGTATTATGGTCATTGGTGTGGGCAAGCTAGCCGTCGGTGTATTCCTGCTACGAATTGTGCGGAACACGATCCAAATCGTCTTCATCTGGGCCTTCCTGGCTGGAACCGTCTTCATCACCCTCTTCGCCAGCATTGTAGTCATTGTCCAATGCATCCCGATCGAGAAAACATGGAACAACTCAACCCCAGGACACTGCTGGATCGACTTCTCCAAGGTCGGCCTCACTGTCGGATGTAAATATGACCCGCCTCTCTGGCTACTGAAGCATACTGACGTCTTTTAGCTTGGTTCGTCGTTGCTGACTTTGCCTTCGCTATCCTGCCGTGGTTCGTCATCTGGGATCTCAACATGAAGCGAAAGGAGAAGATCACTGTCGCATGTGGTCTCAGTCTTGGTGTCTTTGCCGGTATTTGCGGAATCGTGCGAACAGTGGCACTAAACGGACTGAATGCACAGGAGTATATCCGTAAGTCTTCATGCGCCAGTGCAAGTCTCGTGCTGGAGATGGCTAACAGATTCAGATGACACCGTGCCTATGCTCATTTGGTCGGCCACCGAGAGTACCGTCACCATCATGTGCTCATCGATTCCCGTCCTGCGACCTCTTTACGTTCGCTTCCGCTACGGAAGCAAGGGCGACAGCAGCACCGGACAGTCTGGCGGCAAGACCTCCTACCGTCTCCCGATGTACGGCAACAACAGTCGCAAGTACGGATTGGGCTCGCATGCCGCTGCAGAAGGACAGGCAGGCCCTGCTCACCAGGCACATATTACCTACGGCGCAAATGACAGCGACGAGAGCATTCTACGGGATGCGAAGGGCCAGCTGTCTTCCGGCAAGGGGATCAGGAGGACCGACGAGGTCTCCGTCAGCTACTCGGGATAAGTGGCGAGTATGCATCTGTATTATGAATGTCTAGACTAAAAGGGCCGCTTGCTACGTAAATACGATTAAACGGCGTTTAATGAGATCTGTATATAGAAAAAGGGTACAGTTGGTGGAAAACAGGGAGCTTAGTAGTTTGCCTCAAAAGTATCAAATTGAATTAATATTTACTTGGAATATCCCAATTGACCCAGTTTCTCCAGTGCCCGCAACTTGATCAGTCATGTATGTCGACATCTCCATCCGATGGCAAGACCCAGGGGGGCGGTCTCTCAGGGGCCCTCGTATGATCCGTCAGGTATCGCGACATGACTTACCCCTGTGGTGTTTTGGTATTCCGGCTACCCGACCCCCGGATTTCCATCCTTTCGCAATATCTTGCCCAAATTGTACTAGAGCAGTTGGGCGAGGAATCCAAACCTTTGATAAAGGCCCAAGCGGAGGATGCCAGAACAAAGGGCAATCACTCGCTCTAACAGACAAAACCAGGGGCTCTGGTGCTATTAAGCGTGGGACGGACTGTTTGAGATGTTTATACGCTAATAATAACGGTCGCCTAACTCGGAAGCACTTCAACGGCACAGACGGGACGAGCATTGCGAAGCTACTCCGGAGTAATGCCAGACCCCATGTTCAAGACAATGAAGAAACCCCCACAACGGCAACGCACGGGCGAAGAGGTCCAAAACTGGCCCACTCACACCTGAGACGAACCTAGTTCTGGTCGTAAGATTCAGCCAGACTGACAGGAAAGTCCCTCTCCAAAGTTGTGGCCTTGGGCACGTTGCTTTTTCCACCAAAGTACTAAAGTAGGTACATACATGGAACGGAGAGAAGTGCTAAGCTAGGCTAGATCATGCCTTAGAGAAGAGACAGACCACGCAGACCACACAGATCCTTGGTCAATAGCGTCTTTCCCATTTACACTAGAGCGGTTTAGTAACTGATTATCGCAGCAGCACCGTCGTGACAATGGGCAGGGATGGAGCCTCTAACTTGAGACGAAGCCACTGACGCGGACCTATGGCGTCGATTCATGAACACGGGGATTTCCGACATTGTTCCTACAAGCAGAGTCGCGGGATATGCCTGGAGTCTGGACGATTTACTATGATGCCCTCCGCGCAGATCAGTAAACCCGCATTGAAGGAATTTGAAGCTAAGGAAGAGGTTTTAGTGCGTACGTTTTCATTTTCTTCGACTCTTCAAGCAGGAATGATCTTCTTTCACTCATATTCTGGATGTGGGGCTTAAGACAGCCTCACCGTTGCCAAGCATACGAGGATTTGAACGGCAATAGCTAAGACTTACCTAGCTTGGTTCCTTTACGCGTTTCTCCTGGTCACTGGTGGTGTTGGTGTTGCATATCCGCCTCCAATCCTTCCCGGATGCCTGGAGTGAAACAGCAGATCGGCACGCCCATGGCTATGTAGAATGCTATTCAGCAAAGCGTCCTGATGAGCCCAGTTGGCAGCTTGGCGCGTCACCATTTGGTCGAGGCCACATTCTCACGTTCTTCACGTGGTAATTTCTCGACTTTCGACAACGGGTTTGATGGGTCATAGCAAAGCCAAATCAAGCAGTAGGCGATAAATCGTCTCATCGAACTTGTCCCCTGAAGCAATCAACTCTCAAACTTGTTTTGTCAGCTTACAAGAAAGGTTTCATTTCGGTACGGGGTAAAACTCCAGCATATATATTTTCGTGTAAGCTACCATTTTTATTGGCTGATAGACCTCAAAGTTCCGAAGCAAGAGTACTGCAAGCTGAAATGAGGTTGCTTTGATACGTACTGAAACGTGAGGGTGGCTTGCTGCATGTCTGACGTGCAAGATTAAAGTGGTTGCAGAGTCTGTCATGCAGGAATTTGGAACTTCCGCTGAGAAGATCGGCAACATGTGTAGTGCCAGAACTAATCATTTCCTGGCGAAGGAAAAAGCAAGCTGGCTTTTATCAGCTCGATCGCGACAAAATATTCCGATGAAGAGTCTTGGCAAGGCGTATTTGCGTGATACCATCATTGATACTTGTATGACAACCATTCTAGGGCTATTCCGACAATCAACAAACACATTACGATAAATAAATTCGAGCCTATGTTATTGGTCAAATTTTGAGATCATTTCAACTCAGAAAATATCAAACAGCACTCCATCCATTGTTTGAATGCTTGCAATATCGCCAACTACCCAACCCCGGAAATGCCTACCCTAAACTACCTCCACGGATTATTGTCTACTCATAAAACATAAAAGAGATCATACGCGCTTTTGTGAAAAATAGTCTGCTTGTTCTTCATTATCTGCCTCAAAGTAGTAGGATTTTCTATTTATAGACAAAAAGGTTCAGCCGTAATTAAAAATATCTGGAAGCTTACGCTTCGCTATGAGCACATCGTTTCGTGACGATCACGGATACTCACTTCGTTGTCAGCGCAACCTTAAAGCTTAGATTTAATAGATCGTTGTCGATTTGCCATTTCCTCCAGCTTTTTCCGTAATAATTTCCCTGATGAGTTTCTGGGTAGCTCCTTAGCACTTATCAGAGGCCTGCGAAACTTCTTGTAGGGTGCGACGCGGGAGTTGACAAAGGCTCGGATGCTTTCCAAAGTGATGTTTTGATCTTCATCGTTGGCCTCAGATGTCAGCTTGACGAAGCCGATTGGGATTTCTGTGTCAAGTTTCTTGTCAAAGACTCCGCAGACTCCGGAATCAAGAACCTTAGGATTCATCAATAGGACCGCTTCCAGCTCTACTGGCGAAATCTGATTCCCATGGTATTTGATTAATTCCTTCTTGCGCCCTGTGAGAAAGAAAAACCCGTCATCGTCAACTCTGACGATGTCCCCTGTCTTTAGCCAGCCGTCTTTTGTTTTTGCCTCCCGGGTGGCTTTCTCATTTCCCTTGTATGCGAGAAAAACACTTGGCCCCTTGACAAGACACTCGCCCTCAGCCCCTGGCCTGACATCGTTGAGAGCATCATCGACAACGCGGGCAGATACCCCCGCAGAAAGCCGGCCAACGCTGTCGCCTTTGTCTTGGCGAGATTCACGGAGGAGGGTGACAGTACCCTCAGTCATTCCGTACCCATTCAAAATCCCACACGTATATCCGAGTATGTTCTTCAGCCCCGTTATCGTTTCTTCCGATAAAGCAGCACCAGAACACATGACCGCCTGGACAGAGGTAAGATCCAACCTTTTCACCTCAGGATCTTTCACCATTCTCACAGCTGCGGTTGGTACGAGCCGAAGGACGGTGGCTCGGATTTCCGAGCATCGTTGAAGGTATTGCATGTAATCGAATCTCTTCATCGGCTGCAAGTATGATCCAACCCACGCTGGAACTAGAACCGCCGATACCACCCCATAGACATGAGCGAATGAGGGAAAGAAGACCTCTCGGTTCCGAGAGCTATGGAGAAACGGGTTTGTGGCTCGAATGGCCATAATCTGAGCCAAGAGATTGTGATGAGACATGATCACCCCTTTGGGAGGGCCGGAGGTTCCCGAACTGAAGCAAATTGCCGCTGGTTGGACTCTGTTGTCCTGGGCGGAGAGATCGAAGGGTTTAATCGAGCCGGGCTGATCTCTGAAATTTAAGGGATACTAGCAGGAGGCTTATTAGCACGTAGCCGGTATGTTCAACCTTCATTGTGTGAACGTACAATGTCATATCCATCTTTGGAAGGTGTACCATCATCAATAACGATGATATGAGGTGAAATAGAGAGCTGTTTGCAAGCGTCTTGGACATTTACAAGCAGCCTCGCATCAACAGCGACCGCCTTGGGCTGTGCAACTTGGAAATAATGAACCAACTCAAAACTGGTAGCCAGTGGATTGATCCCGCTGTTATTGTTGATTAGCATATATGGAGATTCCATGAGGCTTCAACATACCAGAAGCATCCGCCTGCCCACAAGGTCGCGTGTGCTAGCGATGCCCAATACACCGAATTGAAGCCGTAGATACAAACCACGTCATTTTGATGTAGACCGTACTTATTTCGCAAGGTGGCTGCATCCCGTGAGGCGTTTAGGCGGATGCCTTCGTAAGTTACGAATCGTTCTTCTGGGGCGTCGAAGTCTGCAAGGACAACTGTGTCTGGATGTGTGTCGTCGGGATCACTTCGAAGTAGAAATTGCGAGACGCTCAAATCAGTTGGAACACTTGGAGTAGGGTATGGAGAATGATAGATGATGCTTTCCATTTTTATTTTTATTTTTGGTAATTTTGTATAGATATCTGTGCTCGAGTAAAGAGAATCTTTCTGTTCAAAACTGCCACTTGACAACTCCCGGGAAAGCTTTACCTCACGACCACCCGCTACAATTCGCTTGCTCTTTAGTAAAGTCAATTTTTGTGCCAAAATACCTAATAGAGTGGTCTCCCTACTCCATGAATCATTAGTTGTAGTGACTTCCCCGCCACCCTGACTTTCGGTTTTCTGGGGTCTGGGGTTCGGGGTAATGTTATCCTGTCGGCGGCTCTGTCCTTCCGTTATGATCACTTGGCTTACTCGCCGAGTAATTTGTAGCTATTGGAGGCACAATCAAGGTAGATTAGAATAAATTTGATTGGCTATACTCTGGTCCTGTTCATTTCACACTCTTCGGTTTACCCGAGCGAAACATGATCTGTCAAACAGACTGGAGTTTATTCCCTGGTAGTCCATGAATATATACTTAATCGTTAGGACTCATCATTTGAGCCTGGGCTTCTACCTCTATATCGCATGATTTCTCGTCGAAGCCGGGCTTCCCAAACACGATGGAATCTTCTCATAGAGCGGTCAAGGAGAAGGCCGATGACGCTAGCCACGTTGAAGACAAATATGAAGTTGCAATGTCTGACCCAGAAAGCCCTTCTACGCCCGCTGAAGAGGGCGATGATGGCAAGGTTACATTGAAAATGAAACTAGCTGTGCTATCGCTCATTCTGATGTACGAGGCATATCTATTTACTCTTATTATGTTAGTGTCCCAGATCTTCCAAGTAGTATTTCACAGCGAATCAACTGACTTATATTGAAGGCCTGCTGCTGTGTTGACGTATATCGACGCTGAACTGGGACCTGATACCCGCTATCCATGGATAGCAATAACGTAAGTTCTGATACATCATGGTGCAACTTTTCAGCTAACTTGGGGCCTAGATGGAACCTTGGAGCGGCCATTATTGTCAGTATAGGCGGACGTATCTCAGACATCACAGGCCGGCGGTGGTTTCTCATGTTCGGTGCCGTCTCGGCCGCCGTCGGTGCCCTGGTCGGTGCTACAGGAAAGAGCATCAACCAAATGATTGTTAGCGGCATTATTTTCGGAATTGGGGGAGGATTCCAGGAGATGTGTTTCGCTTGTGCTCAAGAGCTCGTTCCCAACAAGTGGCGATTCCAGACTCTCGGTTTGTGAAGCCATTTTCCAAGAAGTAAACAGCATGGTTCTAACCTGTGTTTATAGGCGTGATGATTCTTTCAAATCATCTGAGTTCGATATCCCCAATTCTCGGATACGTGTTCATTGCCTACACAAAAATAGGCTGGAGGGCCTGCTACTGGTGGTGTTTTGCATGGGAGGCTGTTACAGCCATCATGTTATTTTTCTTCTACCACCCACCGACTTTCGAAACGAAGCATGCTGGTGACGGCAAGAGCAAATGGCAACTTGCGAAAGAAATCGACTACGTCGGTCTGATCCTCTTCACTGCTGGATGCTTGCTCCTATTGCTCGCTCTGAACTGGGGAGGGGGCCAACACCCATGGAATAGCTCATGGGTAATTGCACCCATCGTCGTGAGCTTCGTATGCTTTATCGCGCTCGGATTCTGGGAGGTCTACATGCCTTTGTCGTATCCCATCCTCCCACCTCACTTGTTTCGAGAGTGGCGCAGGTTCACAGCCTTTCTCGTCGTTTGCTTCGTTGCTGGCATGCTCTACTACTCAATGAATGTCATCTGGCCCCGCCAAAGCGCGCTCATGTTCATTCCTCAAGGTGGCGATCCGATCATCAAGGGCGTCTATGCCAATATGGTTTCGTTTGGCAGCATGATTGCTGGGTGGTACTGCGTCAGCTTGATGCCGTGGCTCAAGCACGAGAAGTGGCAGTTGGTTGCCTGCATCACGATACAAACAGCTCTGGTAGGCTCACTTTCTAGCGTCGGCCTTGCAGACAAAGGCCAAGCGATTGCTACAGTTATTCTGGTAGCAACTGTCAACTTACCACCATCCCCCTTGTCTTTCGGGATGGTATCTCTACATCTTGAGGACCAGACGGATATCGGAATTGCCGTGGGTTTAATCAGCACTTTTCGACTGATTGGAGGAGCGGTAGCTACTGCTATCTATACCTCGATCCAGAGCAGCCGGTTTGCCCAGGTGTTGCCTGGCCAAGTCCGTTCAGCAGCTGAAGAGTCCAATTTTGCTGGGTCAGTAGATCAGTTGTTGCTGGCAGCACGAAAGAACACGGTCGCCGCATATCAGACTGTCGAAGGAATTACTAACTCGACAATCACGGCTACCCAGAAGGCAGTTTTGGAGTCAAATTCGCAGTCATATAGTATGGTGTATCTGATTGCAATTGCCTTTGGGTGTGTTGCGATATGCTCTGCGCTGAGTGTGAAATCTATCGACGCGTCCCAGCGATCGAACAAGACAGCGGCCAAGTTGGAGAATGCAGGTTCGGATGGAAAGATCATCGACGGAAATCTACGCTAGGATCGTTGGTTAGATCGTTCACGTAAGCTTAGAAATCACCTTGGTTTGATGTATGGGTTGAGAACCATGCATTGAGTATGTTTAGGTAACAAATATGAATACTTGACATCACAGGTAGACGTAGTATTCTATTATTGTGTGGCTCAACCTAGTGATAATGGTGTATGTGTACGACCGCAAATCCGAAGTGTCTCTCAGGTGTTGTGGGGGTAGAAAAGGGGGAGATCATCTTACCTGGTTGCAGCTAGCGTCGCTTATGCTTATGACTGTCAGTCTTCTTGAGCTGATTCCTTCAATTCGCCCCTGGACAATCATATTTTCAGAGAAACAAACATCTTTGAATGAGAGGTCACATCCATCAAACAAGCCTACAGACAAACGCCCCCACACGATCAATATGACAACCATTCTGCCTCCCTTCTCCCCGAGGCATATCCCGCCCCTCTTCATTGCCTCCGCGTTCACCCTCGGCGGCCTGCTTCCCCTCTGGAACCCTGCCCGAGCCATCCGGGAGTTCGGCTTGCCTGAGCGGGTGGCGGAGTCTCCAACAGCGCACTCACCTTTCGCTGCCTATGGCTCCAGAACCACCATCATAGGGGTGGTCATGTGGACCCTCTACATTCGTCGCGAATTCCAATCGCTCGATACGGTAATGAGCTTGCTTCTATTCGCAGGTGGTGTGGACGGGTATCTCTGCTGGAAGGAGGGTGTGCCAGGTCGTGGCTGGTTCAGGTTTCTTTCCAGCGTTGTGTTTGGTGTCTGGGGTCTCGCGGGACTGACAGGAGGAACGGAATGAATCTGACGGTGATGAGGGTCTGCTAAGGAAGGTAGATAGCACGGCAGAATGCGGCCTGGTGGCATGAAATGTCAGGGAGTGTTGTGGATAATTTCAAATTGTACGCGTCAACCTCAGTGTTTACATCATCCGAAACCTCTAAATCATCTCATGCGTTTATATGTCGTATATTTGGAATCTGCAACACGCCCAATTGTTATCCACAAGTAAGACATCATTCAATACAAAACTCAGTATATCATTGCGGCAATTTATGCGTCGAGGACCACCCATTCCCCTTCGCCTTCATCCCCTTCCACTTCATCCGCTCTGTATGTCAAGTTGTGGGATTTAGTAGGGCATTTATGTCCGAGTTTAAAACAGTCTCCGCACTCAATGAAAACCGCTCGGTCGCATACACCACACTCATAACGCTGGTCAGACTTCCTCAATAACTTCAGACACACGTCGCATTCTCCTTGTGGTTTCTTGTCTTTGACATCTTTCTTGTCTTTGGCTTCTTTCTCGCCCTCATCATCTTTCCCGGTATCCTCATTCTCAGCCTCATTCTTCACCCCCAAACCGTCGTCCCACTTGTTATCTAAGAAGAAGTTTTTCAGGCGATCGCTTGCCAGAGCTCGAACCCAGTGGCCAAGCGTATTGCCCCCAAAGTCTTCCGATTCTAGAGATGGTCGAACAGACCTCAAAAGTTGAACCACGGCATCCTCATGTCCATTTCTCAATGCTACTGAGATCGGGGTCGAATTGTATATGTCCTTCTTGAGAAGGAAAGACTTTTTCATGGATGGCATGGCAAGAAGTCTTTGAATAACTTCAGAGTGTCCCCTGGCAGCGGCAAGAAACAATGGCGAGCGGCCTGCAGCATCGAGCAAGACCGGATTGGAGCCAGGCTTCTCAAGGAGCAGCTCGATTATTTCAAGGCGTCCATGGTATGAAGCCAGTGCCAATGGCGATCGCCCTGCTACGATGCTTTGCTTTGCTTTGTTATCAAGCAAATACTTGACAATGTCTAAATGGCCTTCAACAGTCGCAACATGAAGTAGAGTTTGCCCATATTTGGATTGGAGATTTACACCTGAACGTTGATTGAAAAAGCATTTCTTACTTTCTTGATGCTCGGTGTTTGTCATCCCCTGGCCCTGCGCATTTGTGCTCCCACCTGGAGCAGCTGGCTTTTCGTACTGCGCCAAAAGGTATTGTAGAACCTCGAGATGACCCTCCCTTGTAGCAGAATGGATTGGGAGGAAGCCATTTGTCGTAGTTGTGAGATGAAGAGCCCCGGGGAAGGCAGCAAGCAAATCCTTGACGATGTCCAAGTACCCACCCCTTGCTGCTTTATGTAGTGGTGTTTGGCCGTACTTGTCCGTGGCCGTGAAGTTCGCTCCCTTTTTCATGAGTAATCTCGCAACTTCTGAGTGACCGGAGCCCACAGCTCGAAGTAGTGGCGTGCTATCATCATCCTCCAGCCGTGCCTCAAGATCAACATTACTGTTCTCAAGAGATAACAGCTGTTCAACAATTTCGAGGCGCCCAGTTGACGCAGCTATTCCTAGTGGTGTCTCTCCTTCCAACGATCTCGCGTTTGGGTTGGCATTGTTCCAGAGTAGCAGATTGAAAACCTCTGTCCTCTCTTTGGAAAGAGAAGTGGCAAGTGGTGTCCACCCTTTGTCGTTCCCATTCTCTATGTTCGCCCCATTCTCCAAAAGGAGGTTCACGACATCCAGTTGTCCTTTATTCGCGGCCAAGTTGAGAGGTGTCCATCCTTTTGGCCCATGCTCCATATCTGCCCCTGACTCAATCAACAGCTTGACCACTTTGATGCATCCAGAATGGGCAGCTTCGCTGAGCGCCGTCCAGCCAAATGAATTTGCTGTATCCAGATTGGCGCCCTTCTTGATGAGAAGTTTGGCAATTTTAGTGTTGCTTGCTTCGCAGGCAAGTTGTAAAGGAGTGGTCCCACTGTTCACGACCAACTCCAGGTTCGCACCTTTATCAAGAAGAATCTTAACGACATCAGTATGTTTGTGTTTGACAGCAAGATGCAGCGCCGTCCACCCCTCGCGCGTTCGGAGATCCACACCCGGGTCATCCTGTTCCAACAGCACCTTGGCTATTTCCACCTTGCCATTCTCCAAGGCCGTCATGAGGGGGGTCCATCCTCTATTCGTGGTAACTCTGGGATCTGCACCGTTGTCTAGAAGCAGCTTGACGATCTCAGTAGAATCTTCAAGGCTGGCATGCACGAGGACTGACCACTGTCTATGGCCGAGAAAACAAGCATCAGCGCCTCTTCGTAATAGGAGTTGGACCATTTCGATATTCTGCAGTTCGATAGCCCGGATAATCGCACTTCGACCGTAATATGCGTCATATTCGATCTTCGCTCCAGCATTGAGGAAGATCTCAACAACCTCCAAGTTTTTAGATGAGACTGCATGCCATAAAGCATCGCTTAGGTCTACATCATTGATACCAATCTTTTTTGCAATGTTCAGAAGCTCCTTGACAATTCCCGCGTGTCCCTGAGAAGCTGCCGCCTCTAGGCACTTCGATAAACAGTCTTTCATGTATGGATAGTGGGATTGAAGTAGGGCGAAAATCTTCTCATGCCCTTTGTAGCAGGCTCTTTGAAGTGGCGTCTCCCATCTAGACGTCTTGATGGTAACGTCGGGGCACTTCTTGAGCAGTAGTTCCACCGCCCGGAGACTTCCTGAATCAATAGCAGCATAGATAGCCGTCTCACCTGCATGATTCTGGTGATGTGCGTCTATACCCTCCTTTAGTAGAAGCACAATTGTTTCGATATGGCCATTTCTGGCTGCTAAATGGAGTGGTGTGTCCCCTTCAGACCGGCAAGCTGAGGTGCTTTTGGCAAGATCAAGATGAGAGCATAGGAGTTCCACAATCTCGTAGTGGCCTTGACCGGCTGCAAAGTGAAGAGCAGATTGACGCTTCTCTCCCTCTGGCTCTAGACAAGCGCCCTTTTCATGGAGGAATTTGACAACCTCAAGATGTCCTTTGAAGGCTGCTCCTGTGATGGGTGTGTGCTCTGCCGTATCGTCTGGCTCAAGGAGACAGCCATGCTCAACCAGAATTTCGACGAGTTCAAGGTGGCCACCCATTGCAGCTCTGACGAGGGGAGTTTCGTTAACTTGATTCATCGCCTCCTTCTCAGCGCCTCTCTCTAAGAGGAGTCTCACGGCATCAAGGTGATTATTCGCTGCGGCCAGGAATAAAGCAGTGTTCTGAGCGTTGTCGGTTGACTGAATATCTGCGCCACTATCTAGCAAGACTCGGAGGGTGTCGGTGTGCCCAAACGTTGCGGCTGCGTGAATGGGTGTGGAACTATCGCCAGCAGCCTCGTCCACGCTGGCTCCCTTGAGGAGAAGGAAACGAACCATATGCGTGTGCCCGTTTCGTGAGGCTAAGAGGAGAGGCGTCCCTTCTTCGTTTCGCTGGTTGATGTCTGCCCCTTCATTCAGTAGACTTTCGACGGCATCGAGGTCCCCCTTGCACACCGCCGTGAAGATGTCCGTCGCTTTATCCCCCATGGCACTTGACATGATCTCTGTGTGGGGATTTATTCTCTCCCTTTTTAAAATAATTATCGGTAAAGTGAAAATCCCAAGAGCTGAATATGTTCAGGCTTCCGTGGGAGAAACCGGCGTATCTTATGCTCATGTAGATTCACGGTGTTGGCAAGGCGGAATCGAACGTAAGCACGAAGCGAAAATGGATATATGCCAGGTCAAGCTTCCCCTGCGCTGGGCGTTGGGCAGCGTTAGGCAGACGCCTCATGGTTGACCGCTGGATGGTTCGCCTGGTAGGGATAATGCACGCAGCCAATAACTGTCAGATAAAGGTGGGTAGAATCCCTGAAACATGCGCCTCAGCTTGGGCCAAGGGTCCTTGATGTGGCTTAAACCTCAAGCCTCCAATACAATTAGCAGTAATATCCGGTCCACATAGTTGGATAGGCCTGGAGAGCAGCTTCTTTCAGATTTGTCGACATGGTATCCCATCTGCCGTTAAGGGATATATCAGACCTTCGCTATGATGTCGCATACATTTGTACTATATGAGTCACCAAGGCCTTCGAGCGAACTAATTAAGTCACAATGAGTCTCTTCAACCTCTTGCCCTAGCTCGTAGTTTGCATCTTTCAACCTGGAACCAACTCACTGGTAGCCTAGCTGCAGGACTCATGAACCTAGTTGAAGAACTTGGGTCCTCGAGGTAATCGTGAATATATAGCAATACTCTAGGAAAGGCTCAAGACAATATCTTCTGCAGATTAGGTTTTTAGCAGCGACTTGGGTAATAATGGAGATTTGGAGGTTCCATGGAGGCTCCGTTATTGGCTTTCTTAGTATATCCGCGGAGCTTGCTCCCAAGGCTTTGCTAATGAACTTCTGTCAACAATACTCATAGAGTGCCCCAATTGAAGTCTTATCATTATTCATCTTTTTTCTGATTTAAAATGGGTCACTTATGTTGGAAATAAATATTCCGATGGATGGAGTTGAACTTTATTTCTATCAAGTATGAATAGGTACTACCAGGCATTTACACGAAAACACGAGCCTGGGTGATCCTTACCAGGCTACTCCCGACATAACGAAATCTGATTCGGTGCCGATAATCCATACTCATTCATAATTTATACCGTTCTGTACCTAGGTGCTTCAAGACTTATGGAGAAATGAAGATTGGCATCATCAACGCTGGCAATATCGGCTTAAATCTCGCCGTTGGCTGGATCCGTCATGGGCATGATATCATGCTGAGCAAAGACACACATCCGGAAGAACTCAGAGAGCGTACTAGAGCCCTAGCGCTGGGTCGCGGGCTCAGCGAAACTGAGCTATCCAGATTCCGGTACGGTTCACTTACGGACGCTGCCCAATTCGGAGACATTGTTGTCATGGCCGTCTATTTCCCACGACTTGAACCCGTGCTGGAAGAACTTCACAAAGACGGCGTCACCTTCTCGGGGAAGATAGTGATTGATACAATGAACCCACTCAACGTCGATGCTAGCTTTAACCATTTCCATGATCTCAAGTTCATGGAGCAAACCTCCGTCACTGAGAGGCTTCAACTAGAATTTCCAGAGGCTATTCTATTTAAGGCATTCAATAATGTCCCAGCAGGTCTGCTTGACATAAAGAAATGGTCCGATGGTAGTTATCCATCAATCATTTTTATTGGCGGAAAGTCGGTCGAGGATGCTGCCCAGGTTCGAACACTGATCGAAACTTCGGGATTCAAACCTCAATTTGCAGGGCACGATTTGTCGGACTCGAGAATTTTGGAGAAACTGGGTATATTGGTGCATCGCTTGGCAGACAACGAGTATGGAGGTGACACTGGCATTGCTATTGGTGTAGTCAAGAGCTCAAGTGAATGATACATCTACTTGTGTCAAATTGGTGGCATGTTACGGTAGATATCCCCCCTATGGCATACCTAGTATAAAATGCACTGCACTATCTTGATCTACTTAGTAGATTTACATGCTATCACGTAATGTAAATCCTTAATGATCTGCGGTAGATTGAGACCGTCCACGCACGAACGCTAACCACTACTCTCATTTCATGATAAGAGAAGGACCATATGTCATTTAACAGGTGAGAACGCTTGGCCCAGGGATGGTGTATGGCTGGCCGTTGTTATTAGGAACACCACCGGTGCCGTAAATATTGATCAGGATTCCAGGATCTGTGGCTTTATAGGCACCGGGGAACTGGACGATGTCACTTCCTGTCTTACTTCCTGATCCCGTGACACGAATCTGGGCACACCCCATATAGAATTGTGCTTGGCCCTGAGTGTAAGCGGAATGGAGGGCAAGAATCTCCACGCGCATCAGATAGTCACCTGGAGCAACGCAGCTTGGGAGTGTGAAATAGTGCCATCCTCCATTGGAGATGAGTGTGTCGACAGCCCATGTGCTTCCGCTCAAGCCAGACTGGGCGATCTTGAACCAGTTCTGGCCGCTGGTGCTGGCTGAAGCAGCATTTGAGACTTTGGCGAGATAGACCATGATTGGACCTAATGGATAGAAAATAGATGGTTAGTCAATGCCTTCTTAGAAGCCCATTCTTTGGGAAGCCGATTGATATCTTGTACCTTTGTGACTTGCGGCAATGGGGTGATCAGGATCGTTTGAACCCTGAGGTCCTCCGATGACATGACCCCACCAAGCACCGACTTGGGCACCAGCAGGGACAGTGATGACTGTCTGGTCAGTGTAGCTGAGGCCATTGTTGCAGGCCATCCCGCCATCATTGACGTTTTGAATTGGGTTGTTGCTGTTTGGAGCACGGACGCCCTTCAGTTGCCCTTGGTCAGCACCATTGACACTGACCTTTTGAAAGATAGTGTGGCCAGAGGCCAAGGAGGCCAAGGTAGCGAGAGCAAGAGTGAGCAGCTTCATAGCTAAACTTGAAGAATGATCAAGAGTTCTGGTTCGGAAATTGTATTTAGGGGTTGCTGATCATGTCGAAACCCGACGCTTTGCACATATTTATAGGTTTACCATAAGAAATGATTAATACCCCTGTAAGCATTTTCATGCATTGTTGTGATCAATCTAAACTTGAACGTTCATCGGAACGGCTCTCTCCGTGTTGTAAGTTGGAAAGTTGCCACAAAGGTGTAATATGCCACCTTGAAACGCCCGCCATCTGTCAGACTGAGGAATGCCGGACCGCTGTGCAGAAAGGTAACTAACTTGTTTGGGTTTCAAATGTATGAGATCTCCAAGTGTTTCCGATGACTCCGAAGAGGCTAATATGACGACGTAGCATGGGGTCACGTACCATTTATTCTAGTTCCAATGTAACCATAGCTTGCAAAGGTCTATTGTTGGGTCACGGTTCCGGCGGTGAGATCCTCAGGTTGGCCATGTCCAAAATGCGTTGTGTGTTTCACGATAAATTAGATAAATATGCGATATAAATTCGGAAGTACAGCATCACGGGCTCTAGAAAGCGCATAATCGAAAGGAACACAGCTGGGGTAGCTACTTGATTTATCCTCGTTAGTCAGTAAAGATGAGTTACAAAGGACGTTTATTTCTTAGACATCATCCCCTTTACACAATTTGGAGTCAAGATTTGATTTGATGATAAGTACAACGCGACATGGCTCTCAAAGGAAGGGTACATTACTTTCCTACTGACGTGTTCCGCCAAGCCTCCCTGTCGGCATCATCGTTCACTAGACAATGCACATGACTGGTAATCCCCCTTTTCGAAACATCAATGAACGAATAGGAACGTCTAGATATGTCCATGTGAATATTTGTGTCAGCAAATGCGAGCATGGGACATTCAACACAGAAGTGCCGGATCACACTTTGTCTGGTGGTGTAGTGTGATCAAGGCTCTCCGGCACGCACCCATCAAATCTCATGTGAAATATTTCGGAGGCATGGAGGGAGCACTACCGTCACTATAGACTTTGTTTCTGTCGGAGACTATGAAGTCGTATTCAGTAGTGTTGAACAATTACCGTTGTTTAGTCTGTCCGGGTGCAAGGTGATGCTTTCCGGCTAGGCGAGCGACTACATGCTACAGGATGAACTGGATGCAACATCCGGGAGGGTGACAATAACATCTATCATCGATAAGTTTATTATATTAAAACACTTTATCTAACTGGCAAATATACTGCCCTTCCTACAGCGTGAAACCGAGTATATATAGCTAAATAGACAATTATACTTAATATTAATAGAACTTTATACTTTAATTAATATAAAATCCCTACAGTAGTAAATCTTATATCATAGTCCTAAATTAAGTTTCTAAATCTTCTTAATATAATAGACTGTTAATATTATACTTATATCTATAACGGCTAGAACTCTAGTAATACTAATAATTATCTATATTTTAAGAGTTATCTCTATCTACCTAAGTAAACAGCTTGATGTAATATAGTGCAGAAAAATAAAAGATGGGCCTTGATATATATTAACTTATAGACACCCGCAATAATTTAAGAGCAAGGCTGACCGCGTTTGGGTGCCTCCGTGTTCTGTTACGTCTCTCACAATTTGCACATGCTCGTCGGTTAATCAGGGCTTCGACGAAGGCGGACGAAGAATGAATGGCGTGATTGAAAGATAGCCAAATAAAGCTTTCCCTTGCATTCGGAGGAAGCATAGTATGAAAAATGTTTATCTTTAATAGATAGCGTTAAACTTTGTTGTTCATACTATTCTCTCTCAGCTCGGGTAAGAATATTGACTGACGAGGCACAGTTCCGTTGCTAAGCGTATACCGATTTCAACGTTGGTTGATAGTAGAAGGGGCGGCTTACAGGCTGGAGACGGGATGAAGACATGACCTATAATTCTAATGACCTAGTTATCCGCAGTGAATATCAATGATGATAACCATGGGGTATCGGGGCTTTAGAAGGTCGTGATGGTGGACAAGGTGACCACTAGGACTGAGTATCTCGTTGCCTTGGAACACCTTCGACATATAGACTTGGCTGTATTTGATCGATAACATAAGCTAATATCATCTTATATGCCTTGACATTATCTTCAATCATGATTTTGGTATTATGTCAACAACGATAGTCTCGTGAAGCCAACTGACCCTCACTCTAATGCTGATGCCTGGACCACCATCCCTTGGCCGTTGTGGGGTAGCTAGGCTTCTATAATTTATCCCAGTCGCTACAGTCAGGCAGCACTGCCACACCCCAAACTGCCACAAATACCCGTGGCCAAATCAACTGCAATCTGTCAAGTCAGACAGGAAATAAATATTTACACTGCGATACCCCTCTGAAGCGATACTTCCATGACCAAAGTACCAAGAGAGGATTCTTTACTAACTCCTCATCAACATGACGCTGGAAGAAAAGGAGATGCCATCGACCGAGATCGATGAAGGGTCAATTATCAGCAAGCAGCCATCTGCCGAAACCGAAAGCACTGCCAACAAAATCGCCTCCGAGACACGGAATAGCTGGTTTCCGTCATTCCGCGCAATTCTCCCAACGTTTTTATCTAAGGAACAACCCGGAACGGCAATTACACGGTTATTCGATGATGTACCTGGATATCCAAGAGTTGCATTGATTGGGCTGGATTGGGGAGGAAAGAGCTTATTGCTGGAAAAATTCTTATCGTCCCGGAGCAAAGATATCCATCGCATCATGCCTACTATCGGCACCATCATCGAGATGGTTAGATCAGAAACAGCGTCTTTCTACACATATGATATTGGAGGCTGTCGGCCGAATTCCTACCGGCTCTTTGACCGAGCCATGTTCAGAGAGGCGGAAGCGGTTGTTTTCGTGGTTGATGCAAATGACCGAGATCGGGCTTTGGAGGCCCGTGAAGAGCTGATGATGGAAGGGCTCCTGGATCCTGAAGGGATGCGCAAAGAAACGCCGTTGCTGATTTTAGCAAACAAACAAGATCTTCCGGTACGTATTGGTAACCTTGAAAAAGCCATCGGAAACTTGTGTCATAAAACTAACGTTGAATTTGCAGAACGCAAGAAATGCCGAGCAAATAAAAACCTTCTTTGTTGACAGCATATCAACATCCATAGGTGATCGTCCTTGTGTCAGTAGTTCAAAATATCTATGAGGAAAAGAATGGTGCCGCTAATGACAGTTGCAGAATGTATTTGCAACTACAGCCACTACAGGGGAAGGCATAGAAGACGCTTTCAGATGGCTCGCATCAACCCTAGCTGAGACAACCAATAATGAAAAGACGTCAAACCCGGCAGGCCAGGGCCGTTATGGGACCAAAAGGCCTACGCCAGAGGAAGAAATCCAGACTATATGGGAGACCTGCACTTATGTGAAGAACAAGCCGAAAGCAGGCACATGAGTATAGTGCTTTAAGGCTTCGCGTCTCTGCTCTCCTTTGGTTGACTAACCTTCGTTTTTCTATGATTATACTTGCGTCAAGGTAAAGAAGAAAGTGTAGATATTGAACTATTTATTGAACTATTTATTAGTGCCTATTAAACATGACTATCTTCAATCATAAACGAACCTCGTGATAGCGGTATGTGATTTGTTCCGTTCCGCACGCTAATGTGCTAATGTAATGACCATCTTGCCGCTAGACATGACATCAGCACTTCCTTCTCCTCACAACAAAACCAATCCGTCGTTACATCAAAGCAATCATGTCCACCTTTCAGCCAAACACGTACGCCGCCAACACGGCCTTGGTGATTGGCTTGGTGCCGGGCCTAGTGGGCATCAACGCGCTGCTCCGACCCGGCCATGCGCTCTCCCTCATGGGGTTCCCGAGCGCCCCAGAGGCCGGTGGCCGAAAATTGTCGCATTCTCTCGTTCAGATGATGGCCTCACGAAACATATCAATGACCCTGACCACCATCACTCTGTGGTTCGTGGCTGATCAAGAGACCTTGGGATATGTGATGCTGGCGAATGCTCCAATCGCACTCATTGACGGCTTCATCAGCCGATGGCAGGTTGAAGGGATGGAATGGGGGCATTGGATAGCTGTTCCGATCAGCGTTGGTTTGGGCGCTCGACTTATTGGATGGATTTGAGGCATTTGCTCCGTGCGGCCTAGAGCAACAAAGCATCGTGTACATTATGAGCGAGAGCATTGTCTATCTCTCCGCTCTCGACTTAAAACTCACCCCTCCCCTTGAATTAAGAAACAATATTGGGATTGCCTGAAGCCATATAGCGACAGCATAATTCCAGTTGCAGCACGTTCAGAAGACTACCTGTAAACTTGCATTATAACTCGATTTTGAGGCTATTTTGCAGCTAAATATATCCTACCCATGGTATGTTTAAGAGGCAGAACGCGTACCTTTCCTGATACCCGTTGGTACTAAAGTTAAATATGCCAACGAGGTTTTCGCTCTCTTCTCTTTGGCTATCTGAACCGCTATTTCAAGCTTGATTAGTTAAGTTTGGGCTAGGCTACTCCAGATAGATCAGAACCAGCCTTGCACTTATACCAGAAACTTCTTTGGCATGCTAAACTTTTTATTTACAAGATCGATCTGAACTTGATCTTGCATCCTTTACTAATTTTGAAGACATCTGTTTGATATCAGATCATTAATATTCTAGTACAAGACTTTAGCCGTATCACGTGACAAAGGTGCACAGCCTCTTAGTTCTCATTTCTTCGCAACTCGCTTGACTCCTTAATTCACGGGATCACCGGACTTGCAAGCTGCACTTCGACAACATAAATCGTGTTAAGAATGGGCACGGCTAGTATAACCGCTTCGGAAAACTCTCGTCGCGATGGGCTATATACCTCTCTGCGCGACGACAGGGACGAGGTTCGAGTTTTAACTTTGGAATCCATTCATGACGACGGTCTTGTCCACTGCCGCCTAGAAACCGTCTCTCTACTAGACTATAGCCCGGACTACTCCTCATTTCTTACTTCATTTACCGGGAAGGCCGACTTGACTCGTCGCATCCTTCGGTCTTGGACAGAGCTCTGCTTTCCACAAGCTGCTCAGTCTCCTTCAACTTCCAAGAACAGATGGAAGCAACGCCCCAATGCCGCATCATGCCGCTTCAATTGGGGAGATTTCGCGGCTCTGTCATATGTCTGGGGAACCAGCAACAAAGAACGGCATATAGTCGTGAATGGAGTCACCCTTCGCGTCACGCGGAATTTGGACGAAGCTCTCCGCAGGCTTGCGCGCAACGACGAGTTTCGCGGAGAGTACAAGATATGGATCGACGCGGTTTGCATCAACCAGGAAGATGAACAGGAGCGGGCTATTCAAGTGAGGAAAATGAGACGGATCTACAGCAGCGCCTGGAAGGTCATCTCGTGGCTGGGTGAGAATGATGCAGGAGGCTGGATACCCAAAGCTTTTGCTTTCTCAAACATGCTGGCCTCACTCCAGGATGATTCTCAGGATCTCCGAATGCTATGTAACCATAATTCAGGGATCTTGACAGATGCCGGGTTTCATGCGATGCATGAAATGACACGTCACCTATATTGGCACCGGCTTTGGATTATCCAAGAAGTTGTTATGGGCGCGTCATACACGATATTGCGTTGCGGTGATCACCACCTTGATTGGGATACCCTGTGTAGGGCAATTGCGGTATTATATCACGGCGACAACTGGAGCCTCAAGGATGAGATGCTTAGAAGAGCGTATCGCCGCGGAATAGGTACTCATAAAGTTTGGAGCACAAGCTCTCTGCATTTGATCCATCTGGATCTTCGTCACTTGAGTAATTATGAAGACGAAGGCACCAGCTCCGGCCGCCTAGGCCTCCGTCGCTTATTGGAAGTGGCCAACTCAGCGAAGTGCCTCGAGCCCCGTGATAAGGTCTTCGCCTTAGCTGGGATGATGGAGACTGAGATTGCGAACGAAGTCACCAAGGCTTACAGCCTTGACATACCGCAGTTATTCGCCGCAGTAACTGTCGCATTCATCAAGCACTATAATGATTTGGAGCCCTTGCGTCAGGGAAATCCGTGGGGGCCGCAGACAGCGCCAACTTGGGCGGCTGACTGGAGCTGGAAGGGCCGCTTGCGATGGTCCCGTCCAGAGACTCCCTACGTTGGCCCTCTTTGGGATGTATCAGATCCCGGCCCGCGGCCAGAGGAAATCTACAACGCCCATGGTGGACTGCCAGCTCGCTATGTGATTCCTGACGATGGCTTCTCGCTGCAGTGCGACGGTTTCATATTCGATGAGATTGTCGGGTTAGGCGCAAGAGAGTATGGCATATTCGAGTGGGTCAAGGGAACAGAAACACAATGCCCCTCGTGGAAAAGCTGCTACGGCGATGATCGCGACACTGCGCGGGCACTGTCTCGCCTCTTACTAGGAGGCAGCACGGTCGGTAGACATGACCAGGCTAAAGGGTGTTATGAAGCCGTCTTGAGCCTTCCATCAACTTTCGAAGCAGGCCATCCACAGTTCCGTGCCAAGAAGTGGAGTTGGCTTGAGAATCGGGAGGGTTATTATTATAAATGGTCGGAGTGGAGGAAGACGCATAACCACATGATGCTTGGCAAGAGAAGGTTAGAGTCTTTTTTTACGGACAAAATACCAAACAAGGCCGAAGAGTCCGCATACACCGCAGCGTTCGTTGGAATAGACAGGACTGTCAAAGAACGACGCTTCATGCTGACGGGAAGCGGCCGTTTCGGCTGGGCCCCGGACAATTCGTTCGACCGTGATGAGGACAGAAATCAAGTGAAACTAGGGGATTTGATTGCCATTGTGTTCGGTTGTAGCACTCCGCTGGTTATCCGTCGGTTTGATAAACAGTACTGGGTAATTGGCGAGGCTTATGTTGAAGGAATAATGAATGGAGAGGCTATTACATTCCTTGATGACGGGTTGTTTAAGAAGGAATCGTTTGTCTTCTGCTAGAGAATATATTGATTACATTGAAGACACATTTCTGCTGTGATCGCCCAACGCCTAATCTTGTTTATGGAAAAGCGTAATTACACGCAAATGACTCGATAGTTAAATCAATAGATCAGCTTAGGGAGCCTTCCATGGCGGTTCGATACTTGCATCAAATCCAAAGACTCCATCCTAAACTATTACTAGCCTGATATTTATTCCAACATCGACCTTTAGTAAATTACTGATGGCCCCTATACACCTATGGTAGCCCCAACTCATGAACTATCTTATAAATACTATGTTAGATTCTCCGTCATCAGACCAGTGATCATGTTTCGTAGCCCATGAATGTTCAAAATACCCCACGCGATACATGAGAGGGACGACCTTTGGTCTTCCACCAACCATCATTTTGCTCTCCATATTCCCTCCACCTAGAGCAAGGCCAGCCACATACCAACGTTGGTCCCAAGATCTCCACCATCGAGCAACAGTCAGCAATGTCAAAGGCGACTCCCAGGTGGTTGCATCAGGAAAAAACCAGTGTTTCCGTGTAGGTTTGTCTCCATCGTCATCCCCTGGAAGAGGAGCCCAAGGATACTCCCACACATACCCTTCTTCTTCTAGCCCCATACGGACTTCCACTATTTTGGTTGGGCCTTCTAGTAACAGCATTGGGAAGGGAACATCGCAACGAGGGCTCATAAATGCTCTGACTTTGCTTCGATACTCAATCTCCCTCTCCCATGGGCTAGCGCCTTTAACTCTAGCGCCAGACATAAGCATGAAATGATGCCGATTGATTGTTTCGAGGTATTGGCCGTTCTCTGCTACGATCCAACCGGACTTTTCCACTAAGCCATAATTTGAGGTATTCACTATACGGTCATGGAACGTGGTGGGATACTCCACTTTGCAGTTGCAAGATGTCCAACTAAATGATGGGGGTCTGTCTTCGAGCTGTAGTCCGCTTGTATCATCCTCTGGTTCGTGAGTGTGCCAGAGAAGCTGAGCCACAAAAAACTCTATGTTGGCCGGATCAGTCCAAAGCCCATAAAAGAAATTGAAACCAGAATTACTTTGTATTATCTGAGTAATTCCGGCAAGTGCGATGAGCTTATCCGACTGGTATGTGAGGTTTAATCCGCTATAATCATACACGACTTCAAACCAGGCCATGAGGAAGTGCTTGCGATCCATGTCCCGAATATGACCCCGATATAGATGAGTTGTGAGCTGATCCATCATCTCTTTATCTCGAGTGACATTTCCAGGCATGTTCTTGGCGTCGTCTTCGGTCGGTCGTGTCTCTTCATATTTTGACTCTTTACAGTCCCAAGTTATACCAGCTGCGGAAAAACCGAGTGTTCTTGGGCTGAGCAACCTTTCTTGGAATACCCAAGCACGACTGTTCAGGTTGTGGGGTCCTGAAGCTTCTATTGATTCTTCTCGGTATGCCGGTATGGCGAAGACAGTGTTTTCAAGTCCTTGAAATAGCAGCGGCATTTTCCCAGAAATATTGCGCATAGAAAAGCAACCTGAATCCACGTTGGCCGAAAACAATGCAGCAATAGTCAAAGAAGAATTTCTATAAACTGCAGACATAGTTTTCGCTTCTCTTGACCAGTCCATGCTATCATCTTGAATGATGCACAATGAGTCAATCCAGATATAGCGGTAGCCAAGCTGATGGCTTATCTCGACTGCATGGCGGAATGTGGCAGGCATATCCGAAGCTGCGAATCCCTTCGACATTTGATCGAAGTTGGCGCGTGTAAGCCGGAATTTATTGGAATTACCCCAGCAGTGGCTTAGTGTTAAGTACTGTGTGCCTCTATCTTCCTCCTTCGTGACGTATATCCGTAGTAGCTGGGCTACACTTTGTTGGCCTAGATCGACCAATCTCGTTGGTACCCATTCATTCGGCTTTGAGCAGTTGTGTAGCTTTTGGCAATTTCCCAACCACTTACGTGCGACTGAGAACGATATTGCTGAGCCTGTATATGCTGTGGTTTTTGAGAACCCTTGGTCCTGCTCGGCTACTCTGCCACTCAATGCTATTTCACTCGCCTCCGCTGACTCACTCACTCTCCCAAACTTCACACCGTTGTGTGTGGAATCGGCATCCTTGATGCTCGCATCGTCTCTGTAAAGGACAAATTTACCAGTAGTTGATGAAAGCCTATGTATATCAACTACTAGCGCAGCTGAATCATGCAACTCGGCAACCAGGCGCGAATCGTCTCGATTGGAGCCACTGACCACGAGCTGTCGAAGATGGCCACGAATTTCTTCCCTCTCCTTTTTCTCCTTCATTTCTTGCCATAAGCGGGAGCACAAGAGACATCCGTCAAAGATGGAGCAGGCTAGGGAATGGAGTGACGGGTGGTGCTGCAAGGTTTCTGAGTTGAGATGGACTGAGGTTTCCGTTTGCTCCCTTTTGTATTTATCTTCTTCTACCTCCTTGGTCTCTTTTGCAGCCCTCGGCGGCTTCTGTCTCTTCTTGGTGCTGGGATCAACGTTTTTCAGCACTTCTTCAAGGGGTCGTTGGTCCCACAACGACGCGTTTTGTAATAGCTCTGACGTGCTTAACATGGCGATACATACATCACAAAACGTACCATTGACGGTAATCGCTGGGGTTTGTTCCTTCTGCGAAGATGATGCTGCCATATTAGCGAGATGAGTGGTGTCAACATTGTCCCGCAGGGCATCTGGTGGCTCAGGTGTACTGATCGTATTTTGGTCAACTGACGGTAAGGGGCCAACTTGAACTTCTTCATTCCCTCCCGTAACAGTCGAAATTTCAATGTCGCCCGTTGCATATTTCAGAGTGAGAATGTGAAGATCACTCAGCATCCATGTGAGAACACCAAGGCTCTCGTCGATGCACGGCTTGTTGGTACTTTGAGAGACAGCCCTTCTCTCATAGGCCGTCCTGACAAAGCAGTGGTTCTGTCTGAGGTCCACCAATTGTATGACGTGGGTTGCTTTCCAACTAATACTCTTCTCTCTGAATGCCTCACTTACAAGTCGATGGCCCTTGTCGTAACACCACAAGCCATTCTGTAGACACGACATGCATACATTAAAGCTCTCATCCCCCAAAGGTCCTTCAGGCTTGCAATCGGAACATTGCCAACTCATGCCTGAAGGCTGGGTTCGAAGACAAAGACTGCATGTCACAAGCGACACGGATGACTTTTGATCAAAGTCAGGGACAGGGGTGAGATCTATCTCATGTCCGAGTGATGGGTCTGGCTCACCACACAGTGCGATGGCTTCTTCGAGACCAAGAGACTGAGAGCCAACCAGAATCAGTTGATTTGTAGCATAACAAAGAATCCATTGCACCTGAGGAAACAAATCTTGTTGTTCAATTTCGAAAACTTTGTTCATTGAAAGCTCATTGTCCAGGAAAGATATGGAATAGATAGATCGCACAGCCAGACCATATCGGAGATCATCAGATATGCAAACGTGTGGGTTCGGATCTCGAGTACGATGAGCCTCTAGTTCTGCTAGTTTTACGGGAAGTGCAGACATGATATCCAAATCTATTGGCTTCAGCATGACCAGGCCAAAATGAATAGAGAGCACTGAGAAGTGTACCTTGACATTTGGTTTCTAGTGGATGATCCTGCGACATTATGGGTAGTTTTCGATATTGGTATAATTCTAGTGATACATATAAAGGTGATGTTATCGAAATAAAATAGTTACGAGGCTATTATCAGACAACTAAAGAGCGAGAAAGCAAGTAGTCAGAGCAACGAGCCTTGATGTTGCTCGAGGCCACTTAACCTGACGTCTACGTAAGAGGTGTTCCCAGGATCATGATTTTGTTAGGCGCAATAGTAAGGTGATGTAATACCGTGACATCAAGATGCGGAGAAATCTAAAAGTAGCTCATGGGCAAAAGAGACTCCCATCAGCAAAAAAATTGGTGGTCGCGAGAGGACATGAATGAACACCTCGTCGCCAGTGCTCTCGGCATAATCCTGGGAAAGGCCTTGGCTAGTGTTTAAATTAATGAAGATTATGAGCTACTTCGCATCAGTGACTCTATCTTCAATTGAGCACTTAGTTTATGCCATCCAGGCTCGGCTATCCGCTGCCCCCTTTTCCTAACGAGTGGCCAAAGTTCCAATCAGCTTGGTGTCGCCTGGGCGAAGCCAGACACCTCAACAATTTCAGCGCACAGAGTGGGCGATGATGCAATGAGGCTCTTTGCAGTCCAATGGGGAAGTCGTTGCATGATGTTACCGAGTGATGGTAGAGATTGGCCCAGCCGCACATGCATCCTTGAGCCGTGACTGGTCCACGTATCACCCACCCACCCATGGTGAGATACAACATAAAGGGATGGTTGGATTTTTGTGTCAGACATAACGATACCTTTGTGAATAACTTACGAATTTCATAATTGTTCTATGCCATCGTCATGGCCGGTCTAATGCACGCCTTCGGACTCTTGGCTATCGCCTAACCGCCGTGGCTGGACGTGGCTGCATATAATGCGGCCCGTATCACACCCTCCATTACGCGAAGGCGGCGAGACACATCGCAAATCCGGAATAGTGCAGCACCCGAGCGGCATAAGTTCAGTCAGCTGAGCCGTCAAAGGCAGTGATTTGCTCGTTTTCGCTGACTGGGACCCCGAAGGCTTGCAGAAAGGAGAGTAGCAGCCAACACACCTGTGTTATACCTGAGACCTGCATCTAGCCGAAGGGTCTCGCGATGCAATTGCCTAATCTAAGTCGTATGAATGCCCTGCCCGACCTCCCACTCGCCCCCGAGCCCACGAACGGATGGGCAGAATAGTGAAAATGTAAATCCCAGTCTCCCAAGCAGTATTCATCTCGTCGCCTTGGTTTTCCTCACGTCAGAAGTGAAACGAGGATCATTTGTGAGGTTTGGAGGAATATAAATATCTGTTCCTCAACTTCCATCGAAACGGTCAACCTCAACAACCACTTTCTAGTTAATTTGCTTTCCTACGATGGACTCGCCTCAGCTGGCACATATTTTGTTTGCTTGACAAAGAGGCAGTGATCAGCGAACCCCTCATCTGCCTGAGTGTTCAGCAGTAGCTGAGGACGACTCGTATGAGTGGAGAAAATATTGATTGCATGGGTTCTTCCAAGGAACGTGTGCGGCTCGGCAAGTTTAATGTTGATTTAGCCATCACTGACGCCCCAAGGGCGCTCACTATCCATACAGCGTTACATCCTCAAAGGGTGGACAATAGATCATGTCACAGGGGTAACAGCAGTGCGCAGAGCAAGAGACGACGGAATATCATTGTTCATAATACTAACGTAAATAAAGCATCGACAAAGGGAAAAAAGAGTGGCTAATAAGTATCAAGTTCGATGGGTCCAGTAGGGCCATTGCTGCTCAGGCTGCTGCTGCTGCTGATCATCCTGCTGATCCTCCTCAAGGGCCTCTAGAGGCTGTTGCGACTGGAGGTCCTGCTGATATAGATTCTGAGGCTCAACAAATTCGTATGGGCTGAGCGCGAGAGGGGGTGGAATCAGCGTTTGGGAGGGCATGTTTGTCGCCGTGGCCTCCGCTAATGTAGGTAGCACCGCATTGATCACGGTTTGCAGAGAGACCAGGTCGATCCCCTGTGGCTGCACGCCAAGCTGCTGTAGAGCAGTAAGGATCCGGCCAATGGATATTTCGTCTCTTAATGCACGTTCCCTCAAGATCTTTACCGGATCGTCGATGGTCAGGTAAAGATAAGGTGAAGCAGGCCGGTCGGTGGCACCTGGGAAAACAAGGTCATAAAGAAGATACCATTTATCCGAATCGCTTGAGCGCCTTGCTTCAACAAAGGCCTGGTTCATTCTCCGGAACGTCTGTTTAGTGAGAATGTGTTCTGGGGGCTGAGGGGGCTGGCAGGTATCATCTTGGGTGTGGCGCATCCAGCTCTCAGCGTCGGGAAATTCTGCAAAGCAAGTTGCACAATAATAGTCTCCCAGGGTGTGAACTCTCTCGAGGTGACCTTTGACGTCTGCCACTCGCTTTAATTCATACTTGCGGTAGCAACGCCAGTGTCTCTCGGGATCCCGCTTGAAGTAGGGACAGGCGAAGAATTGGGTGACCTGACCCGAGCCTAGATGCCGTCGCTTCGGGGGACCTCCCCCTTCCCCATCACCTCCATCTTCCTCTTCTTCAGCTTCTTTCTCACCGCCGATGTTAGCTCGACCCCTCTTCTGATGTGGGCGATGTGTCATGCCTCTACCATCCACGGTGGAGGGGGCGCCACAACTGGAGGGCGGGTCGGCCTGGTCGACACCATTCAACACATAGTTGGATGGACATTTCCCGTAGAAGTCACTTTGAAGGGCGCTGAATGTGGTAATTTGTGCGGCATTTGATAGTTTCGGGGTGTTTATCGGATTCAAATCGGCCGTTAAAGGAGTGTCGAAAGGGTCATCAAGTCTCGAGGAGTACAACTCGGCTGCCAATCGGGGCCACATTAGCAAAGCTGGACGTCTGAGCTATGACGGAACTGTGCAGACAAATGCAGACGCAGTGGCAGTCTGCAAGCCACTGCAGATTGTTGCATAAGGAGTGGAGGATGATGTGCTCACCGTCATAGGACTCTTCTCCTTGGCTCAAGAGGAGGGCAGATCGAGCTAGGAGAGCATCTTGGCTCGGCTGCACACCCTCTTCAATGTCGCTGTAGCGAATTTTAATTGAACCGGCTGCGCCCATTCGTCGCAGATATGGTCCTGGAGCTGTCATTATTCGTGACAGCTCGCGTGCGTTGCTACTGCGTGAGGTCCCAGCTGCAGCCGATGTAGCTCCCACCATCCTGGCCTGTAGCAGTTTGTCGGAAGCCATCACTGTCACAGTAGGACAATGTTTCGAGACGAGAGATCGCTGATAGTAAAGAGTAGACAGGTAGGCTTGCGGGTGGCTTCAGGAGAAGCTTATGGTACGAAAATAAAGGGAAATTTTTCAGAGGCAGAGTTGCCAGATGGGAGACTTCCCCTCTCCTCAACCATCCGACGAGGCGATCAATTTTGTGAAGACCAGGCGCACCTGTGTGTTTTCTCCCCCCTCCTTACACAGCCGCCCTAGGCTTCTCACAACGGCGTTGGGAACATACAACAACACACGCCGGTGAGCCCAAGAGCCCCTGCTAGACCATCAAGACGGACTGGGAGTCTGTAATGATTCCTTGTTCGGAAATGGCGACAAAGGTGGCAGTGACACATAAGATGCTGTATGCTAATCGCAGCCCATGAAGCTTCGGCGGATTTTCAGAGTCTCTAGAGCTTCATACAAGCAACCAATCTTCTTATGAGGTATTCATTGTAGCGGACATGATGTAGACTATGGGCTTCTACTGCGAGCTTAGGACGATATTTGCCTTTTTGTTGTTCTGCCCTCCCAAATTCCTCCATCTTCTTAAAATTCTGCCTCGGGAATCTGTAGTCCTAGGCTTTTCCAATGCTAGATTCCCTAGCATGTCGAACTGCAAGACCTAGACCATAGACCTGACGATCAACGGTAGCGGTAGCATAGGAGGGAGACATCATAATAGAGCTGTTCCAGAGGTAATACACCCTAAATCCATTTTATTTGCATGAACAAGAGGAGACGCTCGCATGAATTTGTGATCCGCATGGTTATGTGGATGAGAGGTGTGTGGGACTGTCGACGACTTCTAATTCTGATGTTTTGAGCAGATCAGTCCACCAATTCGATAGTTCAAGCATACCATAGGTCCAGCTCACTGTTGACGGCTGTATGAGGCAGCGCTATCCCGGTCAACCTGTGCATGAGGGCATCAGATCCTTGACACCCAAGCCGTGTGATCATGACAGCAAACACAGAATTGCCCTTGCGCCCCCTCTTCACCGCCATGAACAACAAAAGGCCTCAAATGATGGCATGGACCTAGGCAGAGCTCCCCAGGGATTGGAATCTCATCTGACCGGAAATATTGATATTATTAATGATAACAGCACCCATGCATGCAATGTTCCCCGAGAGTGGCGAGGGGATGGGGCGGGCACGCATGGCTCTCCTCTTGCACCGCGTCTTTTTCCATGGGCAATAACACCCCGCACCATGACGAAACCGGTGAGGCCAAGTGGAAAAAGGAGATAAGTTTAGACCAAGAATGCCTCCTTGATCAGAGTTGCCCGGCACTAAGAATTCGAGAAAATAAAACAGTCCCGAAGGAGCCGGCATTCACGACATCACCTGCTGCAAAGGAACGCAGTAGGCATTCTGTAGCCGGGACTTCAAGCTCTCTGGGAGTAAGTTCTTCATCAAATCGGATAATACATGACCGACTGAAGGATGACTGTCGTGATACCCCAGGTGCAGATGCTGGCGCCCAGCCACCAACAAGCTCTCCACGCGCCAGTCCCCGCCTCTAGATTAAACAACGGATCCAGAGCCGTGTCTAACTGCATTCCGTGATGACGTACGTATTAAGGCAATAAAGTTTGCTTCCACAAGAGTACTCTATATTACCTAGTGCACAACTACACCTCTCGGGGCGGCGCCGATGCCACACGTCTAGATTTATCTAGGTACCCAATTTATAGACGCCTAGAGTAGCCACAAGGATGCATGACTGCGCACCTAACCCATAAATTTAACCTTCCGTTTCAGCCGGTGATGAGGTGCCTCCGTAGAATGGCAGACAGCACCATAACCAAGGAAAAGGGGGAGTCGTTGTGGATACATACGCAAGCCACGCTGGGCAATCACATGGTATGGAGGCGAATAACTCAGACGGATTTAATGCGAGTGAACTGCACAATTCAAAAGAAACATTCAGACCGACAGGGAGTGTTCGGGCGCATGCAACTGGGGGCTTGGTAGTCACCCCCCTGACGGCCAACACCAACAAGGTTCCAGTCTACCAAATCAGATCGCTTATTCGGTAAACGGAGGGTAGTACCAGGAAGCTGCTAGTGATCCCACGGATCAGGCAGTATTGGGCATCAACTAATTTGAAACCCCCGCCCCTTAAAGTCCTTGGGAAAGATCCTTTAGAAAACAACGTCAGCATGCCTGGCTTCCTCGGTTTGCACACTCGCGTCCGTCAAGTAAATGGGGAAACTGGGGTGCTCGAGAGGTAATGCATTTACTCAGATTCCCCGGAGCAATACCCGCCGTTTATTCTCTATGGCGCGGAGGCCCATTCCGACTCCTTTGATCAACACCCTCCATCGACCAGTTCTTAACGGGCCCCCCGCTACCATTAGCTGACCTTGAACAAGCGTATTCTCATAATATTACCATTACATCTATGGGACGAGCCGTCTCGAAGCTTTCAAACAGAGCTGGTCCCGACCCAAACTCCCCAGCCAAAATAAGCGCCGGGGTTTCTTCTCCTCCGTTCGTACCTCGGAACTCCTTTCAGCCGTCCCATCCCCAGAACCGAACTCTTCCGCCAACAGCGACAAACGATCCACGACCACCCACACGCAACATTTCAAATTTCCATAACCGCAAAGGGCGTCGACACGATGCCGCGACCTTCAACACGACTACTCGTATTGAGCTTCAGGTCGACTACCGTGCGGATAAGTTCTTCACCGACGCAGGGCTTTGAAAAGCAAGCTACATGAACCACGATCGATTACAACCAACGTCCCGATAGAACATGGATTGACAAGATATGGGGGAATACGTCCATACTGGCCGTGTCCACTTACTTCTTCGCCCCGTTGGAATAAAGGCAAGACGCAAGGATATGCCCCAGCAAGACCCGTTGTTAGCCGGCGATCCATCCACGACGACAAGGGTCATCGCTGTCTTTGCATCGTGGAAGATTGATTGACACTCAGTCGTCTCCGAACCGTAGAAATGGGTCCTCAGACGACCTTGAAGCTCGCCCCTGCGAAGTCTCTTAGCTGTTGGTCCGCCGTAAGAGTGTCTCCCAGTCACTACGAGCGATGAGAACGCCGCTCGTTGGCCGCCTATGCATTCGCAATATTGCCTTGCCAGGTCGGTTCTGGAAGTGAGGGAAGCAGGAGAGGAGCGACCTCTCATGTCGCCCAGTAGCTGTCAAAACAAAGCCTATCGCCATGACTGGCCTCATCTTCCAAGCCAGCATAGAGTGAGGATAACTCTCTTGCAACTATGAATCTTGACTGAGACTCGATGCAGGCTCCAAGAAGGGCCACCGTTCCTTATCATCATAAATTATATATACTAATAGCCAACCTCATTCATTCGTAGGCACACGTAGGCTTGAAACGACTAGCGGACTGGCCATGACATCCACCACAATCCTATCATTCAATTCATTTCATCTAAACTAAGTGCAGTCACTAGAAACAACAACCAAAATACCATTCCACCAACCCGTTTGCCGTTGCACACGCGTTTAGTGTCCCTAGGAATATAGCAATGTAGTAAAGCATTGAACGGGTTTTAAGGCGACTTTGCAGTCGCAAACGGGAACTACTCCTAAGTGCTATAGCTAGGCGGCTGTAGTTCACAACTACGACTTAAGGTGGCAACCTAAGGCTTAATCATCTTAAAGAACTGCTCGCAGAGGGACCAGCTTACCCCAGGACAGAGAATTTGTAAATTCTTAGTTCGCTCTAACTCAAGGATACCTAGTTTGGTCCATGCATTTAGTAGCCAATCTAAAGATTCGGAGTCAATCCAGTGTTTACAACAAGGGCGGTACGTATTTATTCCAACCAAACAAAGAGGTCTAACTAAACCCAAGAATATCAACCGATGCTGAGTCAGGACAGTCGCTAGCTTCCAGCATTGATTCTGCCTAGGTAACCAGACGCATCTTTGTGCAGTCTAGATTAACCAAGGTCGGTCATTGGTCAGCTGATTGGACAGGCGTTTTCAGCTCGTCCCGCCCGCGCCACACGACAATCTGGACACAACACGCGCTCCTCATTCAGGTGTAACGGATCAAAGTCCAGGGCCGTGAGCACGTGGAGTTGTTGGTTTTCTCATGAGTTACGATTAGCCGAAACCGCGAAGCGCAGACCTACCACCAGCGGCCATGGCAGGCTTCGGCCAACTGGCTGGGCTGCCGGAGATCGTGCGGGACTCTCAGCTCCCCGCAACGTTCCGCTGGGAGGGCCAGCAGCAATTCACTATCCACACTCAGGGCGCAAGTCGGCGCGCCAAACAGAGCCAGGAAGTCTGGGCGCACATAGGCACATTGGGCCAGGGGGGATTTGGATCGGTCGAGCTGCAGGCCAAGCAGTCTAAGCGGGCTGGGCAGACGAAGGAGCTCCGGGCGGTCAAGTCTATCCGGATCCCAGAGGATGAGCTGAATGAAAACCGCGAGTTCTATGTGAGGGAGCTTGAAGCCATCGTCAAGTTTTCGCAAGCACGGGTAAGTGTTGCCTTGTCGTTGGCCCCTCCCGATCTGCAGATGCTGATGTTTAATCCTAAAGTATGGCGAGCTCTTTGTCAAATCATATGGATGGTTTGCGTCCCAAGGTGTCCTCCATATCGCCATGGAGTATTGTGAGCTAGGAGATCTACAGAGATACCTGTTCAAGAAGTGCCAGGATAGACGATTGCCTGAAAATCAGGCTCACGAAATTGCTTCCCAAGTGCTCGACGCCTTGACGAGGATGCATGAAGAGAAGTTTGCGCATCGCGACCTCAAGCCAGCGGTATGAAGCAGGATTGTCTCTTTATCCTTCTATGTTCCCAACTGATTCGTTTCTACCGCAGAATATTGTGATTAAAAGCCACCCACCCAGCCATCCGTGGGTGGTGAAAGTGGCAGACTTCGGCATCAGCAGACGAGATCAAGGCACAACAATGAATCCAACAACTAGTGTGCGAGGTACGGGCTCTTTCATGCCGCCAGAGCTACTCGGTTTCAGTGGTGAAAACACCAGGGCTGTGGACCTTTATGCAGTTGACATGTGGTGCTACGGAGAAACCTTGTTCAGGATGCTGACGGGTGGCGGTACATTTGAAAAGCCAGCGGACTTGTACGGGTATTATTTTGGCCACGTGAAATTCCCAAGAGCTGTTCTCGAGCAGATCCAACTGAGCCCTGCGGTGATCGACTTCCTGCAATCTCTGCTTACCTGCGACCCAGCACAACGTCTCACATCGGAAACGGCGTTAGATCATTCGTGGATGGAAACAGATTTTCACGGTTCAGATGCATCATCTCGCAGAGCATCCCGTCGCCTATCTTCAACCAAACCATTAGATAGTATCGACCCTTCCACATTGGAAAATACCATTGTGCAGATGGCCGAGACAGACAACACAGACGCCTCAGCCTCCTGGACAGAAAACTTCTCGCAGATGCATCTCGACGATTATCAGCAGAGCAATTCATTGCAGCAACAGACGGTATTTCACTCAAACAGCCATCCTGCTACATACTCGTCCAAAGTACCAGGCGGCTCTAAAAATACTCCAATTTTCAATCCCGAAGAGAATCGTCCAGGCTTGCCGACCTTCAACGTGTCTCCTGGGAACAGCAGGGCATCAAACCAAGGTGATCTGCTGGAAGACACTGCAGCGTCTTTATCTTGGACTTCCGCCTTCCCAACGAGTCAAACCCTTGAAGGAAAAGGGCCTTTGGCTAGCATGGACACATCCCAAGTTCAACCTATACAAACATCTTTTACATCCCCAGTCTTTTCCACAAGTCAAAGAAAGGCTCAGATTAGTCCTACCCCTGAAGACGAATCAGAAGCTACGTTAGTCCCAAACCCGAACTCGCAAACCAGATTCGAGGCCAGTGACGTGGGAGTATTTGATGAAGACCTTTATCCTTGGACTCAAAAGTCGGCCCCCATCTCCCACAGAGAAGACTCGGGGTTGGCAGGCATACCCCAGAATCCACCACATTTAGATGACATTACGCAAGGAAAGCAAGCCGAAACCGCTACACAGCCCCTTAACCCCATTGATATTCAAATAGACATCGGCGAATTAGAATTTCATATGGCTAAATTCCGTGGGAGCAATGATTTCACTTCCGCGAAGAGCCACTTTACGCATTGCTGGGAAAAGGCAAAGTCGACCCTGGGCGAAGAGCATCCAACATCAATTCGTGCTCTAGATTATCTTATAGAGTCAATGCTCAATCTAGACGAATACAATACAGCGGAGTACCTAAGCAGAGAAATGGTCACTCTTCTGATCAGGACAAAAGGACCAGACCATACGTCTACAATTCCTAGCAAAATAGAACTCGCATATTGCCTCAGAAGGCTTTTCCGATTCGACGAATCAATCTCCCTGGTACAAGGCGTTATCAGCTCCTGCAGACGCAACGGATACCATTCCTTGCTCTACGAAGCCTTGTACCATCTGGCCCATGTTTACCTAGACAAGGGCGACACAGCACAAGGTGAAACGGCATTTCAGGAGTTTATCAAGGCAAAGGGCAATGTTTTGGGCCATACTCACGAGCAGATCATCAATGATGTTTATGACTTCGCCATCATCTTGAGCCGCACATACTGTTATCATGAGGAAGCTTCCAGAGCAGCGCAACGATTCTTCAAGCTTACGGACGCTTTATCGCGGAGTGGGGAGCCTCTTTCGCGGAAGACCCGATCCCAGCAAGAGGAGATGAGGCTGCTGTTGGCGAATCCCCAACGCACGTCTGGCAACGAGAACAGTCGACCCCAGCCGTCTTCGACTTACGGAGGTGCGACATCCCACCACAATAGTCCTCCCATACGTCTCAAACCGTCACCGTCTTATTATCCAGACAGCCCTATGCCTAGCACTACTCCTCCCATACGTCTGAAACCGTCTCCTGCTTACGGGCCACCATCCCCTCCGTCCATCTACAATACTCTCAATCACCGCAGTCCTGCATTCATCGGCCGTGATGGTGTTGTTTTAGGCGCCGGTGATGAAACTTACGACCAATGGAGGCAGTCGAATACCACCCAGCCCAAAGAGAAGAAGACGAGATTGAGCAAACTAAGGGATCTTTTCTCGTGACGAAATTGTCTGCCTGTTCGAGAAAATAGTAGCTTACTCTACACCTAAAATTCGTATTTAAATTGCATTGTATTACAGGGTTGGTTGTGACGGCTCTTCAACTGCATAACCTGCACCCTCAATATTTCTGTTTCATATAAGCACGGAATAAAAAGAAGACCTGGTATAGATTTGAACAGATAGCACTCGGATATCCATGGTGACTACCCGAGTAACGAATCTTTGTAGAGGGTGGTATTCCTGATGCCTGTATGATGATATGTCGTACTCAACTTTTGTCTCATTCCAGAAACCAGTTGGCACTACACGGTTCATCCGGTATTCTAACTTTACTATTGCCAGCATAACTCATCGTCCTATCGCCTAGAGCAACCATCAATCAGTTGTCCGGCACAAACAGGTCAAGGCTCGTCCAGGGTGAGTGGGCCCCTTTCCCTAGCCAATGGAGCAAATAGGATGATGAGCGATAAAAAATTTCCATCCAATAAATCAGAGATAGTTCGCGCTGGGCATTAACCTACATTGGTTAGCTGTCTTGTAAGGGTTAATCACTGGTTAACGAGGCCAAGAATTTGCTCAATTGAATCTCGATTGCCCTCGAACTTTTCTCTCCTTCAACCTAAAATCACGCTGGTGCTGCCAATCCATCGCGATTGATTTCCATCGAATCACGATTACCGGAATCCAATATTTGAAAGGTTTGCTACTTGTGATGACGCTGAGTGAAACGCGATGCTAATATTATCATGTCTCTCCAGAGCCCACAGCTCACAGCAGTATGGCGCCTCCTCTCTCCGGAGTCCATGTTCCAGAGGCCACTGGCCATCTGCTATTATCCAAGCCATGATCGATTTAATCATACAGGTACTTAGACTTGCATGAGCCGGTGCCCGGTCCTGCTCGCCTCTTTCTTGTTCGTGTCTGGGTCCAGCGATCGATTGCGCTGGTTCTCTGACCTGACGAGGAGTGGCGATGGGAGCGCGGCTGAGATTATACGGCAATGAACTTGATCTGGATAATACCAGCGAAAGGATCATGCTCCTCCCCATTACCCTTCAGCTTTGAGTGGATTCCCTAACTTGCGCAGGTTAAAGATGACATCCAACCCATCTTCCCATGCACCGACTGGAGCGGCTCCCGCGGCCACTAACTCCATCGTTGCTAACGAGAAGACGGCCCAAGGCGATCACGAAGCACTTCCGCATGCTTCAGCTGTTGTCGAAGGCCAGGATGAAGCGATCGCCATGGTCGGAGAGCAGACGCGCGCTGTTGATCCAGTAGTTGCGGCACGAGCTGTCCGAAAAATCGACCTCTTCCTCATCCCCAGTATGATCCTTGGATGTACGTAGCTTCTGTCCCGTCCTATCAGCGTATGGTCACTAACTTACTCGCTACAGATGGCCTCGTGTACTACGACAAGGCTATCCTTGGATCTGCCGTCCTCTTTGGCATGACCACAGACCTCGGCCTCACCGTTGTTGACTCATCAACCACCCCGCCTACCGTAGACACTCGCCGTCTTAGCTGGGCCACCTCGCTCTTCTACTTTGGGATGCTGGCAGGTCTGTACCCAATGACATTTGCTTTACAGCGCTTCAACATCGGTCGCGTCCTCGGCGGCGTTGTCATCCTCTGGTCTGGTATCTGCATGCTCACTGCCGCTGTCAAATCGCACCAAGGCCTCTACGTCCAAAGGTTCTTCCTCGGTTTCGTCGAGAGCATCATCCCGACTGGGTTCATGTGTATCGTCTCCGGCTACTACACCCAGTCGGAGCAGTCTCTTCGCCAGAGCTGGTGGTTCTCCTCCACCGGCCTATTAACCATCATCGGCGGCGGGCTCAACTATGGCTTCGCTCAAATCACCGGGGGTGGGCTTCACAGCTGGCAATACATCTACCTTATGGCCGGCGCTGTGACTTTCCTCTTTGGTCTGCTGTGCTTCGTCATTCCCAACTCACCCGTGTCCGCCTGGTTCCTCACCAAGGATGAGAAGTTTGCCGCAGTGGAGAGACTCCGGTACGGACAGACTGGTGTTCGATGCACGACCTTCAAAAAGTCACAGTTGAAGGAGGCTATTCTCGACGTTAAGATCTGGCTTGTGGCACTGATGATGGCTTCGGCATACACGGTGAATGGTGCCGTGAGCGGGTTTGGGCCTCTGATTGTTTCCACATTCGGCTGGTCGACACTCGATTCAATTCTCTTCCAATTTCCCCTCGGTGGCCTTTGCTTCATCGTGATTCTTCTCACTGGCTACCTTGGATCAAAATTCAACAACATCCGTATCTTCATGCTTGTCTTCACATGCCTTCCAGTAATTGCTGGCTGTGCAATCATCTGGAAGAGTGAGTGGTCTTACCACGCAGCTGCTCCCGTGGTTGGCTACTCCATCACCGGTTTCTTCGGCGGCACTGTGAGCCTAATCATCACTGTTGGCATGTCCAACGTAGCGGGACATACCAAGAAGAGTTTCATGGCAGCGACCATCTTTGTTGCTTACTGTGTGGGCAATATTGTTGGTCCGCAGCTTATTTGGAGCGAGACCAAGAAGGACCATTACCCTGCCTTGTGGACGGGTTTGATCATCTGGTGAGTATTTCTGGTCCCTGCCATCTCTGACGCCGGTAACGAGTAGGCTAACCGTTACACCTTAAGCTATGTCATTTGCATTCTCGCATCTCTGACCCTCTACGCTGTTCTACGTAACGAGAATAAGAAGCGGGATCAAATCCCTGTGGACGAGACTGAGCGGGCCAAGTTGGCATTCCAAGATCTAACAGACAAGGAAAACCCGTACTTCCGTTATGTCTACTAAATCACAGGTCGTAACCTAGGAGGGATGCGGTAGGCTTGTGGTGATTTGACTTTGCCTGCCTACTCCTTACTACGGTCCAATGTTGGGAGGATTTATGGACGGTAAACCTCAGAATCAACGACTGGCCATTGCTCGCATGTGGAAGTCGAAGATTCAATGGCCAGAGATATTACAAATCTGTTGATTAAAATGGCTGTAACAAAACTCATAGCAACTGCCTACTGAAAAGTTGTAAAGTCAAAGATCCAGACTGTATTCCCAGATATAGTATCTTATTCCCTTACAAAAATTACTTCACCTCAAAAACGTGACTATTCAATCATTCCCCTTCTGAATAAAGCGTTGATTCTTCATAAAGCGGATATGCGATGCCTCGGGTTAAGCCCCACGGACTCGCGGATATGCGGCTGAAGCGCCTTTTCCGCCAAGGCGATATCGGAGTCTCGCAATGACGAGACCTCCACGAATTCAACGCAATTAGTCCACAGGAATAAACAGCTATCGAATCTCTTCCCGTCATTCTTTCTAGTAGGTCAATGTATGTTGATTGGCTGTGCGTTAGAAGAGAGCACGTTACCACATTCAAAAGAACGCAACCATGGCAGCCAGCTCGAGATCGTTCAGACTGCTTACAGTCAACACCACACCGGAACGCGCCAAGCGTGTTGTTGGTCGACTCACTGAGACCCTAAAAGACAGATACAACATAACGCATGTGGATAATTGCCAGAGTGAGATATCTCTCCTATTGTGTAAAAGAGCCAGCCAAAGTAGACTGACGAACGATTCAGAGATTGATGAAGTAACTTCCAAGGTCGAGCTACACAAGCCGGACGTTCTGGTACGAGCGCAAAATCCCATAATATGTAGATATATTTGTTATAGTAGATACTAAGATGATCACCTTTAGTTTTCAGCATCTATGTGGACGCCCGAAGAACATCAGCAGATCCATTCCCTAGCTCGCGCTGCTCTACCCAATATCAAGCTTCTCGCCATTCCCACCGGCCTCCACGTTGACAAAGGTCCAGATGGGATTATTGAGTTTCTCAAAGAGCAGGCTCCGAAGATTCTAGACGCATGACCTTGATATGACTCCGAATAAACAAGCAGTATAGGAATTCTAGAAAAGCATTATCACAAAGAAGTATGAACGCAGCTAAGAATAGAGCATAGATTTTTACGCATTTCTTAAACGCAATTGTTCACATATAAATATATATCTCATCAGTCCTATTTCTCCAGTGTAGTTGGCCAAGTGTTGCTTGGTACAGAGTCGACATCTTCAGAAAGCGGAGTTGGCCAACTGTTCCTTGAGGCAGGGTCTATATTATCAGATAGAGGACTTGGCCAAGGACTACTATAGCCGATTAGTTAAGTTCAAATTGAAATCGAACAGAGATTTGAATACCTATCCAATGTGTCATCTTCCGATGGGCTACTGATGGATTTCTCCTCTATCCATGGATGCTTCAAAGCCTGGGAAGCCGTAGGCCGAGAACCTGGAGAAGCAGCCAACATTTGCCCAACCAAATCCTTGCAAAAATCACTGGCACCAGCTTCGACCAGAGGCTGGATTGGAAATGACTGGCGCTTGGTCGCATACTTGCCTAACGCCTGGAGGCTTCCAAAGGCATGTTGTTTGGTCAGAAGGTAGTAGGTGATTGCTCCCAAGGCCCAAATGTCCACAGATACACCGTAAATGGTATCATCTGCCTCTTCATGAACTTCTTCAGAAACTATATCCGGGCTATACATCCCACAGACTTCAGGCGCTTGGTAGTACTTTGTGCCAATCGCGGTTGTACGAAGGGCAGTTGATTCTTCTTGTGCTCTTTTTGATATGCCAAAGTCGCATACTTTCACCCACCAAATCGGAGTAGTTTCCATGACCAGGATGTTCTACGGAAAGCTCTTAGCACCTATACTCAGATCGGTGAGGTAGAACATGACTTACTCCCGGCTTTAAGTCTCGATGAGCAAATCCGTTGTCGTGCATGTAGCCCAGGGCCTCCAGTAGCTGAGTTGTGATTGTTCTCGCCTCTGTTTCCGGAAACCTTTTCGTTAGGTATCTTTGGAGGTCGCCTTTTTCATGGTATTCCATCGTGATGAAGATGGAGCTCTCGTTCTCGTACCAACCCAAGGACTTGACGAAACAGTGAACATACTACACCTAGTCAGATGGGATTGAGGCTGGAGGCTGGCACGGTTTTACTGTCCCTGACTCACATTTGGGTGGGAAAACTTGGCGATGGCTTCCAGCTCCCTGTTGTAATCAATATTCCTACATTCATTTCGTCCTTTACCGATCTCCTTGACAGCACGTAGTTGGACTTGAGGATACAGGTCCTGGCTTTCTTCAAGCCAAACTGTCCCGTATGTTCCAACGCCGAGTCTGCCACATCTTCTCCACCGAGTTTCCTTTCTCACTCGCCTTTGTCGTGAGATTGAATTTGACTCAAACGAAACGTGGCAGACTACGTCAGCTTCAGGAAATGTCGTCTCCATCCGGGAATCCCGTACCAAATCAGATACAAATCGTTGCCGTCTCTGCTTAATAGACGTTGCGTCCTGTTTCTCAGATTCAGCATGCGACTCGCGACGAGTTTGAGGTAGACATGAAGCATTTCTAGGCGCTGGTGAATTTGTTTGGAGGGGAGTTGGTTGTCTTTGGGCTTCGATATTAACCAGTGGCGACTGAGGTAACCTGTCACCGGGCTGTTCGATATTTGGTGGAATGGATGCCAGGGTAGTCCCGGATAGATTTGCGTCGGATTCCTTTGGGGCTTCGCCACTATTCTCAGGCCTAGGCCTTCGCCTTCGCTTCACTGCCAAACGTGGGTTGACGTGACCTGGAGGCGGACTTGGTGATGAATCTCTATCGTATGGCTCTGTATTCCCATAACCAAGTTCACGTCGAGGACTCCTTGTTCGATTTACCACCAATGGAAGGTAGGCGGGTGTTTCAGGAGGCGACTGGTAAGATGAGAGGAACCCATAATTTGGTGGACGATATCTCATAGGATCGTACTGGCTATATATCCGCCCCCCAACTAGTTTCGGGGGTGGAGGCTGGTTGGTCTCCGTTGCTGTCTCATGGCTTACTTCCTGATACGCCGCACTTGGACGTTCCGGACTGGGTGAGCCCCTGCGGCGGCCATTTTTTGACGACTTTCGGGCCAGAACTTGTTTAAATCCTAATCTCAAGTCTGGAAAATCAGCCAGGATGTGGTCTATTTGAGGGATAATTGCTTGTAGGCGTGAGTGGGAGGGATCATCAGACTTGATCGCTCGGATGAAGTTCAGGAAGACACCAGGGTGGTTTTGACATTGATCCTAGACGACTGTATCAGCGACACTAGACCAAATTTCAAAATCGTCCCGAGTTTATATTTCTTACCTGAACAAATTCAATGTATTCTACCATCTCATCACCTAACAGGGACAATTCGCTCTTCCATGCGCCAGATATCAGTTCTTCTTCTGGATACTCCTCAGCGTGGCTTATCTCGTCAATATACGAGGTTTTGATCAGTTTCCCATCCCGAAGGCCTTCAGTAGAGCTTGTGCGACGGGGTAGCGGTCTGCGTTTAGGAAGGTCCCCTACCGTTCTCAGTGGTACTTGGGAAATATATGATGAGGTCCAAGCACCATCGTTTGAAGCGATATTAGACGGCTTCCTTGTGTAACCTCGAGATGCAAAAGGGGAGTGCAGTGGAGGCGACCAGGTCGGAGCAGAAGATGGTCTGGGGCTGTTCGAATGTGCCGTGCCGGCATGGCCAGTTGGAGCTTGTGGTGTTGCCTGCCCAGACAAGTCGAATGTGTCACTTACTGAGGCATCATCTAGGCCATCTCCGCCTAAAGATGTTGAGATCAGCGATGGGCGTGGAACAGCAGGTACACCCCGGTTGATTCTCGCAGACCAGCGGGTCGTATGGCTATGCTTTCGTTCAAAGTCCAACTGCTGCCCATCATCTGATATGAGTCTTCTTACTGCCCCAGCTTCCAGACGCAAATCTCGTAGACTGTCGTCCCCCGATGCCTCGTACATGCTGAGCCGACTCAGCAGAGTGTCTCTTTGCTGACGCACCAGCGCTTCGAAGTAACTCGAGCCGTTGTGCAGGGCATGATCGAGTACCTGCAAGGCTTTGAGTGTCAGAACATGGTCGGAGTGTCCAATCGCGTATGGATCTGGAGCCCTTGGAGGCAAGTAGGAGAGCAGGGCATAAAAGACCCTCTGCGCCTGGATCTCGCTACAGCAGATTTCATTAGCGCGTTTCGTTCGGTCTCGTATGCGAGGTAAGGTTGGCATGTACGCACGAGTTGCATGTCGTCTCAGAAACGAGCTGCGCCAGCCCGATGTCAAGTCGCCCGCCACCGTCAATGGCCTTGTAAACACATTCTACTCCAAGGTTCTCAGAGAGCTTTGTCTCAGAGAGCCCAAACCCCACGCCAGAGTATACATCCATCCTTGCTTAATTAGGTTCGATCGGTTCGATAATCGGTTCTTTTTTTAATGTCTTTGCCTGCTGGTTGCCGTTGTCAGAATACGGCAAAGTTCACGATCGCTGGCGTATCGCAGCTCGGCAAATCGATCCACAATAGTAGCCAAATGGAACGGCCATGGCCCTTGTTCCTAGAAGCTGATACTGGAAGAATTTTGCTTGATCAGCGGAGTGCCACAGTTGACTTTGAAAGGGAGAGAATCTGCCCACCCATCTTCACCAGTGGTACAAACATATGACGTGGGCACCTGAACAAAGAGCAGTGCACAGCCACTAGAATAGAGTCCATTGTCTACCAAGCCCCTGTGGTGGCTGAGCTGGCTGAACCCAAGGCTGCATTGGGCAAACAGAAACTATACCAAGACAGATCAAAGATGGTCAACTAGAGGGACAGACTTCCCCACTAGCGACCAGCCGAAGCATTCCCAAGAAATGCCCACTCCGCCCCAGTGATGAATTGACTTATCTTACCCATGTTACGAACTAGACCAATTCTTGTGCCATCTCATCACGTGATGATAAGGATAAGACCAATTGCCCGACCCACAGAACGGCTGTGATTGGAAGTTCACCCAACATCACCGGCGCCTGGTGAAGTCCTGGTGAAGCCCTCATTACATATATACATCCATTTCACTCGCTAGAACACTCTTTTAGACAGTTCTCCATAACATTATCTAAACCTTTATTGAAACTAGCTCCTCAATGCTCGCATATTAGCTATAACTCGTATTATATAGTAAAGATAACCTGATTAACCTATTCGGAACAACTCTGATTGGTTACATTCTTAACCTACCCTAAACCTAGTCCAGTGCAAGTCGCCAAACCGTCACAGGGTGTAGGGCATTCAAGTGTCTACCTAGCCATTCTAGTAACTATATTTTATATAGTTGATATAGTTTCCATTGAATCTAGAGCAGTGACACTAGCCTCACCATGGCCGTGGTGTCATTTGTGTGCTTCCGTTTGCAACCCCTGTGGCATTGGGATCAAGTTAAGCTACATGCTGCCTGTTTTCATTCCACCGGAAATCTGTGCTGACATTGATAGCGTTAGGTGAGGTGACTTGGCGAGATACCGCCTCGTGTGATACCTGGAAGGTATGGCTATGCTGGTTTCTTGTGGCCTCCGATCTAAAAGACGTGTTGTTGGCTGCATCGTCCTCTAATAGTTCGAACGAGTCATTGTCTACTAAGTTATCTGACAACACCGTCGCATCATGGTACAGATTCCGTTGAGACGAGTTACTTCGGTATTTGTGTTTGACGTCGTCTCGTCTTCCAATTTGTCCAAATGTAATGATGTCCCTGTTTGAAATTTTGTTCGACTTTTCCGCTGCAGAGAGACCGGTCCAAGTCAAGAAGGCTGTTAGAAGTGGGCGCAGGGCAACCAAACAGTGGCAAATAAATCCTGTCGACAATTCAACGTGAGCCCATAGTAAGGGAATAGGTAATTCGTCTAAAGCAAGTCAAGCCAATGCAGGGTTAGCATAGTTCTCGGTCCGGTCCCCAGAATGGATAGACGGGTGAATTTACATGTGATATCAACTTCTTGGCCCCTGTTAGTTGTCTTGACACCCTCCACTAAAACCATGATTCTACCGATAATACTCAAGGAAGACAAAGCAAAGATGGCGCTGATGCCCGCCTTGGTACCTTTGGAGGCATGCAGTCGTTTGACCTCGACAATCGGGAGCAAGAAGAGGAAGATGTCGCTCAGAAGTTGCGGAACACTGTCAATCCATTGAATCCACAGTGCGATGCCTGGATTACAAAACCCTGTAGGCATCATGCGATCCCACATCTTGTGGACAGGGTAGCATTGGAAAATGGTTGGGACGACGACTGCTATAAGCCACATGGTGAAGAATATGGAGAGAACAATGGTTCCCCACTTCATGAACTTGGTAGGGAACAGGCGCCAGAACATTACAAGAAAGCTGAATTTGATGGTTGTTATCGGAAATGGGAAAAAGATTTGCTGAGTGTAGAGCAGCTATAGGAAAAAGATTAGTCAATTAGAGTAGTGGATATTCAAGTTAGCCGCCACGCACCTTCATGAACCTGGTGAGGCTAGTAGGATCATTGATCATATTTAAAATAATAGGTTTGCCCAGTCCCGCGTGGGTGATCTCGGCCATAACCAACGCATAGTCGGCCGCAATGAGTATCTAGTAAGTTGTGAGCTTTCCAATGTACATGTGAGTGGTGTGGGATGGTCAGACATAAGACAGCAAAAGTAGAGCGTCATCTAAGCCCAACTTAACTCGACGCTGAGCCCGCACCCAAGTGCGAGCGATGTACACAATTGTAGAAACAACCATCAGCATAGAAGTTACCCCAAGCATCATAGGTCCACGGTCCGGAGACGGACTAGCTGCCCTTGACAACAACCCTTGGTTGTTGTTGGGATTGGACATTTTAGCGTGAAGTTGGAGGTAGTAGACTGGACTGCCTCTGGTAAATTGCAGCACTTGGGCCCTGAATATTGTCAGAAATTGGTTACTGATCTGATGTATGCCGAGGACTCTATAGTGAATATTGACGTGGGTGTTCAGGGCAGATGTTGAGCTTTAAACGCGGGGGTTGACTGTTTGGTTAATTGTTGGTCATCCCATAACTAGAACTAACAGATACAGTGCGCAATAATATTGCATATTGAACTATGATTTTCAGCCGGTCATAAGATTCGATCTAACAATGGAAATCCTGATCCTTCCCTCCACACTGATGCACTAGTACTGTCGTATTGGGGGTGGATGGTAATGGCATCTTGTGAGCACAAATTGTCTCAGCTTGACGACCAGAGTAAGCTGGAGTAATAAAACTGTGGGCTGTGGGCAGCCAACAGTCAACACCTGCAGGACAAGGACTCCAGAAAAGAGGGATGCTTGAGGTTCGTTGGGCAACTCGGCGTGCTTACATGGATGCAATCCTATCATGCAAGCCCCCTCCCGGCCATTTCTCAAACTTTTGGATGGAGACACACCCTTTGTTGCTCGGCGGAACTTTGAAACGGAAGATGGGACCAGTGGGACGCGCGAACTGTAAGTTGCATCAAGTAACACAGTGATGCAGCTATGGGACGCTGCCGCCTGCTGCAACGTCTTTCTTTGGAATAAAACGCGTGCTGAAGGTGTGAAAATATTGATGTGCCGGAATTGTCAGAACCGGGTCTTTGATTGGATCATAGGGCTTTGCTGATTGAAAATTTGATGGTCATACCTTGGACACCATTGATGGATCGTTGGACACGCCTATGCCTTGCTAGGAAGTGATTAATGACACTCACGAGTAGCAAATTGTTTAAGATATTCAGAACTACATTAGTAGATGGCAGCCTAAAACATTCTAAATGCATGTCTACTGGAGAAATATCTTCATTTTGTCTTACTCGCCATCGCTCCCTGTGCACAGCTTACACTTGGTGAGGCTGAATTGAACTACCAACTCTACTTACCAGCGTCCCTTTTTTTCCATACCAAGGGTGCCTTCTCAGGATGTAGCATTTGTAGGAGTAGAATCTGCGCTGAATCCGTGGAGATTTGATGCATGAGTCGCTGCCTAGCAGCCTCAATGCTTTCCCCAGCCATGGTAAGAGGTTCAACGCGCCAGTCCTTGAACAATGCAGCCATCGTGCCAACAAACTCAACCTGTGAAAATTTCCTGCCAGGGCAAGAACGCTGGCCCTCGGACCAGGCAATGAAGGCCCCGCGCTGTGGCCAGACCACTTGCTCCATGTCAAACTCGCCGTTGGGACTGCCTTGGATCCATCGTGCCGGCCGCCAAGCTAGCGAGTCCTCACCCCAAATCCTGGGTAGAGTGTGTAAAGCAGCATAATTGAGGATGACGTGGGTGTCAGCGGGAACTGCTATAATCTTGTCTCCGACCTTGAGCGACGTTGCCTGTTTCCCAGTGGATTTGACGATGGGTACGGGGGTGAACAAGCGAGCAGTTTCTAGCAACGTTGCCATGCAACGATGGAGTCGAGGGAATCCCGTCCCGTAATTCCAGTTACTGGGATCCTGATCACCAAAGACGTGTTGGACCTCAGCGGAGATCCAGTCTTGGACGTCGGGGTTTACCGCCATCAACATCAAGGCAAATGTGAGGGTATGTGTAGTCGAGTCGTGACCGGCAAAGCTGAAGATGTACATGTTGCCATATATTTCATCTTCTGTAAGGCCTCCCGTTGAACCAGTTGCCTCGTCCTGGGATGCACGGATGAGGGACGCCATATAGGTGGACTTGGAAGATGATCGTCCGCAGATCAGTGCTTGTTTCTCATCCTCATAAGCTTCAGTAAGATGTCTCTGGAAAGCTTCGCAAGCTGTGTTGACCTTCTTGAGAGCCCTGGGCAACCAATTTTTGGCCAGGAATTTCCTGCCTAGCGCTGCAATCAACATTGTATTGTCTAGGACAATGCGTAGAGCTTCCTTGTAATTAGTTTCGGGGTTAACGTCTTCTTGATCATCCCGACTGGAGAACTTGTTGGATTTCCCATGCGCGGCTTTTGAAAGCACGTGCAGTGTAATAGTACGAGTATCGTCGGCCGTGGACGTGACAAAAGGCTTAGACACCCATGCATGGAGCGCATCGCTTGCCAGCGATACTGTCTCATGCCAAACCATCTCGTTGTTAGCTTCGTTGAAATAAGACATGGCCATTCTCCGCTGGGTTTTCCATTGTTGGCCCTCGACCTACAGGAAACACGCCTGTCAGTAGGAGCAACGAAAAATGAAGAATGAAAAAGGAGCAAGCTCACCGTAGCTAGATTGGGGCCAAAGAAATTCAATAGTTCTGTTTCTGTCAGCTCCATCCTATGTTCTCCAGCCATGTTCTACTCACCGTAAATTTCCATAGGACGTGGAAAGTCTCGACCACGACGCAGAATATCGAGAACGCTATCTGGGTTGCAGACATAGAGCCAGTTTTTGTCAGGCGACACGTGCATGAACGCGTCCCCTAGCAAGAGGTGCTCCTTGTACTTGTCCTCGAATTCCCATCCTCTCCAGTCGAATCTAGTGAGGTTATTATCGCCGAGGCCAAATGGCAACCAACGTCTGAGGAGCCACGCCACCTTTCTATCGACAACCAGCCAGAGTCGGTTATTATGATCTATGGGAACGAAGCGTATGGGAACTCCAACCCTGCGAGCGATGCGATAATTTTGGATAAGACGACAAAATGAGTAGACTGAAGCCACTGCAACGTATAGGCCGAACGCGTAGACTAGCTTCAGCAGAAGCGCCATGATGGTGATTTTGGAAGGAGTTACAGATCCAACGTTGTAGAGCAATCCAATTCTTTGGGAAACTGTACTGATTCAATGAAGAGGAAACCCGGACTCTACATCAGTGACTCTACATGCAATTTGGCTGGCATCCAAGTTAGCGTGACATTGACGCCACCATGACACATGTGTGCTGCCTGAGTATGTTATTGGCAATACATACGCCATCTTCATCTTCCATACGGCCAGCATGCAAGGATCAAGTTGGATATTCCTAGTTCCTGTTGTTGGTCTAGCATCATGCGCATATGCTAACGACGCCCCCATCTCGATGTTAGTACCCACCACAACAAACGCCGCATGCCGTGTGCACCAACGTCACCAGTATCCTGCAGCTTATTGTTGCACTCGTTGGTTACAGCAAGGCGCGACGTATCATGCAAAGCAGGTTTTTGCTGACCAACGTTCCTCGGTTCATATTCCCCGATGTTGCCTAGAGGATGCACACTAATAAGTGGCCCATTCTGCAGTAACCAGGTAGGCGTAGAATAATGCATAGATTTGTGATTTGGCTGACAACAACCGGCCCGCCTTACTATTAGCTGAAAGCCCTGCATGCAAGCACGGCCCGAACGGTCCAAATCAACACGGACATGTGACAAGAGTTCTCTTAATAAATTAGCGTGTATCGTATCAGGAAACAGCAGCAGCACTCGAAGGATCATTCACCCTTGTGCTCATGCCCCTCGCCAGCATCTGATGGGAAGAGATCCACTGTCTGACCACACCGGTTGACCAAGTGTATATGCGCCCAAACAGCGTTCCATTCTCTCTGGGTGGTAGCAGGTCCCCAAATATTCCACCGGTAGTACCGCCCTCCCCTTTTTGTCCGGGATTGGGTATCAGTTCTCAATCTTCGCAAAGCCCCTGAAGGCCGGGCTGGATGACCCAGATGAATCATGTCAGAAGCCAAGACTACTAGTCGCCGCCTAGTGATTGCTTTATTATAGGATGTCTCCAACTATTCACACCCTCTTAGATAATTAAAGATGACCTATTTGTGGGCTACGAGAGCTATGCTGCCGACAGGAAGTTCGTGGCCAAAAAGTAACTGCGCTCAACATGGTCTCAAATTGTTGGATCAATCAGCTGCTCAGTAGACCCTAATTGTAGGATCCTAACCTTTTATCTAAGAAAACAAAAACATTCACTAAAAGGGGATATTGGAAGGACACAAGTGATGCCTCCCTATCGCTTCCGAACCTCTACCTTGACGTCCATGCCCTTGAGTGGCCCCGTAATGCCGAGTCCAGGCGTTGTGTCGTTCAAGACCGGAAACTCTGGCTTCTTTCCATCCTCGCCTAATACCAAGCTCATCTCAAAGCGGTGAAAAAGAAGGGCAATCAACCCGTAAACTTGATGCTTCGCCAAGACTCTCCCAGGGCAGTACGTGATGCCACCTCCGAAAGGTCGAAAGGAGGAGTGTCGAGTCATAGTCTTGTGTTTGAGAAATCTAGCTGGGTCAAATTCTCGTGGATTCGAACCCCAAACTTTCTCATTCGTGTGAAGCTGGCGGGACGGCATAATAATTGCGTTGCCAGGCTGCAGTTCCTTCCCACCTATGATGGTTTTCTCCAGTACAATACGGCTGACCATTGCGCCCCCATTCAGCCGAAGTGCCTCGTTAAAAATTGCCTCTAAATTAGGGCAGTGTGAACATAGATACTTAATGTCAAGAGCACCCGATTGCCATGCGGCTTCAGTTTCTTGAATAACTAGGTCTTTGAGAGCCTCATCATAGAGGAGGTGAGCAATAACCCAGAAAGCAATATTATACTCATTAGAATTGGCCCTTTTCGAACTGTTAGCAAACATGTGGGAAAAGTGGGAACTCAAATTGTACTCACGCCCAAAACATCATGAGTAAGACCGATGTGCGCGATTCTAGATCAATACCGACATGTTCCGACGATTGAAGCACAGTCTGAATTGCCCAGGCGGCCTGAGCCCTCTTCTCCCTAGGGAGCTGCACAAATTGCCTAAGAGTGTCCATCAGATGCCTCTGTGGTTCACTTACCCCAAGCCCTAGAAACCTTGGTAGGCGGAAGAAGACCTGCCAGGCATAATCATTGAAGCCTAACATGTGATCTACAACACGGTGGTTGATGTTGTGAAGGTGACTCCCAAAAAGCGACCGGGTAGCTGCGTCAACCATCGTGAAGCGACAAAGATCATAGAGGGAAATGTGCTTGCAAGGCGCTTGAGGAGGCGCAGATGTGCAGAACCCTAGATGATCGAAGTGAACTGATTGATGAAGAGCCTCCAGGAAGACACTGCCAATCGTATCCATCCGGGGCCCGGGAAGCAGTTGCTTTTTGAAGGTTTCTTCTGTATGGTGAATAAAGTTCACCTGATCCGGGTTGATGAGGTTATTTGGGATGTAATTATGATCACCTGGGGTAGGCGTGTGCCATGCTTTTCTCAAGGCTTCTTCGCCAAACCCAAAACTGACGAGAAGATCATTCAGATGCCCATCAAAGCCCAGTGAGACGGTGTTTTTGTAGACAGCAGCAACATCCTCTGGAGCAGTAACGATGTACAGCTTTTTCCCTAGCATCTGGATTGTGAAGATCTCATGGGACCGGTTGGTATAGTTCCTTGCAATGTCAGGCGAGATGTTGATATGTTTAACAATTAGAACCTCACTCACAGCCCACGCTCCAAGAGCTTGTCTGAATTGCCCAAAAAGGTTACCGTATGCCCTGTTGTTTGAAGTCGTCAATAATGTATACATAAAAAGATTCGAGACTCGGTACCTAAAACTAATTGAGATCATTATTAGCTACAGTACACATGTGAAAGGCATATTCGGAATTACTCACGTGGAATCCAGTAGGGAAGGTCCTTGGGATCTTTTGGCCAAATTTTCGGTTTGATCGTGAAAACCCACAAACGCCATGCTAGATAGGCTACCACAGGCAAAAGGGACCATTGGGCAGGTGTCGGCATCTTGTTTAGGCCATCAACGAAAATGGGAAAATGCAGCATCTTCGGAAAGGGGAGTAATAGCAGTCTAGACTTTAGAGAGGTGGCGTTTCTGCTCAGCAGGTGTACTGGGACTCGAAGAGGGCATCAAACACGGGTTGCAAAGTATATATGGTCTTTCCTTTTCCTCTAGCTAGATACTATGGGAGTGGCAGATTTCCAAAGAAATGAACCAGAATATGATACTCAGAGGTCTCCCACCACAGCTAACCTGTCCGTCATTTCTGCCTAGGTGACCTGGAAACATGCATGCACGCTTGCAACACTTTGCCATGCATACGCGGTGGGAAAGAGTCGAATCACCAGGGGTGCCTCTATGAAGTTTTTTGACTCCTCAACAGCGCCCGTAAGCCACTGTGTGGTATTTATTCTTTTGACGAAAATAGTTTGGCAAGTTCTGTGCTCAACTTGGAAAAAATGCAGCGTGGCGAATCCTTCGCGTGTGATTTGGGCACCTGACACTGACATGTAAACATGGGATCGGCACAGTTGCTCTTGAGGAAAGGGCAAGGAACGCCAAATGGCAAAGTATGCCATGGTGGGAAAATGGTGCTGTCTGCGATGTTACTGTCTGTTGGTTCTAGGGTGTGCGGCTGTGTGTGGAAACGCTCGTTGTTCGGCCACCCACTTTGCAACCAACAGATAGGCTACCATCTGAATCTTGGAATATCTGACCCGACATATAAGCCTATCTATGGACCTTTCGACGGAGGTTGCATTAGGGCAGGCTGAAAATGTTGGCAAAGCATCCAATAGGTGCATTTCTGTGATGCGGCTGCCTTACAAGGATTTGTTGGCAAGGGGCAAGGATTGAGATGGACTAATATTACGCGGGCCGCATCGTTCCCGCCCCCAGTGTTGGTGCTCAAAGGTTCCATTCATGTCCACAAAATCAGGTCATCCTACGGTTTCTACTCCGTAAGAGAAACTACCATTGAGAATCCCTGTCCGGGTGATATGACTTGCATGAAACACCAGACAAAGTCCCCCACACCTGATACATTGTATTCAGTCGAATACCGAGGCAACCGACTGTTCAGGCACAGAGAAGGAACACAGGCATGGGCTACGAGGCACTAATCCACATTCTGAGGCTGAAGTCAGGTACCGTTTGCCAACACCCTGCATACCACCAGCCCCCAGTTCCCGTGGAGGGAGCCTTGACCACAGCCTAACAACGAAGTAGGGGGTAAGCCTTACCACCGTACCGAACGTGAAAGAGTCCCTCCACCCCAGAAAGCAAAAGCTTTCTGACTTCCACAATCCCCGCTCGCAATAGACCCAATACGTATAGACTCAGTTAACACCACAACTCGAAGCCAATGGAAGACTTGTCTCCGCCGTTCCTTGCATTTCCTCTCATATTGCTACTACTAGTTCCATCCATCATGTTTCTTTTCAAGAAAAGCGTTTCGGATCAACCACCTAGGTTGGAGGAGGCTGTGCCATACGTCACGAATGTCTACCAATACATGACCAACAAGAAACTCTTCCTCGAGCGAGTGACGTAAGTTGCTGCTCTCCTGCCATTTATTTAGCCTTCAAAATAACAATTGGGCATCTGGCCACCACTTTGTAGGGAAGCGCTCTCGAAGAGCCCGGTCGTGCAATGCCGTCTCGGGCCAATGAACATATACTGCATCACCGGTGCGAGCAACATTGCCGCCATGTTTCGACCTGCGGCCATTTCAGACCCTTGGATCATCCGAATTCTTACAACGACGGCGGGATACCAGCCAAATGACTTGGAAAAGTTCGCGCAGGACACGACAGGCGGCGGAAGGGTACCACGTCCTGGTAGCGAGGCACCACACAACAAACGTATTTGGCACGCCATGCACCAGATCTATGACGAGCATCTCGCCAAATCCCATGCCGTAACGTCATTGTCTAAGTCTTTTCAGCATTTCTTTGGCAAGGAACTCGATAGGGTACCCCTTGGTGGCCACGAGTGGGAAGAAGTTGGCGTCCAGGATTTCCTGCGTCAGCACATGGCCACTGCAGTGGTGTCTGCCATTACAGGCCCCCGACTCATTGAGATCAACCCAGACTTTATAGGAGCCTTCTGGAAGTACCAGATGTATGCAGAGAAGCTAGCCTTTGGTATGCCAGAGTGGATGAATGCGGATGGCATCCGAGCCCGAGAGACAGTCCGTGCCATGTGTGAGAAGTGGTACCAGGTATCGGATGAGCGCTTTGACTGGGACGCGGAAATGAGCGACGTTGCGTTCGAGGAGAATTTCGGATCGCAGCTCTCTCGTGAGCTGTGTCGGTGGGGGAAGAGGTTTGACTTCAGTTCCGAGAGTATGGGCTCACTCTACTGTCTACTCTTCTTTGGGTGAGTTACTCTATGCTCTGTGCTGAGGCTACTCAACTAAGTATCTGTGTCACAGGCTTAACTCGAACATGATTTTCATGACTATTTGGTATTTGATTGAAGTTCTCAAGAATCCTGATTTGCTCCGTTCAGCCAAGGAGGCCATGGCTAGTTGTTTCGTCGAAGACGATTCGGGTTCCCAAAAACTTGATCCTCAAAAGCTCGCTTCTAACCCATTACTCCAGTCCATTTACATTGAGGTTTTGCGGGTGCATGTCAGCATTAATATCACCCGCACGCTCAAGGACCCTGCTGTCATTGGAGGCTATCCTTTAGCTGCTGGCGCTGTGATTCAAGCGCCGAGTCATGTGGCTCATCTCGATGAGGAAGTTTGGGGCTCCGACGGGCATCCTGCCTCTGAGTTTTGGGGCGAACGCCATCTCAAAACCACTGAGGCAATCGGTCCGGACGGGAAGAGAACAGAGAAGAAGGAGTTTTCGCTTGGGAACCGGTCAGGATCTTTTCTCCCATATGGTAAGTTGTATCCAAGGCATTCTCACGCCAAGTGTGGAGGCTGACAACTCTGCCTCATCTAGGTGGCGGGGTCGATATCTGCCCCGGTCGCCATCTCGCCAAGACACAGATTATCCTTGCCTCGGCGATGATTTTGACCAAGTTCGATATCAAATTTCTCGGCTGGGTTAATCCAGATGGATCGCCCTCAAAGCTGCCAGTGGGGGATGATTATAGCTATGCAGGGGCCCACGCCCTCCCGCCCGCGGGGGACATGAAGCTCAAATGGAGGAGGGTTGCATGATGATTTTGGTCGGGGTAGCGGAGATTGTGAGGCCTGAAGCCCCAGACGGAACCTTATCTGATCCAGAATAGTGCCGTTGGTTAAATTGGTCATGGCGTGTGATATCCTGATACCTAATGCTGACGTTGGATGCACAATCTATCTGATCATTGGAGGATGGGAGGGCTATGGAACGATTTCGCATTACGTCCTTGTAACCTACACCTCTTCCATAAGTGCCAATCAATGGTGGCAACCAATCATGAATCGCTGTATACGGTGGCTGCGGCATTAATAATTGAATGGTAGGGTGATATGCAAAGCAACTACCAACAATCTCTCCGGATACGACCCGGCCAGGGACGGGGGCGTGGGCTGAACTCGACGGTCCTGCTTATGCGTGATTCCAACCAACAGCCTTGTGCTAAGTTCCAAAGCTGAAAGACCCCCTTGCAGTCAGGTGCCATTCATGGCCAGTTGGTGCCACCATAACATTCGAGGCCCTCACGTTTGCTTCCATGTCCGAAGATGCCAGCTTAATTTCCCCTCTATCTAATCGGAGTTTTCCGTCTAGATACTTCTTTTACCTTCATTTCTGATAAGTTGACCATATCGTTGGTATTTTCAAAGATATTCTGTGGTCCTAAGAGTGTTTCCTTCTAGCTGTTTGGATGTCCCATCTCCATTCCCCTCAAACGCCACATCAAAGACATGCTACGAGCGAACATGTCAGACGCTCACGAGAAGCCTTTGGATGAGGGGATGCCATCCGCCTTCGATGGCTGGGTCCAGGAAACAAAGCAGCACCCAAGCAATCAAGCTGGGCTAGCGTACTGGGATCTCGACTGCCATGGCTTTGTTTCCTCAACCAAGTATCAGCATACTTTCGCCTCGTATGCTCTTTCCATACCCAGACTTGTCTGGAGCTTCTTTAGTCACGACCCAGGACGAAAAGTCCAAATTCTGAAAGACTTTGAAGGCCTGGTACGCCCGGGGGAGATGCTCCTCGTCCTTGGTAGGCCCGGCAGTGGATGCTCGACTCTACTGAAGGCCCTAGCTGGCGAAACACACGGATTCCATCTTGAAGACGAGAACAAGCTCAACTTTGGAGGTGACTACATTTGCCCCGTCCTAAGCTGATATGGATACTGACTCTGTCTCTAGGCTTCCAATATAGACAGATGGGTAAAGACCTAAAAGATGAACGAATATACCTTGCAGAGCTTGATGTTCATTTTCCGGAACTCACTGTGGGAGAAACATTGACATTTGCCGCTAGCACCAGGACATCAAGAGCGACTTCCAAGACGTCCTCGAACCCTCGTAAGACTGCAGAGAGAGTTGCCTCACTCTTCAACCTCGACGAGGCCTTCAAAACACAGATCGGGGATGCAATGATACGCGGTGTCAGTGGAGGGGAGAAAAGGCGCACAAGTCTTGCAGAGGCCTTCATCAGCAACGCTCGCTTCCAGTTCTGGGACAACAGCACCCGTGGGTTGGACAGCTCGACCGCGCTGGGTTTCATCAAATTACTCAGGCGTTCCACTGATGCTCTTCGGCTGACGCTTGCCATGAGCGTTTATCAAGCCTCAGAAGCTATGTATAAGGTGAGTATTCTCGTTGCTTCTATCCCGAGTCGAGCATGGAAGCTCTTGTGTTGTTGACCCTTCGCTTTAGAACTTTGACAAGGTCCTACTATTGTATGAAGGCCGTCAAATCTACTTTGGTCCGGTTGATGAAGCAGTTCGCTACTTCACAGACCTCGGCTTCGAGAAACATGATCGTGCCACAACGGCTGACTTTCTGACCTCTTTGACCAACCCTGCGGAGCGCATAATTGAGCATGGCCACGAACTTACCGCGCCAAGAACCCCAGATGAGTTCGCCATTGCTTGGAAAAAGAGTCAGAATTCCCAAAATCTCCGATCTGAGATTGAGGAGTTCAACAAGGCACACCCTCTTCAACATGATACTCCACACCACACTATCAACAAGCAGAACGGAAGTCCAAGGTGATTAGCCTGACTGCAGCCGTCATAACAAGATGCTCACGGACACTAATCGAATGCCTCTAGTTCCATTATATCCTCTCACTACGCGCTGTCAATTACTCAACAGATCGCCGTGTGTATCTCACGAGGGTTTCTAAGGCTGAAAAACAATTACGTTCCCGCCGTTTCTGCCGTCGTTGCTGGTGCCATCACCGCAATTATAATCGGGTCCGTCTACTTCAATCTTGATGATTCTACTGGAGATATGGAGAGGAAAGCAATCATGATGTTTATGGCTGTTATGCAGACGGCATCTGCCCCAGCCTTTGACGTACGTTCCCCCATCATCTAGATAACTTACAACACTAACGGCGGCTTTGAACAGATCTCCCTCCTCTGGGCGCAACGTCCGATTGTCGAAAAACATGACCGATACGCCTTCTACTACCCCGTTGCCGAGATGTTCGCATCAATTATCTGCATCTTACCGCAGAAAGTCTTGGAGTCGTTTCTCTTCCACATTCCTGTATACTTCATGAGCAACCTCCGCCGCGAGGCTAGCGCCTTTTTCACGTACTGGTTATTCATGTTCACAACACTGATGGCCATGTCGATGCTGTTCCGCGTTGTCGGTTCCATAACTAAAAGAATTGAGCAGACTCTTGCCCCGGTATCAACCCTTACGCTTCTCTCCATCGTGTATACTGGGTTTGCGGTTCCGTCGACATACATGGTTCCCTGGATGGGCTGGCTGCGGTGGATCAACCCTGCATATTATGCGTACGAGAGCATCATGATCAATGAGGTAGGTGCATTACCTTTCCCACGGGGGATCCGACACTTGCGCCTAATCACAGACTTGGCTAGTTCGATAACCGGGAGTTTCATTGTTCAACAATTCTACCGTCTGGGCCTCAATACGATCAGCTTCAAATGCAAGACAAAATATGTTCATCTATTGGGGCTGTCGCTGGGAGCTCGGTCGTTCAAGGAACGACTTATCTAGCATTGAAATTCGGATATGTGAGGAGTCATCTATGGCGGTAAGTAGGATATGCAAGAATCGTGTCCTCATGCCTGAGCTGCGGCTAACTCACTCTTTAAAGCAACCTGGGCATCCTTCTGGCAATGCTAGTCCTGCTCACTGTGGTGCATCTCATGGCCTCACAACTTATCAAGGCGCAGAGGTCAAAGGGCGAAATCCTTCTCTTTAGAAAACAACATGCATCAAAGCGTTGGCTTGCTGGGGGTCTGGGTGGCGATGGAGAGTCCAAGGTTCCCCATATCTTCACCCAGGAGGCGGGAGATCAAACAAATATTTCGGGGGGGAATTATGACCAGGATCCAACAGCAGGCACTCCCACCAGCTTCGTGCACGATGCATCGGCGGAGACCGTCCTAAGGCAAACTGCTGTCTTTCACTGGAACAATTTGCACTACACAATCAAGACCAGAGATGGACACCGTCAGATTCTCAAGGACATCAACGGGTGGGTCAAACCAGGAACATTGACTGTTTTGATGGTAAGCAAGGGTCCACATCCCTTCGGAGAATCGTTTCCCCTAATATGTGGTAATAGGGGGTCACTGGTGCTGGCAAAACATCTCTTCTGGATGTTCTGGCCGACAGGGCCCGGAGTGGTGTCGTTTCCGGCCATGTCTACATCGACGGCAACCAACGAGATGCTAGTTTCGGTCGGCGCATTGGATACGCGCAGCAGGAGGATCTTCATCTCCCAACAACGACTGTCCGTGAAGCCCTCGAGTTTAGTGCGTTGCTGAGGCAGCCGCAAACAAAAGTGCCATTGATGGACAAGATCGTCTATGTAGATACAGTTCTCAAAATGCTAGACATGGAGTCTTGGGCAGACGCTGTGGTCGGCGTGCCTGGGGAGGGGCTCAACATTGAGCAGCGCAGACGACTCACGATTGCAGTCGAGTTAGTCGCCAAGCCGGAGCTACTTCTGTTCCTTGGTAGGTCACACGGCATCCCCTGAGGTCAAGTTGACCAGCTTGTAGTAACTAACTTTGAATGGGCGTTAGACGAACCCACCTCTGGTCTGGATAGTCAAACAGCATGGTCTATCTGCATGCTCCTTCGCAAGCTGGCAGACAACGGCCAAGCTATTCTCTGCACTCTGCATCAACCTTCATCGCAACTTTTCGAGATTTTTGACCGGATCTTGCTGTTGGGGAAGGGCGGAGAGCAGCTTTATTTTGGGGATATCGGTCCCTCGGGATCAAAAGTGATTGAGTACTTTGAGAAGACCGGTAATCTCAAGTGTCCAGACGATGCTAACCCGGCTGAATGGATCATTGAGATAACTCGAGAACAGACAACAACAATAACAACACCAACAGAAGATGGAGTGCGGAGTCACTGGGCGCAAGTATGGGACTCAAGTGAGCACAAGCAAGAAGTTCTGGAACGCCTCGAACATCTCAAACACAATTTTGGAGGCGACTCTACATTCGCAGATTCCCGTGGTGGCGAGTATGCGGCACCACTTGTCCGGCAATTTTACCTCGTCCTGAAGCGAAATTTCCAGGAGTATTGGAGAGACCCGATATCCATATATTCGAAGCTGGGCCTCTGTCTAGGTATTGTAAGTGGAATTCCAGCGTCCCTCCCCAAGCTAGGTTTGTTTACAAATTCCAGTCTCTCTCAAATGGTCTCTCATTCACGAACACAACACTGGATATGCAAGGCTTAACAAATCTGACCTTTGCTTCTCTGTTGGTTGTTCTTCTCTTCGCAATGCTTGATCAACAAGTCATCAAACGGCTCATCTCGGAACGGGATATGTTCGAGGCTCGTGAACGCCGAAATCGATCATACTCCTGGATCATATTTGTTAGCAGCAATATCGTCGTCGAGCTCTTTTGGCAAACCATAGCCAGCGTGCTGTTCTTCATTACGTGGTACTACCCAACCGGCATGTGGAGGAACGGAGATGCGGACTTTAGCACCTCGGAGCGTGGTGGTTTAGTATTCATGCTCATTTGGTTTTTCTGTCTGTTTATCAGCACACTCTCTCATGCAGTGGCCATTGCAATCCCCTTGGCAGAAACAGCAGTCCAGATTGCCGCCCTGCTTTATTGGTTCATGATTATGTTCTGCGGGTAATCGCTTTCTGTTTACTCAATCTTCTGTTTAGAGGCAGGCTAACACTCATATCATAGTATTCTCATATTCCCAAATGACCTTCCAGACTTCTGGGTCTTTGTCCACCGCGCCTCACCTTTTACCTATCTGATCAACGGTCTCTTGGCCGCTGGCCTTGGCAATGTCGAAATTTTTTGCTCGCCTGTCCAACAGCTCCGCTTTAGCCTCCCTTCGACGGTGGTAGAGTCCGGAAAGACATGTGGCGAGTATCTGGCTTCATACGTCCAGATGGCAGGAGGAACTGTCATCAACAAAGATGAGACAATGGGACAGTGTCTTTATTGCCCAGTAGACAGCACAAACGATTTCTTCAAGGGCGTGGGGATAGATTTACACAAGCGGTGGCGTAATGTTGGATATCTAGCTGTGTATATTATGTTTAATATCACACTAACGTTTGGACTCTATTGGTTAGCGAGGGTACCAGGGAGGAGAAAGTCTTCTTGAATTCCTTTTTTTAAACTCAAAGAGTTCCTATAGTAATTTATAACTTATATATTAATACATAGAAGGAAAAATTCATTAGTTATAAAATATAAAGTCCGCCCTTTTCAGCTATAGGGCTTAGCTGTTTCTTTTATAATCTAAAGTAACTAGCTGTCCGTAAGAGAGACAGAGAGGTCAGAGCCGCGGAAGGGTCTGTCTTTGAGAGAGACAGGGAAGTCAGGGCTGCAGCTGCAGCCCGTCTTCGAGAGAGTTATCCAGCCGGCTCTCAATGATCTGATCGAGTCTTGTGGCAGACTTCGTAGTGTTCTCTTGTTCTGGTGGGATTATCGTGTGGCTGATGAACTGCAGTCTGTACCGCCAGCCCTCATCAATCCGACCGAATTCTCTTGTAGTATAGTGGTCAGTATGCGAGCTTGTCACGCTCGAGACCCGGGTTCAATTCCCGGCGAGAGAGAATTCTCGCCATACGACTAAGTCGTCTTTTTTGTTTCTATTTTTATGGTCTTCCAGCCTTACTTGCCCCATGCCCACCTACTAGTTACCCTATAGCTCGCTACGTTAAAAGATCAGATCACATTCCTAATATTTATTAGAAAATTCTAGACGTGACACGGTATGATTAAAACACATTATTATAGCATTTAAATTGAATTATATTAAGCATCAAATCGCTTTGTAAGGGCGCATAACAAAGAGTAAGAGAGTAAGAACCTTTGAGCTGGCACACCTCTCGATGGTCGATCACACATGCATGGCACACCTCAATCAAACTCAAGCCGGAACGGCAATCCGGATATACGTAACCAAATGTGCTCTTGGAAAGCCGCTGACTAATGCATATTCACCCCAGACCAATTTCCGTTCTCCACAATCGACTGTTGACATTTTGCCAGGATCGCAGCTTGTCTCGAAACCTCAGCCAATCGCCCAATAACCTTCTTGTTCCCCCCTGCAAACCCGTAGAGCGCATATGGGATGCCCACTTCATTGCAGAACTCCTGCACTAGCTTCTGGGTGGCTCGCAAGTTATGCCTGGGGACGCGAGGGAACAGGTGGTGGATCACCTGGAACTGAAGCCCGCCATGGAAGAAGTCGAGCCACTCGGGGCAGTCAATGTCCATCGTGGTCCTGAGCTGTCTCTGGGGGAATGACTCGTCGGGCCCGAGGTCCATTGTGCTCATCGCGAAATGAGACTGGACGATCTGCAGGTGGAGCGGAGATGCGACGACGTTGGCGATCAGGGTGAAGAGCAGTCGCGTCTTGAGGTCCGGCAGGAGAGTGTAGAGGATACCGTAGCCGAACCAGAAGCAGAAGAAAAGCAGGCCAAAGATTTCCAGATGCCTGAACCAGCCGGCAGGACCTTTCTTGGGGCCGCGACCGGACAGAAGGTATTCCCACGAGAGGAAGAAGAGATTGAAACGGGCTAGGGAGAGAATCGGGTAGTAAGTCCAAGCCTGGACCCGGAGAAGGACTTTGGCAATTGCATCGTATCTCATAATCCTATTGTGGTACGTAGACCGGAGGTTGGACAGAAGTCGATGAGAAACAGCGAAAATCGGCAAATGCTCAATATCAGGATCGTGCTCAGGCGCATTTGTCACAATATGGTGGACGTTGTGGCTCCATTTCCACCAACCTGCTGATAGACCGCCGAGGAAATTGGCGATGAAAATTGCGAGGACGCTGTCGAACTGGAACGAGTGTGTGATGGAGATGTGGCTGGCATCGTGTACAACAAAACCCAGCTGATGCCACAATACTCCGAGCCAAAAGGCAGCAGCGTAGTACCACTTGAAGTAAAAGGCCAGGCCCATGCAGAGGAGGAACACGCTGTATCGGCAGCATTCTACTCCATACGACGTCCAGTAATTGCATTCGTACAACCCTTCATTGTAGACTCGATTGTGGAGCTCACGATACTTGGCTGCGACCTTGGCCTGCGTGAGGTGATCGGGAGAAGGGTATTTCTCCAGGTCAAGGGTGGTGTACTCGTGCGTGATGGTATCTAGGTATGACATTCCATCCAATGGTGCTGCTACGGGAGCGCCTTTCTCAACCTGCTCGCTGGGACTGATCTTGGGGCTCGATCGGTTCCGAAGCTCCTGTGTCTCCTCCTGATCACTGATCGAGGAGGTTGTCACAGAGCTAGGTTTGTCCACAGCAGGTCTAATCTTCTGGGAATCGGCTTCGATCTCGACTCGGGTTCGGAAGACACCCCCTTGGAAGGGAGGGACGAAATTGATCCAGCCGCCTTCGATGCGCCCAATTCGATAGCGCAGCATTTGCTGCCTGGTCTCAAGCGAATGATAGCTGCCGTGTTGAGTCACCGAGTCAGCACACCTCTGCTTGGAGTGTATTTAGCAATTGAACCATACGCACGCATCAACTTCGTCCGAGGCATCTTTCCCAACCATATGCCGGATAGCCAAGTCCCCTCCAGGGTGGTACTTCATCCACCCGTCGGCCTTGATGACCTGGTCATGGAGGATGAACACATGGCGTCCTTCGGCGATGAGGGCTTCAATCTCGTCGCGAGTGAGGACCGGAGGGTTGCGCTTGGGTGCATCTGGGGCCGGCGGCGGGAAGCCCGTGATGCGTCGTGCAATTGGATCCGCCATGAGCGTGATTACGGCTTTATGATTAAAACAATTGATGGAGTAATCTGAGGCAAGTTGGCCCGCACCACCATTGCGATCAGGAGGGGATGCAATGGCTATTTCCTTTGTGGTGATTCTAAATATAGCAACATGGTTCGTTTTCACGCACCATCAGACGATTCGGATGATGCGGCGATTTGCAGGGTTTGCAACTTGCGGTCAGACGGGCAGGCTACGATAACGGAATCCCCAAGCTCCACCCGGTTCCGCTCAATTGTTTAACAGGATGGCCGAAGGGGCCGGTTTATTGTGGGAATGATTTAAGCAACGGGATAGTTTCGGCACCGAGGCCCAGAATGTGTCTGCCTGGTCTATCGTGACTTGATTGGGGAGGTTTGACTTCTCACCGCATCATGGGTCTTCTGAGAAAGCTCCCCTTTAGCTGTCTACTACAGGGACATAGACAGGTTTTGAATCAATGGAACAGTGTATGTTGAGACAAATGTCTGCTTTATGTAAGTCGGGGAAGGGCACCCCATGTAAATAGTTGTCCTTTTTACTGGCTCTAGAGGGCTATTTATCTTTCAGACTTTCATCAGTTGACAAATAAGTCGCGCTATTCTGGCCGGTGAACCGCGATTCCTGAGTCTCTCTTGAATTGTTGATAGCGCTGGCGAACAAACTCGATTGATTCACCATTTGCTGGCTTGAGGCAGAGGTCGGTGATCTCAAAATCATTGTGGAAGCTTTTCTGTGAAGTGGATGGATGGTGTCGGAGATTTAAACCTCAGAGGGTGAAGGACAGCGAAAGAAAGCTAGAGCTTCATACTGGGACCTTAATGGCGAGATATTGTTATAGGTGAGTTAGAGCTGGAAAAAGACTGTTCAATACATGACTGGTAATAACTTTTGATACTTGGTTCCTGATTTATTCAACTGTAAACAGATGATATGGTTGTAATTTGGGTTGCATCAATGATCCCCTAACCCTATTTGCTTATCCAAGTCATGCTTGGTACCAAGCCATCCCTTGGTGATAATGTCACCTCTTATCACCATTCTATTTGAAAACTTATCAAAATTTGCTGCGGGTGACATCCTCAGAGCTTGGAATGCCGCGCATTAAGCTCGCTCGGAATGCAAGTATCAAGCGCCGCCATTTGATCGAAGCTCATGTCTAGAATTTCCAAAACATTCCCCCAAGGATCTTTGCAGTACAGACAAATGGATCGACTCAACGTGTTCCGAATAGTCTTGCCAACCCTCTTCCCACCATGCTTGACAACCTTTTCCACGAGTGCGTCCGGGTTAGAATCTGTCACGCAGAGGTGGAAAAATCCGCCTCGGTTGTATTCGAATGTCTTGGCGGGCTCGAATTTGGGATCTACAAATTCGAAGACCTCAAAGCCAACTCCATTTCCGGTAGCCATCCAGGCGATCTTACACTCATTGAGAGAGTCGCCATAGATGTCAAAGATGGATGCGTCGGGCGTTTCGGATCTTTTGATGTGCTTGATCATTCCACCGTGGACGTGAAAGCCCATGACTTCGGTGTACCATTTCGTCACGGCATTGATGTCCGCCACAGATACTGCAATGTGGTTGATTGCTCTGGCGTTTCGCTGTAAATTGTCAATCGCTGCTATTTCCGCGAGAGTGGAAAGGGGCTTCTGCTCTACCTCTGTCATGCTTGTATTTAGGCTTTTCAGTCTTTGGACGTTTTGGAGCACCTTCTTCCCACCGGCGGGCGTGGCTGTCATGAAATAGGCTTTATGTCGACTTCACAAGTCACCTCACAGATAAGCTCAGCTACTCAAACTTGCCTGTTTGGGTATGTAGCGGCGATTTTGCCCAGTACGAGCCAAAATTAGATAGATCCCCAATGCCAAGTTTAGTAGCCACATGCAGCTAGCAGAGACATGCGTCAGGTATTAGGTATTCGAATTCGAGGGGAAGACCACCCAAAGAGCCCATTTCTCCACGTCTGAGTGGGTTGGTATGGTCTTCCCGGAATATATTTCCGATGGGCTAACGGGGTATATTCCCGACGATATATCCTTAGGGACATATAGCATAACTTACATAGATATCTACTAGTTTCGCCCCGTACTGGAGCAATATACCCTCCTCCCCAGCTCTACCACTAGTTAAAGGGGAATAATATCTACAGCCTAGAACAGCGGTAGTAACGTGACATGGCTCACGCTCTGTATGGAGGAGGTTCACCTCAGTAGTACTACTAGACAAGCAGGTCCGTGTCGCACAAGATTTGCAACTGCGTAGGCTGCTTACGCGCATTCGGCAAGGAGTACAGGACCAGTCGGATATAGAGTACCTAAACAGCGCAATATTATTTTCTGGAAGAGGGAAAACCTAGAAGGGCGCCGGCGCATAAATGACGGCCGCGCCTCTTTTTCTTCGCCCTCATCGCGCTGCGTCATCGTGGTCACATAGCATAGATGCCAGATAAATAAACAGAGCCACATCCACTGTCATACATACCTCGCTCCTGACCTCTTTGCGCCTCAACCCAATTCCTTTACCCCATCTTCTTCTTTCTTTGTTTACTTCTGGTATTAGAATTATATCATTTCTCACGATGTCTGACGATGAAGCCCATGACCATATATTTGAGCAGGAGAGCCAGCCGACAAGCATGGCCTTTAATACGATGACCAAAGTACTACGCAAAAACGGGCACGTCCTGATTATTCATTGGATGGTTCACTGTCTTTGGCTCAGACGGTGGTAGCTGTTGTGGCGCTCTCCATCCCAGGCCTTATTCATCTACCATCTACTAAGGTCTCAACCTCATCACGGCAAGCATAGCACTTTTTGGCGACAAGGTGATTCAGTAATTAATAAACTCTTGCTTTTATATTCCCTATCGGATGGCTGCTACTATTCGCGACGATTTTCGCCTGTGCGCCACCTCACCAGAGTACCGACAGTGTAATGAATTCAATGGGGTTGACTGAGTTGTAGCGAGTCGACCATCTAATAAGTCAATTGGAAGAGATTGCTCAAACCCCCAGAGTATATGGTGACCGAGCTTCCTGTAATGGAATGTTGATCTTAGTCTTGACCAAATGGAGCCCTACAACTACTCCCTCTTCCTCGGAGTGAAATGTATATACAGCTCTGGTTTGGCCCATACCAAGAATCCCCGATGGTCTTTGGCGTGGAGCCAATTTTTGCTTTCTTCATCCAGCGACATGTCAAAGTTCCACACTAGCCGGGCAAGTATCATCCGCATTTCGGCGTAAGCCAGACTGCAGCAGTGTGAATCCCATTAGGCCCATCCAAATACGCTGAGGAGGGAGAGTCATGACAGCAGTACTTACTTCTTTCCAAGGCAGTTACGCGGGCCGACATTAAACGGTTGCAAGCAATCTCTGCGATCATTTTCGAACTCAGGATCGCCCATGAAGCGCTCGGGGACAAAGTCCATAGCGCGCTTAAAGTTGCTTTCGCTGTGGTACATGACATAGTGTGCACAGCCGAGTACGGTATTGCCGGGGATTGTTTCTCCAAGGATAACATCACCCTGTGGTGGCGTCTCTCGAGGCAAAGCATTTGGTGCAGGTGGATACATCCTCAGCACCTCCTCCACCACAGCATTGAGATATGGTAATTTAGCCGAGGTCAGTAGATCGATCTCGTCCTCACTTGTGTAACTGCATCGAATTTCATTGGCCAGCTTTTTCAAGACTCTAGGATTCGTTGTGAGATGGTAGCTGGCGCCAGACAATGCGGTGGCAGTAGTCTCAGAACCGGCGATAACGAGAGTTTCCACATTGGCATCGAGCTCGTCTCTATTCATCGTCTTTTGAGGCATATTAGCATCTTGGTATCATGTGAGGGGGGGCGGCAGCATTTACCAGGTCGCCTTTAGGTGAAACCATAGCCTGGAAGAAATCAGGCCTCGGGTCCTGACCCAAGCGTTTGCGCACTTTCTCCTTGGTGAGTTCCTTGTGTTCGATAACCTTCTTGATCAAATCTGACGGGATCATGAGGGTCAAGAAAGGTCTCAATATCTGAACTCGGCTAAGAGCCATGCGCATGGCGTTGACCTTGACAGTGGCAAAGATCATACCGACCCAAGGGTGCATGCGACCTGTCTCAAGACATCCGAAGGATTCACCGAAGGACAAGTCACCGATGATGTCGAACGTTACATGGTTAAACCAAGCGCAAACGTTTAACTTTGCATTGCCATCTTGGCAGTTGTTGTATAACTGCTGGATAAACTTGTCGACATATAACTTGATCACCGGCTGCTGTTTAAGCATCGAGGAAGCTGAAAATCCATGGGATACAATTCGTCTCATGCGAGCATGGTTCTCGCGATCTGTGAAGACCATAGAGTTCGGGTTGCTCGCGCCATAGTAAGACGCCTTCCCGTTCTCTGGCTGTCCAGGCTTGCGGTGGCCCATGACTGCCTGCCAAGATTCTGGAGAAGCAAACGAGAGCTCGTTAGGCCCAGTTCGTACGATCGGTCCGTACTTGTTATGCAGTTCTAGGGATTTATTGTGCATGTTTCCGCTTATAAAGCTCTTGATCCAAGGAAACAGCGTCGCCGCCCATAGCTTAGGACCAGGGAACTTTCGAAGAGGATGAAAGAAGACATTGTAGATAAGTATAAAGGCTACATAAATGATGACCTAGGGATTTTTCTGGGTTAATACTACATTTGTATATTCAGGTATTGAGGATACTTTACTTACAAGCCCTCCTAGAAACAATAGCAACGCCACCGAGGGGCGGATGCGCGGTGTAGCAAACTCTGTTAACCAGGGAGGTGCCATTTTGACTGCTGCTCACAATAGTAGTGTGTAAACACATCTGAATATACAAGTTCTTCAATTTCACAGTAAGGATCTATGAACACTTAAATATAGCACACTTCGGAGACTTTTGAAAACAGGTGTCCCATCGGTACTTCCGTCACTACCAAAGTCGTGTCTAGCCTCAGTAATTCCAGGGGTATTGTGCAATAATCAATGACCCGCACAGAAATACGTTAAACATGTCACCATGTTCTAAACTTGGGCATTGAGCTACCAACGTTTTTATAGACACTCACCGGACATTATGCGCCACGGACAACTACAGGGCCCGGAAACGGAGTTTCGGGTGGTTGATTGCCGAAATGGCTCTACTAGTTACGGGCGGTCGTCCACGATATCGATCATATCTGCGCACTTAGACTACCCAACGGTTGACAGGGGTGATAGCGACCAGTTCTGGTGGCTCTGGGTACGCAACTAATGGAGCCTATGTGAACTCCACACCGGATCATTTCCTTCGTGTCCACCGTCTCCAGATAGCTCAGCAACTGGATCATCATGCCACTTGATTGGGATCAACTCGTTCAGTACCGCAACAGCTCAAGCATCTGGTCGTAATCACAAATGCTTATGGGACTTTGAATAACTGTTCCTTCCTGAACCAGCCGCGTGACACTCGATTGCCCAAAGTAACCGAACTCGACACGCTTCGCTAAACACCAACTCTGCGTTTCCGTCAGCCTACCCTGTAGCCTGAGTCCCAACCATGAGACGTTACAGGTTGCTCAATGTCATACTTGAAAACAGCTGTCTCAAGGTGTATACTAACGGAATTATTGCTGTTGTCTCATAAGATCCATAGTTGTACTTGATAGCTCATCGAATAGACATTGGGCCCTAATTGAGCCCTTGGTGCGAAGCGTACTCGTCTAACGGTGCCCGAGTGGCTGGGTTTGCAAGTCTCGAGCCGTGGCATCGCATTTTACTTTGCACGCAGCAGCTGATCTTGACCAGCGTGGACCTCGGCAGGCCAGCAGGGTAAATCTTGCAGTGTAGTGATGATGTGGAGGGGGAGAAGAGATTGATGATGTGACGTAAAAGCTCTCTTTGCCAAGAAGATACGTACTAGTGTGGCTCGCTGCATTAGCTCGCTCGGAAAGCCCATACTATGATTGGCTCGGAAAGCACATACTATGATTGGCTCGGCCTCTACATGCTGCCGATTTGCGCGGGGCTTTGAGACAACTCCAAACTCCGCATCCAATAATCCATAAACTTTTCAGCTGTACAAAGACAAACGGCGTTGTGAGCGGGGATACTATGCTGCACAAGGACTCAAACGGGAATATCACCTCATTGATTGAGGCGATTATATTTGATCATGGGGACCGGGGGCTAGATTACGAGGTAGTACCAGTGAGGATCCAGTTCGCACTGGCTAGGAGCCTGTTCCAACGGAAGTCGCCGTGAGGATCGCTCAGCATGTGCTCACTGTACCTATCCAATCCATCTCCGACACCTCGGACATACAATGATGTATGCTGTTTCAACTGTTGTAGATAGGGTGCTGCAGACTACATACTGCAAGCTCTTGGCTTAATGTCAATACTGCTGGTGAGACCGCAATGTGCGTGTATATGTCATCTAATCCGCCAAAAGGAGCATCAAGCGTAGCCAGTATCGCTTCATGGAGGTCTTACATCAAAGTGAATGTTGAAACTGCAGATTGCCCTCCTCGCAGAACTGCCACAGATCCATTGAAGAAAAGCGTTTTCAAACCTCTCACAACATGGCTCATCGTTACTATAGAGGCGACGAAGTTCAATCAGCATCACTAATGGGCTTGTGAGTGATGTGCTCTTTGATAAGAAAGTCGTAGTCATCGACTCGAGGATGCTCCGCGGTAGGGCCTCGAGTAAAATTTATTACTAAAAATAGAGGGTTCTATCCATACTTGTCCTTGTTCACAAAGACGATCTTCTTTCCCACAGATGGGCATAACGTCTAGGCTTACAATTGGTGGCCCAGCTTGATCTCCATATTCGGGTGGCGTTCGCTGAATGCTTTGAGTGCGAAAAGGCTTTCACGACTGGGATCGCGCTCTTTGAGAAAGGTTCCTGGCTCGACACCATTATCCCAACCCCAGCGGGTGTGACACACATCACCTGTCATGAGCACCGGGCCTGCTGGCGTCCGAGCGACAAGAGCGATGTGCCCAGTCGTGTGACCAGGGCTGTGAATAGCGAACAATGTGCCGTCGCCGAAGATGTCAAGTACCCCTGCAAACTTATTGTCCTCGTCTCTAGGTATGTCGAATTCTTGCAGCGGTGGTCGTCCAGCAAGAAGACGATCGTTCGTACCTTGAACAGCTATATTCATGAATAAACCCGACTCTGCCTCATGGGGTCCAGTGTAGATAGGTACATCCTTAGGGATATCCGGAAGGCCTGAGACGTGATCAAGGTGAAGATGTGTCATAAAAACCCCCTTGAGAGCTGTACCTTCAGCGTCGAGGATTTCCTTAGTACTCTGCTGAGCCTTCATGTCACTTATACCAGCAAACGTCCGCAAGACCCAACCAACCCCTGCTGCTGCAGGGTCAGCTACAAAACGTCGTGAAACACCCGTGTCCACCAGAAAGAACCCCTGTGACGGGTGCCGGATAACGTGGGCGAAAATCTTGATTGGCTCGCGGCGTTCTTTGAGACCTGCTTGTACGGCCTTTGGGTCATTCAAATTAAGCAATCCAGACAAGTCGGCCACCCAGTCAGCAGCAATTGTCTTGATCTCAATTGAGCCTGGTTGATCTATCAGACGCTCCATGTCTCCCGACTTGACTGGCCTGCCGAGTGTGGCCCGGACAGTCGGGTGATTTGTAGTTTTGAAGGCGAACATGGTGCTTCCAAATCCACTTCGCTGGTCTGCTTGTACTTGTTTCAGCTTCGCACGTTACTTGTTACGTTGACGAGTGAACAACTTACTCTAAGGAGTTTCCGCCGACTTATTTCATTCAATGTAAAAGGGTCGATCTCAAATAAGTGATGTCGTGCAAACTCAGGGAGTATGCACATAATCTTGATTGTCCTCAGATGGATATTTTGGCGATGGGGTGCTCGAAATCACATTTATACTTTTCTGATTTCAGACTCATTTCAGGCAGCTCATGCCGTCGCATTAACTTGAGAACATCCGTGGAGAGGATCAATGCCGGATCCAGTTAGTAAGCTAGCGACGCAATTAGTATACTGACTATCTCATAAAGGGTCATAAGTGCGAGCCTCAAATTCCTATCGTCATGCAGGCGCATCATCAAGCCGAGCCACCAACTGAGTACCAGTGCATTCTAGAACCGGCCTTACAACCTCTTGAGGTTTAGGCTGGTGGTTACGGAAGAGTGTTAGACTCGGCCACCCTCGAAAACACAAGGGCCGTGAGTCCCCGCAGTTTCTTAGCTGGCGTAGTAGACCTTGCCATTGAACAGAGCAACGAAAACACCCAACAAGAAGGCATGAGCAGTGTGCGGATCTCCGCCTGGAGCTTAGACCCCCGAGAACCCGATATCTCCATCTCCGCCCCCTTGCTTGAAAGACATTACATAAACTCCGCTGCTAGTTGGGCAGCTGCTCAAAAGAGTGACGATACTATCTCGTACGCGGCGAACTAGAGGTGACAGTGCTGGCATTGCGATGCATGTCTGGCGGACCGGAATATTTGCGTTGACGCCTTGCTGTTGGTACCCTAGTTTGAAAGCTTGTACGTGGCATAATTAGTGTGCGGAAAAGCAGAAAGCCGCAGAATTCGGCACGCCTTACCCATCACCTACGTCTATTTAGATTCGGATTCTCTATAATCATTCTCCGTCTTCACGCTCGGACTCGCACGCAGTTACGGATCATCCCAACTACACTGCCTTGGTTGGTTAGATCTATATAAAGGGGCCAGCCTCTGCATTCCCTCTACATGTCTTCCGCTGAGCCCTTGTTTGCCCCCAAAACACCACCTTCCACAATCACAGCTATCGTCCAAGGTCACATCTGGAAAACTTCGCGTCAACTTCGCAATGTCTAAATTGATAGTAATCGTCGGCATAACTGGAAAGCAAGGTGGAAGTGTCGCGGATGTTTTCCTCCAAGACCCAACGTGGCGTGTCCGCGGTCTCACGCGTGATCCATCTAGAGACACGGCCAAGGAGTGGATCTCCAAAGGAGTTGATATGGTGGCTGGCGACCAAGATGACCTCGAGTCTCTGAAAGCAGCCTTCGCTGGCGCTGATGTGATCTACGGTGTCACCGACTTTGCCCCGCCAATGTACGACGCCGAAAGTCACAAGGTCGCCGCTCAGCAGGGGATCTCGATCAACGAATTTGCTCATAATCTGGAGGTTCGACGCGGCAAAAATCTCGCTATTGCCGCTGCGAGCATTCCGACTCTTGGACGTTACGTCTATTCAACGCTCAGTGATGCCCGAAAACTATCAAAAGGGAAATACGTACATGTTTATCATTTTGACTCAAAGGCTACGGTCGCTGAATACATCAAGACGGCGAAAGAGATGGAAGACCTTGCTCGGAAGACTAGTTTCTTGCAGGTTGGCCTGTACGCGGACAATTGGAAGTCCGGCTTCCCAGAGATTCAGAAGAATGCTGATCATTCTTTCTATCATGTTGGCTTAGGCGACGGGCACACGAAATTACCATTCATCTGGGCGCGAAAGGATGTCGGGGTTTTGGTGAAGGGCCTTGTTTCAGCGGAAGGTGGGAAAATGCTTCTGGGGTACAGCCAAAACATCAGCTGGCGGCAATTTATGGAAATATGGGCAGAGACTCTCAATGTCCCGCTAGCGGACAATGCTCATCATCAAATATCAGAGGAGGCCTTGGAGGACCTTCTTCCTGCCTTCCCGGAGGGAGTGTTGACACAAGAATTCTCGGAATGTTTTGCATATTTTGAAGAATTTGGGTATGACGGTGGTGATCCTAATGTGATTCACCCGAAGGACGTAAGTCTCTTGCCTCCCTTTGATTTGTTTACCCTCATTACTCCGATATTGAATTCTTATGTTATAGGTCGATGTTGCTGAAAATTTGACGCCATTGAAGGAGTATATCAAGAGTGAGGACTGGTCAAAAATTTTGCAATAGGCTGTACGAGACCGGAGATACTAGATTTCGGGTCATCTATCTACTCTTTTCTGCCAAATGTTTCACTCTCGCAGGACACTCCCACCTTACAACAAAGACATCTGAAACCAGAGATGGATTTGGACTCCAACAGAGGCAAAGTGAAGGGAACCTCGAGGAGGGTGGGAAACTTTTATCGCGAGTCTGGTCAATAATCATAGCAATAGGAACAATTGACGTCTCAAGTCATAGCAAAGTTCTGGAGTCTAGTTTGAACAATCTGAACACTTTCTCTTCAGATATCACAAGTATCAAACATAAATGCTGCAGTGAAGATATATGCGTAGAGGCGGCCTCTCCTTGTACCTGGGAGGAAGGGCACCGAGCATGGATCGGGCACCAAATATTAAAGCCATATAATTTGGTTCGCCATACGCACATAACAGCTTAATGCAAAATATTAAGGAGCTACGTAGATGCATAAATACCCAATGGATATGACGAGGCCAAACATTATCAGGCAAGGTCTTAATTCAAAGGAAAATGACCCAGATAAATCTACGTCTGATCGCCTCGGTTCTATGGCATGTGGGAGCGGAGCCGACCTCCAGCTTCCCCGCAGTCTGCAGTTGCGGAACCGATCCTCCCCAGATTCGTGGGGTAGTATAAATAGGGATGATCAGGCAATTATCTACAGGCGGTTAATTAGAGACACTTGATTGAATACATATCCTGTATCTTGACCGAATAATACCATATGCAACCATGAGAGCCGCCAGGTACTACGGAAAGGAGGATATTCGCGTGGAGCAGGTGTCTGAGCCCAATGTTCAACCCGGTCAGATCAAGGTATCTGCAGTCTAGCCAAGCTATTACCGGCGAATGCTAACCGCCTGGGTGAAGATAGCCCCATCTTTCGTCGGAATCTGCGGGACAGATCTGCACGAGTACCTCGGCGGTCCCAACTTCTGCCCAGTCAAGGCACATGGGGTCACAGGCGAGACCATCCCCATCACTCTTGGTCATGAGTTCTCTGGCGTGGTCAAAGAAATTGGCGAGGGAGTAGAAGGCTTCACCGTCGGGCAGCCGTGCGCCATCCAGCCTACCATCTTCTGTGGAAAGTGCCCTGCTTGTGAAGTTGGTGCACGAAACATCTGTCATAATGGTGGCTTTATTGGCTTGAGCGGCGGCGGCGGCGGTTTGAGCGAAGCGGTTTGTGTGAATGCCACTCATGTTTTCCCTTTACCACATGGTGTTTCACTAGAGACAGGCGCTCTCGTGGAGCCTCTTGCTGTAGCTTGGCATGCGGTTTCAGCAGCTCCTGACCTCACACAAGACTCTACTGTTTTAGTGATTGGTGGTGGACCAATTGGTCTGGCCGCCATTCTTTGTTTAAGAGGCAAGGGGGTCAAGAGCATCATTGTCTCAGAGGTGGCAGCCGCCCGCCAGCGTTTCGCTACGGAATTTGGAGCCTCCAGCGTCATCAATCCCGTGAAGGACGATGTCAATAAAGTGATCTCAGAATTGACGGGTGGAAAGGGTGTTGATGTTGCCTTTGACTGCGCGGGAGTCCCTGCCAGGTGAGGTTTCAGATATCGGGCCACAAAGACCAATCAAACTAACATTTCTCCAGCGTGAAAAGTGCATGCGAGAACGTGAGAACCAAGGGGACAGTTGTGAATGTAGCCATCTGGGAAAAGGAAGTCCCGTTCAACCCAAATTGGATCACCTGGAAAGAGAGCTCGTATAAGTCCGTGCTTGGCTATGGACCAGAAGACTTTAAAGCAGTTATTGAAAACCTTGGAACCGGTGAGTGACAATATATTTGGTCAATACCTTCCCCTGACTAACTGATGTGGTGAAGGGTCTATTGTGCCGCAAAAGATGATAACAGCCAAGATCGAACTCAATAATTTAGTTCGGGATGGCATTGGTGCTTTGATTTCAGACAAAGATAACCATGTAAAAATATTGGTAGATATGGAAGCCAGCAGGGCTCCCCAGAACAAGTCTGCCTTGTAGAAAGTGTTGATTTACAGAAATGAATGACACCTGTGAGCGCTTAATATGTATCTAGTTCCAGCTGAGGAGACAATGTATCACTTTCTCGAGTTGCGTTTCACCTCCATCACAAATGATTTGAACCTGAACTTGCTGTGAACAGCTATTTGACCAGCCAACAGGTGGTCATGTGTGAGTCCACTCGCATGAGATAAAATTTCAAGCTACGCCGAAGCTTTGATTGCTCAATTATCTAACTAACACCATAACTTGATGTTACAATGATTTAGGTTCAGGATTCAACAACTGTCAGTAATTCAGGGCTACTTTAGCCTAGGATTACCTCTTGAAAGCGAAAATTGGCACGCCCGGGGCTTTGTTCCTGCACCCGGTCACCGCCATCTACGGTGAAGCCGGCAAAGCCCCAATCTCCATCGAATTGATGTCAAAAAAAGGATCTCACGCGGAGAAGCTATCTTCTTATCTTCTGATGCATTGAGGACTGAGTATCGAGAGCGATGGACGTGGAAAACCCCTCTACTATCCGTGCGAAGGGAAGTCGAACGAGGACTCGTAAGGTGCGAACAGGGTGTATCACATGCAAGAAGCGTCATATTAAATGCGACGAAGCGAAACCGTCATGTTCCAACTGCCTTAAGAGTCGAGGCCAATGTGAAGGATATGCGATTGAGCCACGGAAACTTCCGAGCATACGCCGAGCCATTCAAGCACGCCCTGACCAGAGTCTTCAACCTGATACCGACTGGCCATTGACCTCAATGATCCTGGATCCTGTGCATCATGACTTTGCCGACTCTCTTAACCTCTTCTACTTTCGAGAATTCATCTCTTTGTTGCAGGATACATGGATGACCGGGCTATCAAACAGCAAAGGCTGCCTGTGGCAGGAGACTCTGCCCCAAGTCTGCCGCACCAACCACACTCTGAGAAACGCTGCAATGGCCGTGGGTGCGATGGACATGTTTCGAAAAGAAACGACCCTTCATGAAAAAGATATTTCAACACAGTCTCATATAGCAGACCCCCGTTACTTACAGGCCCTAGCATACTACGGCAAAGCCCTGCAACTTCAAAGCCAGCGTGTATCATTTCAGTCTTCTGCTTTCTTGTCACTGATTCTGCTCATTTTTGAATCCTTGCGCCTCAGGAAAATCGCCGCTTTAGACCACATCAATCATGGTATGGCGTTATTACTCTCCTTTCTTGGAGATAGCAGTACATCGAGTGATGAGATTGCCAGTTTCTCTCCGAACCCGCGGCCTACCTTGAGCCAATTGGCTGACATCTTCATGAACTTGGCAACACAAACCCGCATTGTCTTGAAAGGCAGAATCGGCCAGCACTGCCCGCTTCCAGACCTTGCGAAAGGATTGGAGGAGCAAGGGATCTTGATGGAAGACTTCATCGTACTGCTCAGCCAAGGTTCCGCGAGCAAGTGCTACATCGCTCCTCAAAAATTCAGTTCCTTGGATAAATTTGAGGAGCATTGGCTCTCAATGACCCGAAGACAAGCTGAGATGGGCCCTATCATGTTGCAAGCGATGACGAGGTCAACAGTTCTGGAATGTGAACACCAGCAGAAAATCAGTGACCTTTTGGCATCGACACTACAAGATCCCGAGGTTCGGAAATTCTGCGACGATACCCGAAGGGACATGAACTTAATGGAACAGGCGTTTCTCCCTCTGTTTTCAGATATCATGATGTCGACGACAATGGACTCGCCAACATATCTCAGAGCTCTCTACCTCCGCCTACGCTTTCTTTCGGTCCAAGTCTTCAACAACCCGCCACAATATGCTTGCATTCGGTCAATGGTCGCGTTAACACCCCGACTTCGCGAGTTTCTCTCTTTAGCAGAACTTGCAATCAGGATCACGCGGAAGACTGTAGTGTGTCGGGCTTATTCGCTTTGCATAGACGGTGGACTTGCGTGGTACCTGCTCCAGATTGCGCTTCACTGCCGCGACCCATTAGTACGTGACAAGGCTATATTGGCACTGGATGGCTACGCCGGCCAGGATGGGCTATGGACCACGCGGTCGCTGCATGCTCTGGCGCTCAGAAACCGCATCGTTGAGCAGCAAAATGCGAATGGACACACCGCGCAAGTACAATGGCAGAGGCTCTGCCGGCGCGAGTACTACTTGGAAGATGGAGGCGAACGGGTGGTTTTCCGTTTCCTAGAGAAACAGTTGGAATTGGATCAGTGAATTCTCGTAGAAGACGTGGGAGAGTTTCAAGACAAGGAAGTCTGTGCCAAGTGGACACGGCAGCTGAACCCCTTGTCGGGCAGGTTACTTGTTCAGGAAGGGTTTCCTCATGGCAGCACAGGCGGACGCCCCGGTCAAATGGATTTATGAGCTAATCTATGGCAATACACTTCAAAATTCTATGTACCGCAACTTGAAGATTCTCTCCAAAGTAATATCCCGGGGTCAGGTCAGCTTACGCCCGCTTGGAACTACCTAGTTGGTGAAATTAATCAAAAGATCACCTTCTGACATGATGGCGAGGTCATCCCTGCGGAACATAACGATCACCTCAACACCAGAGTCCTTACGACTACATCGTGTCCATTGCGCCCTAGGCATGATCATCCCGACACCGTCAGCCTCCATATAAGGGGGCCTGATATGCTTAGGCTTCCCAAGAGTCTGCCCAAAATCAAGGTCATATATATCGAAGCCATTCTAGCTGGTGACAGTAAGATCCCGGGATGAGAATAAATCCCATCCAGGAAAAATGGATTTGAGATCCTCTGTACGGGCGACAAGGCTGCATAGCTCGGCGACTGAGTCAGAGTTGATCCGATCAACAGACTGGGAATGAGATATGATCCTGCAGACTTCCGCCAGGCACAGGGGTAGTGTTTCATGCACAACGTCAACCACTTGCAGATCGGTGATGGATAGCGCGGCCATGGCATACTGTACCACGTTTCCAAAATAAGGTACACTCCCTCTTTCTGAACCCAATCCTACTCGCTGCCGGCAATTCACTGCAGACACGAGTTGGGTTGTACTGCTGGCGAGGGCAGGAGTTCTTCTTGCACGGGCCCGGGTGATTACGATCCAGAGCATTGCCGTGACAATGCTGGTAGTGGTTGGCGTAACTGTCATTGAGCCACTTACTCTCTGCTTCAGCTTTTCGATCTTGTCCATCGAAATCCTGAATAGCTTAGAGGTACAAGGTGGGAATTCACTAGGCATGGCTGGGGGGACCCTTGAAATTTCTGGATGCGAGTCCCCAAGATCCTCAACAGAATGGGCCGAGGCCACATCAAGGCTACCATTCAATGCTTTGGTGAGTTGATTGACTCTGTCCAGCCCATTGGAAGAACCAGTGGGTAAAATTCCAGTGGTAGCCAGCGACCAAAGGCGAATAAGCTCAGCTAGACCAGTTGCATCAAAGACATGATGATGCGCGCAGATACAGATTCCGAGGCCTTCCTCATCCGCAAAGCGAAAGATGCTGGCGGCGAATATCGGCGTTCCCTCCGTGGCTGAACCTTGCAGTGTCTGCGGGTTCAATGGCCACATCTCGGCGGGGATACTGTGTGGCGGCATGCCTTGGGAATCAAGGGCCGCGTAAGTCGATTTCACTAAGCCTTTGTTTGTTATGACAGGAGGCATTCCCTTGGCGTTCCACTGAATCTGCATTGATTCTTTCCCCGAGGCCGTGACAGTTGGAACAATCTGCCCAAGTAGCCATGGGAGCTGAGTAGCGACGGTTCTTAGGCCTCACTGGAGTGTCGATTGAATAGGAGACGTTGGCTCTATAGTCTTAAAAGTAAGGAATAACTGAATATAAGTGTTGGGCATGAGTAGATCCAGCGGTGTCAGTTGCTCCGTATTCATGAATTCGTTCATCTTGAAGCAGGTAGCCAAGTGAAGGTGAGAAAATGCATGTGTGGTAAATAAAAAGTTAAGTGATGCCTTTCAAACCTGAAATTAAGAGAATAGTTGTGCGTTTAATAAACACCGCCAACGTCAGCTTCGATGAAGAAGACGCTGCCTTCGTAAAACAACTCGGACTGGTAGCCAATCATTACACTCAATTCCTCAGTCCTCGCCAATGGAGTCTGAAAAAAAAAAAAGAGGAAAACCAAGTTCATAGACTTTCGAGTGTAACTAAATTATTTTCCTGGGAATTATGTGGTTGCCTTGGCCAGGCTCGAAAAGATGAGGTGACTTTAACCCTCATCCTAACCTACAGCCGTCCGAGAAGATTCTTCAACTTATTCAAACCGGTTGTTTGCTCTAGAGACCTCGTATTGGTTTGCTTACTTTTTTCCTAAATCCTCCTCAAAATGGAGACCTTTTTACGGCTACATGTGCTACGAATGCCCTCTATTGACTACGACCTAGCCAGAACAGCTGTGTTCTTTGATACCCATCGAACCTTGACTTCCTCACATGAGCTCCCCAAGCTGCCGAGGGAAGACTAACTCGGTGGCCCATAAATCTCCTCCGTCTAAAATTCGTTACTCGTGTTTACTACTGTCTATTATAAGAACCACGCCAAACTGTCCCACCCCTGTCCATCTGCCGAGCGCTGCCCTAATTCAGAGTCAGTAGTTTACCAATGTTCCTCCTGCTGCTGACAAGTGGAATCCTTCTTCCCCGCAAGCATCGTAGATCGGGACTACTGAGGTGTAAGCTGGAGCTATGCTGACCCAAGAAGCCGGGATGAGTCAAGAAGATTAATCTCCTGAGGATGTATCCACGCAAGCCCAGCCAATCGGCTCGCCAAGCATGATTATAGGCGAGATGACGCGGGATGAGCTAGTATGGCAACAAAAGAGTAAGCATAGCCCCGGAACCAACGGAACAGCCGCAGAATTAGTGGCAAGAGAACCATAGGTGTAGCGTGAGTCGAATACTAACCAGACCGGTGACAGGGTACTCCAGCTAGCCATAAATACTCTAAGTTTTGCGAGTGCGTGGATTGTATAATGTGTTGAGTTAGTGATAGCACCGGCTTAACCCTGATCACGGTCTACTTGGCTTGAGGCATGATCCAAGCCAGAGTGCTTGGTTTGTTTCCTCACCGCTGCATTCACTGCCGAGGAGAGGAGAAGATTGAATAATTTGCATCAAGTACCGACGTAATCCGGTAACACGCACGACGTCCTACCGGAATAGTTATGCGCTAAGCGATGGATGACACTAGCTCTTCTCACTTCCCTGAAGTATCTCGGTGTTGCCCCAATACGGAAAAAGCAAACCAATATCACACAATATGGCACTGGTCGGACGGTAATCGCTAATATATCTTGAAGTTGATTATTGAGACCCCACATGTATTACGAGTATTTGGTACCTGAACCAAAAGTATTGTCATCTTGGCACTTAGACTTTGGAAGTCACGCCTATGAGTTGCTCGCTCAGCAGCTGGAGAGAAAATCTATATAAACGGCAACCCTTTCCTACCAACTCTCATCATTTTTATCAGACACACCACAAGTTACAAAAACAGAAGAAGTACCAAAGCCTGGTACTCGATTTCCCTTTCCACTCCTATCTTTCCTTGACTCATTCTCTTCGCTGTGCGAATTCTTTTCCTATATTCATTACTTGAACTTTCTCCATCATGGTCGGCATCAAGCAACTTGGAATTATTGCTGCCTTCTTGGCCAGTAGCCAGGTTCTGGCCAACCCCGTTGATTCTTCCGAGGATCTCGACGCTAGGGACTTCGATGATGAAGCTGTCGAACATCTAGCCGTTCGGAGGTATGATCCGGATAATACCGGCATAGTACCACCAAAGCCTGGGCCTCCTCGCCCCCCTCGTCCTGACGAGAGGAGGAGAAAAGGTCGACGAGATCTATCTGAACGCCGCTATGATCCGGATAACACGGGTATTGTCCCCCCTAAGCCTGGGCCTCCTCGTCCTCCTCGTCCTGATGAGAGGAGGAGAAAAGGTCGACGTGATCTATCTGAACGGAGATATGATCCGGACAACACCGGCATAGTACCACCAAAGCCTGGGCCTCCTCGTCCTCCTCGTCCTGACGAGAGGAGGAGAAAAGGCCGACGAGATCTGTCTGGACGTAGATATGATCCATTAAACCCGGGCCCTGTGCCTCCAAGGCCCGGACCCCCTCGGCCCCCTCGTCCTGACGAAAGAAGAGGGAGAGGCCGACGTGATCTATCTGCACGCCGGTATGATCCGGACAACACGGGTATTGTTCCTCCTAAGCCCGGGCCTCCTCGTCCTCCTCGCCCTGACGAGAGGAGGAGAAAAGGCCGCCGCAGCGTTTGAAAGTTGGATGAACGCGGATCGTTACATGATTCCTTTATGAGGGATAGCTGTGATGGGGTTGATGCTGGGGTTAATCTTTTCGACTGTGTTTTTCAGACACAGCACCTACTCAAGGACCACATTCCTCTGGAATCATGTTGAACCTATCAATATTACATTGTGTTCTCTTCGAGTTGTCATATAGACATCTAGTGTATTATAATTAAACCTGTTGCGCTTCCTACTTACCTTTTTTCCCCTGGTGTAAACGCAAGTGTTCTAGTAAAAAAAAGCTCAACCCGCTAAGATTGTATTCAATTACTTCCTTCCATCACTGTTACAGGCTGCATCTATAAAGAGCTCCGCTCGGGACACGTGGTTACGCAGAGGTGATCCTGGTCACTCGAGGGTTTCTAAACCCTCAGAACCAAGAGGGAATTAGACCTATAAAAACAATTAGAAAGCTACCTCCCTTCATGGATAACTGGTATTCATCCTGTACCTAGAGATAGACTTATCAAATGGACTCCTTGGCTAATTAGGCCCAGAGAGCATCCCTTGATACTCACGACAAACAGAAAATGTGTAGGCTCTTTCACACTGCCGCGAAGTCATTAAGCACATAGGATGAGTCCAATAGTATCAAACAGCACGTACTGGTCCTATACTTGTAGTGGCAACGAGCTCGCTCATCATTACGCTCATAGTTCTTCTAAAGAGTTGCATCTTTCTTAGCAGTATTTGAGGCGGGCCGATTTCTAGCCTTCTCAATGATTTCAGATTTCCACCAATCGGTACCATTTTACACCGTCTAACATTGTCTGTATCTCATATTGCTTTGTCGGTGGAATTGTTTATCATTTTCGTTTTCTTGCCAGTTTAACAACATGTTGCCATTTGAACGGGTAAAGCAAGTGGTCTATGCTCGAGGTATCCATGTAACTCAAACCCATTATCACTAAAATATCCGTTCGAAGAGTTCGGTTCAGAACCAAGCCATTTTGACGGCAGACTATTGCGGAAGGTCCAAGGCCTAAACCGTGGCAATGCTAGATGCGCTCATCGGTTGGTACCAAAGTCTGATTTGCAGTTAAGGGACTGATTGATCGTTGACCAGCGCAGGTACACCCCGGACTCGCATTCTTGCCGAACGGGTTCCGGAGCCTGTAAAAGAATTCAACGAGTTGAAATGCCTAGAATAATGCGTTAGCAAATTTGGCGAGTGCCTTACAAAATTACAAGTTCGGAACCTCCCCATATCTGAGTTCATTTCGGTAGCAGTTCCGTAGAATGCCATGGGGCATCTAGCGTACTCTCAAACTATGGGGAGTCTAGGTCACTGGCGTATATTTTTCTCGGGGCAATCTTTGTCCGCCTGGGACGAGGATGACCCTGTAATGCGAGCAACATCTCTTGATCTACTCCCCTAACCCTCATATCCCCCACCCGAAAGACAGACGTCGAGAATGATTCGCCGCTGTGGAATTCGGTGCGGGGAATGGCCATACGTTAATCGATTCATGCGAAAGGGTCATCCGATTCACCAGCTGAAGGTTGACTCCTAGCATTTGCCAGGGTCATCGAAGATGTGCAGCGTCCTTGGTAGAAACCATGTGTCATATCTCGGTGTAAATCTTGGTGTATTTTGCCGATTTCTCTCGGAGCTCTCCACTCGGGCAATCCAATGATGAATCTCCGTTTGATGTTGGCTTTATCAAACGATTCGTATCTCTTATTCTCATCTATGAATTAGTTCCACAGGGCCGTCTGATGTGAAAGTAGAAGCTAGAGGCCCTTTGGATATGGAAGTGGAAGGTCACCATGCCTGGCTGAGCTGAGACACGAACAGTAATTTGGAACAGTTTTGTCTGAGCGAGGTGAGGCCGAAGTGGTGGGTGGAATTTGGAAATAGCCAACCGGCGCAGCGAGACACATGTCATGGGGGTCTTCTTTTGGAAACAGCACCGAAGCATCTAAAAGGGGCTGGAACAGCGTGGCTAGGTAGCATCCGCACCCTGGTCTTGCGGTCCGCAACTCCTTGATTCAGAACCAGGCCATGCTCCTCGCGCGTGGGTGGAGATCCGGGTAACGACCGGCGATGTAGCTGCTGCTGGCGTATCTAGAGGACCAACAAGAGTATGCAATCATTCTCATGCAGAGGTCTCGTATCACCTCTGGGTCGTCGTCCCGTGGCTGATATCATTGGCAGGAACTGGGATTGTTCATGCATGTGTCTGCATGTGTGGGCTGAAGACCATGCACGTGCCTGAAAGGATTCCACGGCTGAATGAGATAATGGGGCAGCGATATTATTCGATCGAAAGCTGTCTGTGCCCCTCTCTCCACGTAATACTTTACAGATGCAGCTATCACGAGCCAGCCCCTGCAGATGGAGGGAGAACCGGTTCCACCGCGTTAACCACTGACTATTGGTCCATCGATTCCTCGTCTTTGCGATCCCTGGTGTGTGTTTCGGTTCCGCGCTCCTTGTCGATTGAATCGTGCAGATATTCTATACTTGGAGAACCCAATTGCAGAAAGAAGTGACGGGAAAAGCTGACAATTCCTTTGAATGCTACCTTATGCCGGGGTTAGAACAAAGAACCCCGGCTTCCAGGCCGCAGAAGCCCGAGCCACATGGTCCGGAGCTTCTTAATTTGGAACGCAATGAATCGATAGATGCTCTCAAGATAGCTAAAAAGTGTCTCATCCCCAGCCAACAGTCCTCATCCTGCAGCCAACAGCCCTCAACCTGCAGCCAACAGCCCTCAACCTGCAGCCAAGGGCCTGATACAGGCAACCAACAGTGTTTTGTCAGCCAGGGTTGGGGTATTAAAGGGAAATGGAAGGACATCGCGGAATCTCAGATGAGGCTCATCATTCCGTCTATACTCTTCCCGCCATTCGTAGATGGTCAATTAGCCCATCATGAAGTCACAAGGATTGGCTGCCATTGTGATGATCTCCCAGTTCCTGTGGATCCCCGTTGCAATATACCTCTCATTATTGAGAGGTCATGGGATTCTCCTAGCAATTGGTATGCCATTGGTTGTACAATCGCTTCTCAGCTACGCCATTGCCATACGAAGATGGCACGCTGTCAACAATCTCATCTCTCAATCCAAAGACGAGACGCATTTGCCACCACAGTATCCCTCCCTGGTTCCGTATGTGGGAAGTGCCTTGTCATTTGTATGGGATAATGCGGGCTTTTTGCGCCAAGCGACGTAAGCAATCCTGCAGCAGGCCGATTTTGGGATTACTAACGTCATATTTTGAAGACGCTATGGAGGCAGATTGATTTCGTCGAGGATCTCGTTCCTGGGGTTTGAGATTTTTGCATTTCAGGATAGGCAAACTGTTGCCAAGGTCTGGAAGCAGACCAGCCTTTCAAGCCCCATTTCGATTTTCGTGTACGCTATGAAGTATTTCTTCGAAATCCCTGAAAATGTCTTGTCAGTGTACCGTGCCGACACCTCTGGGCCTTTCCCAAAACCTCACAAGGACACCAACATCTCCCCTCAAGCTCGTGTCGACCATATCACGCACTATGGATTCTTGCAAGCCCTGAGTGGGCCTGGATGGCTGCCAACGACGAAACGCTGCATGAACGCATTGGTTTCGAGACTAGAAGACAAGGGACTCTCGGAGGAATGGACTGAGTTTGAAGACATGTCAGAATTCTTCAAGGAATGGGTCGGGGCATCACTTATTGAGAGTCTCTTTGGCCCTTCGCTGCTACGAATCAACCCAACTTTCGTCAAGAACATCTGGGTTTTCGATGAAGGCATACCGTGGCTGGCGAGGGGAGTTCCGTCCTTTTTAAGACCATCGATCTATAAGGCTCGGAGAGCTGCCATCGCACAAATCAGAAACTGGTATTTATACGCCAGAGAACACTTCGACGAGAGCTATATTTCCTCTGACGGGGATGGGGATCCCTTTTGGGGCTCATGGCTTATGAGATACCGCCAGAAGAACTTGCTACCAGCCGAGAAGCATAACGATGAGGTTCTCTCGAAATTGGATCTGGGTCTAGCTTGGGGGTAATATCATTCCTATCGAATTAAAGCCGTTGGAAGTTTGCTGACTTGCTATTTCTTCTTTTTTCTAGTGTTGTTGGTAATACGACGCCTACTTCCACTCTTTTTGCTTTCCACATCTTCAAAGATCCTACGTTACTAAGCCGTGTTCGAGAGGAGATCGAAACATCTTTCGGCAACCAGGATCTGCTGGACATAAATCCCAGCGAACTAATCAAGCAGCCCCTATTATCATCAGCATATGCCGAGATACTTCGGCTCTTCATTGATGTATTTTTCATGGTCACTTCGGCCCATAAGGATGTGCCGTTAGGCTCTTATCATCTTCCAAAGGGCCGTATTGCCTTAATAAACTCTGGGATCTCACACAAGGACGACAGCTTTTGGAACACTCGCAAAGGGGAACACCCTGTTACTTCGTTCTGGGCCGAACGATTCTTGATAGATCCTTCAGACCCTCTGAGTGGGCCGGTAGCGCCTGGAGTTTATAAGCCTCCAAGCAGAGAAGAACCAGACCGAGACGATGGTGGCAAAGCCCCCTATTTCAGCCTGAAAGGCACCGAAGGCTCCTGGTTTCCTTATGGAGGTAAGATATATCAGCTGCAGAAAGAAAACCAGGCATTTGACTAATCAACTACCCTTTAGGTGGTCATTCTATATGTCCTGGTCGAGTTCTGGCTAAGAGTGCCGTACTCTTCGTCTCTGTCCTCCTGGCAAGAGATTATGATATTGAGCCTCTCGTGGAAAGAATTGAAACGACGAATTGGAGGTGTGGCCTTGGTGCAGAGCAAATCAAGCATGCTATTCCGTTTCGTATTAGAAAAAGAAGAAGATAAATAGATCAGAGCGGCCTTGTACTAACAATATTCTAGAAATGAATTATGATTTTATATTTGAATCTTGGTCTGAAGAGAATTATGGACTGAATGATTCCTATCATTTTGTTTAAAAGATTTAGTTGCAGAAATGACGGTGTCACGGTTCAGGGTTATGCGTGTAGCTAGAGCGGTGAAAACCGTAGGGGCTTATACCCCTCTTTGAAAGGAAGACACTTGTTGTTGGAACTCTAGATACCTGCTTATTCTCAGTTCAATCACATTGTACTGGTATGTAAGAGACAATTGGCTGAGAAAAGGGGTACTGTAAGATTCAAGGTTAACCCAGTTACCTTGAACGTGAGCATTGGGTTGGCCTACTGGTTATGTACTCACATGAAAAAATCGCATGAGAAACCTGCGAATTGGAGAGTGCACGCCGTCATGGGCTCTGGCGTGGTTGGAGCTGACATCAAATGCTGTGCTTGCTTAGCTGACAGAAGTTGTTCAAGTAAGCAAGCTCCCAGCCTCTCGATTCATGGAGCTGATGTTACCTATATGTAGGCATATATAGGTAAATACCAAGGCGGCATAACATTATGGGTGAAACTGAGTTTCTTGGCGATAACCGAAGTACCAAAAGCGTGATGTTAAAGCAGTCACAGCATAAAAACACAGCCGATCATCGGGTTAGCATAATAAAAGGCTTGCTATATAGATTGGTAAGACCACCATGCATACCCCATTCTGCGATTGAGAATGAAAGAAAGTCTCCTTGAACCAACATGGCTGACCGCGATAGTCTTCTGCATCCGCCTTCAAGCGAGTCGCTTGACTCAATTCCTCTTCGTCCCATGACTACATCTATAGATACAAGCACATCCCCGCCTAAAAATGCGGTCTACAGTCCAATAGAGGTTTCAATCAACCAGCAGACGCTGGCGAGTGAGCAGTGCAGTCACCAAGAGCACGGTCTTGTCCAAGGCTGCACTCATGGCGTTGAGCATGACAACTTAAAGACCACTGGGATCTCAATTCGAAAGGCTCCTGGCCTTTTGGATGCGTCCGGGGTTGAAGACAGTGATGTCGGAGAGGCCAGAAGAGAGTCACTCCCTCGCTCCGCCTTTTCCAACTGGATGGTCGAGGTCGCCATGCTCTTCGTTGCTGCTGGGCTCCTTGTCGCCATCTGCATCATTCTCGACAGGCAAAATGACAACGAAGTGACCACCCTGAAGGGCACTGGGATCACCCTCAACACGCTCATAGCCATTCTTGCGACCATGTTTCGTGCTATTCTTGCATTCATTGCATTTGAGCTCATCGCCCAATTCAAATGGGGCTGGATTTCTAACCGCTTTCGTCCGATGCGAGAACTCCAGCTGTTTGATGACGCCTCAAGGGGAGTGTACGGTTCCCTCTGTCTTCTTCCCAGAGTTGCACTTCACCAACCTATAGCCACTGGAGCTATCATGGTGGCCGCCTTGTCCCTCGGCATTGGACCTTTCATGCAGCAGGCAATCCAGCCATATCAATGTCTCCGAGCCACACAATCGCCGGGCCAGGTGGCAACTATCCGAGGTGCCAATACCGTCGATCTCGGAATCCTCGAAAGGACATATACGAGCACTTCGAATGGAATGCATCTTGGGGTCCGGCTCAAGACAGCAATGGAGGACTCGCTGGTAAATCCATCTACTGACTCCAATGTAGCGGCTCTCTTCACCTGCGCATCGGGAAATTGCACGTTTCCCACGCTTGCCTCCAGGGCTGAGCAGCTGGACGACCAATCATCGCATGCAAGTGTTGGGATATGCAGCAAATGCATTGACGTGTACGAATTCGTTGAGGGACCGGAAATTGACGTGGGTGCATTTGCTAATGCAATCAAGTTCAAACTCCCTATTTACAACGAATTTGATGAGAACCGACGAGGCTACCCGCAAATGAGTCTCATGTTTGGCAGCAGGTATTCCAAGAAGTATATGGATATCCGCACCGTGGGAAATCTCACATGGGCTCGATCCAAGGCCCCGGATGACTTCCTCAACCGTGCTCGGTGGTCTGTTTCAAACTTCACCGTGCTTGCGGCGTCACGGGATCGCTGTGACCGCTTACCTGATGGGAACTTTACGTGCCCTACTTGCAAGAATGGAGCATCTGAGGAGGCCTGCCGTTATTCGACTGTTTATTTGCAAGGCGATCGGTCTCCTCTGCAGGTGGACTATGTTGCGGCTTCCTGCATACTCTATCCGTGTATCAAATACTATTCAGCCAAGGTCGATCGCGGAGTTCTCTTGGAGAACACGATCCGAGAGGTTCCCCTGCGTCCACAGCAATTTTTAGCACAGCCAATTTGGTCTGTAAATCTCTCCGATGTCGACGACTGGAAAGGCGTGAAGGAGCCATGCTACGTCAACGAGACTCTTTATACTTCATCAAACATATCCACGGCCGACCCGGGGCCAAATTCAACGACCTCGGTTCAATTTCACACCGATAACTGGGCTCGTGAAAGCCCGGATAGCCTAGCCAGTTATCATAATGTTACCGCTCCTCTTGAATGCGTCTATGGGTTGTCTAGGAGGTTTGTAGGCTCCATTAGAAGACAACTACTGGATATGCTCAACGCCAACTGCTCGGTTCCCACGAAAGGGTCTCAGTTAGAATGTGCGACATCTGGCTCGAGGCGATCATCCCCCGTCGAAGGAATCTTGCGTCATTCGTCGACGTCTGTTGATACCATCAGGGAGAACGTCGAGTCAATGGCCATGCGGATAACTGCTGAGATACGGAAAGTTGGGAGGGGAGGCTATGCGGGCGCAAGCCCTATGGTAGAGGGAGAGGTCTTGGAGACTAAGTCTTGCGTTCGGGTCGTCTGGGGTTGGCTCGCTCTTCCAATGGTAATGTTGAGCCTCTGTGCCATCCTGTTGGTCTGGACCATTGTTCAAGACATGCTCCAGCAGGACTCGACGACTTGGAAGTCATTGGTCCTTCCTCTGGTGCTTAAAGACTTCCCTGGGATAGAAACAATGGGACCAAGGGAGGTGGATCAAGTAGCCAAGGGGTTTGAGTTGAAGATTGAGAAGCTCAAGCAAGGATGACAATTGTTGTAGGCCAGTGCTATACTTGATAGGAACTTGAACTTTTCCCCTAATTGGTTGACAACAGCTTGAGGGCTAACTGCATATACTTAATCCTTTTCTAAGATATTTCTATAAACTTCTTTCTACTTTCTAAATCTTATAGAATTTACACTTAAGTGTGGACCAACTGGGCAATATCCATAACACAAGAATTATACCGGTGGCGCCATTCCGCGGCAGGTTCCGGCGAATGCTTTCAATGTACATTGTCTGACAGGCATGCTGCATATCATTCCCACACCCAAACCGGTCGCTCGGACGGTCGGATTTAACCAGAGTGATCACCCCAGCTCGGCAATTCCCAGATTGAATCTAAGAGCTTAATTCAGGATTTGTTCAGCCCATGCGTTTATGGATTCGAGGATTAAAGGAGTCGTGATCTAAAGACAACGCGTCAGCATAAGAGCGCTTCTGTGGACACATCAGCTAAGTTTTGAATGATACGATTGTATACATGACTTGGTGCCAAGACGGACGGTGCAACTCCGAGAGTGCGGAGGATGCGGTTCGTTGCGCTCTTTTCCCAGTGGATAAACGGTGGGTGTTCCCCCAACACGTGGTTGAGTTCCTCCTGATTTGCTCAGGTACGAAGACTGCGTATGATGGAGTAATCGAATCAAGGCCTCATACGCTCACACGGGTGTGTCCCCTGGCTATTTCGACTAATACCAATAACTATAAACTCGAAACGAATCCCCAACAGACATCGATTTCTTACCTCGCACCACCATCAGCAAGCTTTCTCGAGCTTAGTCCGGTGCTTATTCACCTCATTACAGTCTCGTCTCCTCATCCCCAACATGCTGTTCAAGACACACATCTTGCAAGGCTTGGCCGCTGCGGCCGCTTTTGTTAGCGCTGCACCGAATGAGGTTGCGGAACAATCACAACAGGTGAAACGCGCCACGTTCAGGGACGATTTCACTACCTTTGACAGCAGCATTTGGAGCTGTGAGTACAGTTGCCCCGTGATCGAAGGTGAAAAGGCCCGGTTCAGGCTGTACTCCAACACCGCAGCCAACCAGGAACACTCCTGGTGCAAGGCCCGCTACAAGCCTCAGCGATTCACTTCGGGCACATTCACCACCTACTACTCTCTCACTACGCGTCCCAAACAGCCTGTTTGGTGGGGTGTAGCACTATACGATGACACCTATGGAAGTGCGGAGGGCCAAATCAACGAGATTAACTTTGGCTACACCACCAAGTACTCATACAACAACTATACGTTCTTGTTTGAAGTTTACAAGCGGGGGAACGCTGAGCCATGGAGCAGGGACATCACAGTTGACTTTGATCTGTACAATGAGGAGTACCACGAGGCCACTATCGAGTATGATGCCAGCCACGTTGCGCTCTACATCGACGGGGTGAAGAAGACGGAGCTCACCGACAGCAGCCTCATTCCCACTGATGCTATGGATTTATTGCTCGGTCCCCGCCTGGTCGATGACACACTGGGCACACTTCCCTCAGGCTTTACCCAATCTCATGACTGGGTGACCATTGAATACTAGATCAAATTAGACCTAGAGAGTGATGGAGCCTTGTTGGTGACTTCATCAGGCATGCTATGCTCCTCAGTAGAGTATTGTCTATTTAGGATAACGCAATAACCGAGTCCGTGAGAATCATACTGCTTCAAATTAAGCTCTGTAGAGAACTACGAGTCATCATAATTGATCGTGGGGTTCACTTATAGCCTTATCCCAGAACATCGTGTTAGTGCATAATTGACCGAAGGAAAGTAACTGCGTAATGTATTCGGCAGAGTTTTCCAAGTTCAACCATATATGGGAGGACTACCTAGAGGAAATCTAGAGCTAGATGAATGACAAGTAATTTGGCTAATTACAGCCAAGTCCGGCAGGATTCGTGTGACAAGGATTCATGTGGCACAGCGTTTTCTGGCAGGACAGGTTCCAGAATCAGGATGATGCTCCCCCTTGGTCCAGTACAGGTGAGCCATCACATAATTACCCCCGATCCAATAAAGGTGGGTAGTGAACCTTGTCGTTCAGGTGACGAACTATTTTTGATCAAACTGACTGAATGATGCATCTACCGCGGACATTTGGAGGTTACCCCCGGTCAACGTCTGCATCTCTTCCAATCCTGAGCGTTTCAGTGCCTCAATAAATGCAACAAACCTAAACCTGTGCCAAGTCTACGAATAGAAGGAACGGGATTCAAATCCGCAGCATTCCATTACTAAACATACCCACGTTATCCTACCTTCCATCTCTCTGGCTCCATCATAGCTATATCATCCTCCCCTACCTGTTTTTCTTACTCTCGCTCTTCATGATGGCCTCATACAAAGTGTTGATAACCTAGTTGCAGGGATATTAGCAATATCATCAATCATGAAAACAGGAGCATACTTACCCATTCATCCATTTCCGCCTCGCTCTTCATTTTTGAAAATGCGACATCCAAATTTTCTGTAACTGATTAGCAGATGCCTCACAGGTTCGTGAGACGACCTGTGCAAAAAGGACACTGCCAGCCTTACCTGAAGCGACAGATACCACATTTTCGATCTTCGGTATTGTGCTGATGTCTCGTATCAATCTCACTGCCATAATATTAGTGTCTGAGCCGACTTGGCCAATCATGAACTTGACACCTAAAGAGCAAACAAAGCCTTGTAAGTTACCACTACAAAATGACCCTTCTACAGGAAAGGAGCGGAGGGAGATAGCTATTGGAACCCTTACTTTCTCGAGGGAAGCCGGCAGCTTCTAACTTATCGCCACACTCAGCGATGACATTAACCAATGTTGACTGTTGCGTCCGCTGCCGCTCAGGCATCCAGTCCACAATGACGGAGATGAGAAGCGGTCTCAGGAGATTGTCCGGCAGCTTGCTGTAGACCAAAGGCTCAAGGACTTTGCTCTTGAGGTTTCTGCCAATGATTCGTTCGGTGGCAATGGGAGATTGAGATTCCAACGTGAGCGGCTGGGTCATGTCGACTAACTCGACTAGTTCCTCGAATTTGAGGCTGTGTGGATTTGGTATCTCCTGTCCGATGTACCGCATGTGGACACCTTCGCCCTCGGGCAGGATGCGAGTGGTGACACGGGCGATTGCCTTGATGAGTTCGTTTTGAGAGTCCCAGCGATTCTCGTGGCGCATGGGCGTGCTGTCATCTACGTTTGAAAATTTTAGCGAGCGCGTTACTCGTCCGCCATACGTAGATACTGGTGATCTACAACGTACCACAATATAACACCTGTTGATGCATCGTGACCTGAACTGTTTTGGATAGAAGTTTCTGGCCACATATAGGGGTGGATGGGTCGTCGGCTAGGGCTGCAGCTTTGCGTGCCAGCTCCTCGATAAACTTTGAGTTGTTCTTGAAGAAACCCTCTATCGGTGTGTTCTGGATCACTTTATTGACTTCGGAAACAAACTTGGCGTTGGTCTTTGGTGCGCCATCAATTAGTTCCAATCAGTGAATTAACCACTTGAGTGACTTACCGTGTTGGTTTCCTTGGCAGACTGTGGGTTAAGGACGTAGTCACCATAGGAAAGCCCCTGCGGCGTTGGGTCTAGGTGTGAAGAAGACTCTAAGGGGTTTTTGTGAATAACCCAACAGTTATCGACGGTCTTCAAAACACGCAAAGACAGTGGCCACACGAACTTCCGGCGTGGTCCTGCCGCTGTTGCCCGCTGTTCTTTCTCATATTCTTTGGACTGTTGAGAAGGTGGAGCCCAACTATCATCGACAGCATTCCAGGCGGAGAGAGATAATGGCCATACGAATGTTCGAACCCGCTGGTCCGCTGGCTGAGCGTGCGTGGATGGCGATGGAGTACTCGACATGGTGAACGAGGATGCTTGATGAGCGAAGCACTTCAACGAGGGTCAAAAAGCCTTTGTTCTTGAAATCACTTGGAAAGCTTGCTTTGCCCAACGTGCATAATTCACGATCACACCATGGGGCGCGTGATACTTGGCATAGGCTCATTGGCTGATGAAGCTGGCAGAGGTAATGGTCAGCATATACCCCGCCTCCGTATTGATCATGTTGAGACGTCGGGTCTGGCATCTTCTATTATTGTTTCTGACTTTGTATCGAACTCTATTCCGCATTCCTAGCCTCTTCAGTTCAATATCTGGTTCATCATCAGCGCTGTCCATTCTTCGTCCAAACCTCCCGACTCCTCATCCCTACCTCAACATTCCGGCGCGAGAATGGCTAAAACCCAGCTGGGCATGGTCTTTCTCACAATTATCATCATCCTCAAGATTGCCGCTTTCATCCATGATCCACATACGAGGCCGTTGAAGGCTGATAAATATCACATTGATGCAAAAGCGGCGGAAGGCATACTATCTTTCGTGATCTTTATTCTTGCTGTGATAAATATATCATCACGGAGCTATAACAAATCATCTGACTATGAGAAATGTGATGACGCCGATGCCGACATCGTTGGTGGCGGCATTCTCATAGCTGCATGGATTCAGATAGGGATCCTCTCTTTGATCGCTTTCACTGGTCTCTTTCATTTCGGGCGGACGCCTATCAAAGAAGTTGGAGCCGGTTTGCTTTTAACACATGTATCGTTGGCGATCGCCTTGGTAGTGTCGTTGGGCGGAAATAATCTCTCTGTTCAAGACGCAATTCTCGGAGCGATGGTCCTTGACGGGCAGAATGCTGCTCTCTCGCTTCAACTACTAACGAAAGAGATATTGGCCTCTCGGTGGCAGACGGCCATGGTTGTGGGGGGGCAGTCGCTGGGGTTAGTAATTGAGGGGATCGTTGTTGATGCCTTCCACCGAAACTCACTTGTCCCAAAGGGTTGTCGATGCTTGCGCGTGTTCTGGTGGGTGTGGTTTGGTAACTGCGATACCCCAGAGCCGAACGACATCTATCCCTTCTGGTGTTACTTCGCACTTCGCTGCGGATTGTTTCTTGAGGGTTTATGGATTACAGCGACTCAGTCTCGCAGCTATCACATTGCTGAAAAGAAAGAGAGGGAAGACCCTTGCAGTCGTTGCGAAGGCTGCGAGGAGTGGTACCATCCAGGGACGCGACCGGCCCCGGCTCAGCAGCATCCACAGCAAGGAGATGGGGAGCAGCCCGCTCAAGAGGTGGCTAACTGGCTACATCGTAGGCAACAATCCGCAGAAGACGCGAATCAATGCCATGAGCCCAAGAAGCCGTGTAAGAGTTGCAGCCTGTGCATAATTACATGCAGTAAGTGCAACGACTGCGACATGAAGTGCGATACGTGCAACGAAGACGGCCATACGGAGCACAGCAAAGAACATCGTCGGAGACATGATCCTCGGAGACTCAAGCATAGTTGCGGAGTTTGCAACAGTTGTGTCTATTGTAATTGGTGTAGAAAGAGCACCGGATTCGTCGAAGGTAAAGGTTGGCTGAATGGTCGAAAATACTCTCAGATTCCAGCAACGATCAGTGCGATTGTCGTTCACCGCGCCCTCTTTGCGATTCTATCCATGATATCAACTCTATACACAATGGCCACATACTCGATGAAAGCGAGTGCGAATATGGATGCGGTCGGCCAAGTTGCCGCCATGGTTATTGGTGCCGGGACCACACTTCGGGTGTTGTGGGTTGCTTATCACTCCTGTTATCCTCTTCTCGAGACTCCAGACGCGGAAGACGCCGACCTCCTGGAACGATAGAGCTGTGAATGTTATATTGCTAAGGGTAAATGTAAGTCGTGGCCTCCTACCGGTGACCGACATGTTTCTGTGGTCAAGGTGTTAATCCAAAGAAGGGTCAACGTCCCAGCTTCTCCTTTCGAGAAATCTAAGTTATAATTATGGGGTATGGCTGAGAGATACCTCAGAAAAAGCAAGAGTATTCAAATCGCAGTTCTCTCCTTTGGGCTTCGGTCTATCATCATTTGGGAAAGTGCAACTTTCATCGAAATTCAATTTCAAAACAGTGAGGATTCTGTTTTCGATTTGGCATTGGCCAGGAATTGTACTTTCTTACTTTTGCATTTATCTTTGAGGTTCAAGTTTTCGGACTGGAGGAATTGTCTCAGATTTGGGACTACATGAGAAGTGTTGCTCGTTGGCTTCATTAGAAAGAGCCAAAATGAAAATCACAACTAAATGAGCCTCAGAATAGAATAATGTCCAAAAACTAATAGTCAGAATTTGACCCTTCAATATGATAATCATCAACTATAGTCTCACCCTATTTATACAAATTCTTCATCGGCCGCTCAATATAGATACGGCCGTAAAGCCCCCGTAATATAATCAAACTTCGAGACAACAAAATCTTGCGTTTTGCGGGAAAATGCATCATGGAGGCTGCCAGCCATTGCGCAGGTATCCATCATCCCACCTCCATGACGCTTCAGATGTTGACTTCATCATCGAAGCAAGGCATATTGAGTCATGGAAGCGCCCTGAGCGAGCCATCGAGAAGCGTAATTTCCAATCATATTTAATAACAATCCTAGGACTGAATGGTTTCAGATAGCGGCTCAGGAAGAAGCTTCCATCCACTATTCGCCAAAGTGGAGATCATAGGCTTGAAGCTAAGAGAAGGATTCAAGCACCGCTTTGGATTGGTGCATAGGACAGCGGTCTGAGGGATTCACGTGATCTCATCCCTTGTGCAATCTCACCTTGTGGATCTCAGATCCTCTGCTTCAATCTCTCACGGTCCAAATAAGGCACCACAAAGACCGGCATTCATTGATCAAAGGTAGTTCAGCTACCCAGACTCAGAAATGTTACATTTGAAATGGCAAAGAATCCAACGCCCGGCCATTCAGTGGCTTAGCAAGAACCACTGCGTTGGCTCTTCAGCGCTTCGCCTGCATATGCCCGCCAAAACAATTATCTTGCGCTCAGAAAGCCGTTCACCCTCTCGTCACTTTCCAATTAGTTCCCAACTGCAATGCCGAACAATCACTTCCACTACCTCTCTTCGGGGTAATCAAAGTCAAAACGGCGAAGACGACGATCAGATAGAGAGGCTCATGCAGGTTGATCTAGCTGTTAGCAACGCGTTGAAGTCGACGGAGTTTAGCAAAGGCTTCCGACAGGCCGCTGCAGATCGTGGAAACTGTCCCACTGGAGCTTGGGAAGATGTCGGCTATCCTGAGCACCCAGAGGACTCCTCACGGCTTTGGATTGTCGATAGAATTCTGAGCCCGCAGACCTTTCCTCATTTTCTAAGCTTCTTGGGCCACGGCCGTTTACCTGGTGGTAAGTTGACAAGTATACCACTCCCTGCAGAAGAAGAGGTCATGCTTCTGCTGCAACCATACTCGAATTGGGCATCAGCGCCCTACAACAACATTACGGAAACGCCGATTGACAACTGTATGAAGTTCATGGGCTCGGACGAAGTCCTTCGCCAGCTCGTTCCCATCACCAAGGAGCTTCATTCAATGAAGTCGAGGATATGGGAAGGGCTTCCCCCACTGTCGAAAAGAAGATGGGAAGATCTCGATCTAGACAATCCCGACAATTTCAGGGCGGCGTGCAGGTACTTGGCCGTGACTACGGACGCTTTCAACTATCTCAATATTCCTGTCATAAAGTCCGCCATGAGAGATACGCACAACAGCATTTACGATGAGTTGGAGACTTTTGAAAAAGCCATCAATACTCGTCGTTCAGTCTCCGGCGAACAACCTTTAAGACTGGCAGCGTTGTGGTATGAGTTTTTCAATGGCCATTGCTCGTTCATTGCTTCACGTGCGCACACCTGGGTGATTGAGAACATAGATCGGCTCAAGGAGAGCGTTCTAGAGAGAATGGAGAACCTCGCTCCTGGCTCTGATAATGACTGGTTCGGAGGGGCATCTCTAGAGCTGGCGGACAACATATACGATCTGACACAGAATGCAGCCGCCGCGGACATCGGGATTTACATCCCCATGGACGGATACAAGGGCTCTGGGGTGGAATCTGCAGACAACTGGAAGCCTGGCGATTCTGACAAGGCTCCCTACCGTGAATACCCAATCGAGAGCCATCCATCGGTACAAAAGCGAACTGCAGACTACCATGGGAGGCTAAAATATCTTACTCGTGTGGAGACATGGAGGGGAAGGGAGTCGCAAAATCCCGCCTTTGGGCCAGGAGGCATGAATGCAACTGATCCTGCCACCTTTGGTATCGGCGTTGTCGGCCAGTCTCGGAGCCAAGGTCAGGCACAAAAGAGCACACGTGCTGAAATGCGTGGATCTATGAAACTACCAAATACGATTGGGAGAGAGATGTGGATTGACGAGCTCCGGCAACACATTTCTAGCGGTCAATTGAGGACCAGTTTCCTCATCTACCGAACCTGTTTTGACCATAGTGACGACCAGTGGGAACTTTTCAAGGCAAAATTCGAGGCTGATGTCAACGACTGGGGCCGAGATCTCGAAGCGATCGATGACATACAGAATCTTTTCAAGGTGCAGTGGGTGGATGTACGAGATACAACTCAGAGGCCCGTTGATATTGATGGAGCTAAAAGGTGAGTCTGATACCGCTGAAATTCACTTCCTTGGTTGTGCGCAACTGCTAAGTGCGCATCATTATAGCCAATTCCGAGCTCTCGTACAGAACGGCGCAATCCCCGATGGGTTCCATGATGGATTCTTCCTCGCAGCAGACAAGTCATCTATCGACTCGTATCTGCACCCCGGCCCCCAACAAAGCGGATTCATTATCGCGGTGGACAACAATTTCGATCGCGAAGATACCAGCGGTTACAGGATGGACGAAACGCCTGGCTATGACGGGCAAGTTAGAATCCTGGGAAGTCTACTCTGGGATGACGTGAGCGCACAAATATTGCGCCAGTCGCAATATCTAGAAGACATCTGGCCACTGGCAATGCAGAATGATCTTCAGGTGTATGAAGGCCCTTGGATCAAAGAGAAACTGAAGCCTAGTCAGTAGTTGAGTGATTCACCATGGTGGACTTGTGTATTATGAAAAGATCTCTTATCAGCAGTGGCATCATTCCTCTACATTTGTATTATATACTTGACATCTACTTTCATAGATCCTTCGACACTATCAAATGATGTAAGGATAGTGATATACTCTTGTCGTCGACTCTACGAGGCTAGACACAAAAGCGCAACGTTCTCCCACTTGCCATCAAATGATTCTTACTCATTGTCGCGCACGTCAATGATCGTGGACTTGAACTTCCTGGCAGGAATCTTGCGGTTGAACAAGATATCGGTCTCACGGTATGTGCGATGCTTGAGCTCAGGCAAGAAGAAGTATGCCATGATCCAGCACACAACAGCAGTACCTCCCCAGACGTATCCACACTTTCCTGCCAAGTTCCATCCCGTTGGGTTGAGCAGCTGCGATGCGAGGAAGATCATGGGAATTTCGGCGACGTAGTAAGCGCCACGGCCAACACCAGTGCTCAGAGCACGGAGACGGACGGAAGAGGTCTCGGAGATGATGGTGTATGAAATGGGACCCAGAGTACCGGCAAAGACGAATGAAATGACGATTCCAAGAATGGCTTGAGCATAGTTCGTCGCGGTGGTTTGCTTGATGGAGGCGACGACGCCGAGAATCATGAGAAAAGTGACATTCGTGGCTGTTCCCCAGAGGTAGATGGTTCGACGACCAAACCAGGCAGTAAGAGGCCATGAAAGAGCATTGGCGATGAAACCGAGGCAAGAGTTGATCAAGTTGAGTTCGAAGGCACGATCATTTCCGACACCGGCCTCTAAGTCAGGAGTCAGTCATCAGAGTTGCTAAGAAAAAACAAATCAAGTTGGCAAGGCACTTACGCTCGAAGAAAAAGGTGGCCTGGTTGGCAATCAAGTTACCAGCAAAATTCTGAGAGGCATACATCAAGCAGGTGATGGTGGTTCGTCGCAGATCGGTGCCCTTGAAGAGATCCAGAAGGCTCGGGTTGCCACCAACCTGTCTCTCAATTTCTACTGTTCGCTCGATCATGGCCAGAGATTTCTGTGCCTTCTCGGGAGTATCAGCTCCAAGCCGCTCAATCGATCGCAGAGCATCCTTTTGACGACCGGCACGGACTAGCCACCACGGCGACTCGGGAGAGAGAAAGACGAGAACCATAAGGGGAGCCTGGCAAAGTCAGTATGCTGTCTGAAGTGGGAAAGTATCTAATATGAATAGATGACTTACGGGAAAGATCCACTGCAATGCAAGAGGCAGTCTCCAAGCCCACTCGTCCTGTCGCTTGTTGGTGGCATAAGTGACACCAGCGACGATGATGCCGCCAATGGACCAAGCCATCTGGAGAGTAGCTGTACAGGCACCTCGAAGAGCCAGAGGGACAACCTCGGATGCATAAGCAGGAGCATTGGCGATGAACATTCCCCACGGAACACCCTCCAAAGCTTGCCCGACTGTCAAGACCGCGAGAGAATTGGCCTGTGGAAGCGAATAATTAATAATTGTATCGCTAGATTGAGACAGTCGAGAGAAAACTTACAAAGAAAGATACAAAGATTGTCGCGTTCATCAGCACCAAGCCGATGAGGGTAGTCCAGCGGTAGCCGACCTTGTTGGTGATGGGACCAGCGAGGAACACACCAACAAAGGCACCACATTGACCGGATTGGAACAGGGCACTCTGCCATTTAGTCTCAATGACATAACCGCTTCCCTCCACCATAACGCCGTATCGTTCTTTGAAGGCGGTTTGCGCGACAAAGTTTCCGTTCAAGAACATGTCGAACGACTCCATGACCTTGAGCGGGACGTTAGTATACTCTCAAAAGCCAATTCACGATGCTTCGCCTCCTCGGTTTCTCCACCATTCCACCCTCAATCTGGGGGACATGGGGAAAAGCGGGGAGAGGGCAGATCTTCCAACTTACAATGGTGAAGCACATGGTAAACGCCCAAAGGCAAGCCCACGGGTGAGCCTTGACGGCCTCCCACACTCCCTGCTGATGTTCGTGGTTCTCTCCCTCGAAGGCATCGTTCATCAGGTCCTGGTTGGCCAGGACGTCCGAGTTCTTGACATCAACGTGGACGCCGGCCTCGAGGCCCTTTGTCTCTGCGATGGCGGCAGACATTGTTGCGCTTCCTGATTCACCAATTACACGAATGCAGAGAAGAAAAGCAAAAGACAGCAATGTCGGGGAAGGGTGGGAGCGGCCTGCATCGGCCTGTTATATGCTGTGCTACGTCCCGCGGCCGTGTCGCATTGACAATCACGAGGTAGAGTCCTGTACGTCCAGTCGCGTGATACGTGGAATTCTATGCTTGTTGGTACATAGGGAGTCCCTGTTACAGAATACAGGGTCGTAATAGGAGCGAGTAGGTACTTTGAATGGCTGGGTGTCCGAGACCCCAGTGGGCTTGTCTCACATTGGGCTTGATTCAAGCGGTTGGGTCTGGCTCAAGACACCCATCCCAGCCATACTGCATTCAACAGTCAGATGGATTCTTTGCATGTGGCTTTCACTGGTGAGGGGCTTCAAAGGACCGTAATGTGGAGGGTCGATCCCCCAGCCTGCGCCTTATTTGACGGGTCCGAGAGCTGTGGTGGGTGAGAATGGGGTCGCAACACTTGGCTTTCCCTTCCTGGCCGTTGGAGATGCCGATTTATCCGTCCCATGGGCGCAAGAATGGGAGTGTTGGCCGTTCCCAGTGGGCATGGCCCAGGAAATAGCCAGGAGAGGTGATGGATCGCCGTGTGCGCAGGCCTTTTGTTCATGTTGGTATTGCCACCTGGAAGGCATTTTTTTTATTCACTAAAAGTCAAAAAGCCCGATTGGATCCCCGGCCTGTCGTCATAAGGCGGCCAAGTCTGGAGAGCTTGCTTATTCGTGCGGGTAAGATCCCTCGTGATGGGGAAGCTTAATTTCATAGCCCTAAACTACTTGCAAGGATACGGATATTGAATTTGCGATGCTGCAATTCAGGTTATAAGGCAAAGAAATACAGGCAACGATGTGCGAGAACTGGACATTGCATCCAGGGGCTAACACACAGACACTGTAGAGTAGCATCATGCAGCACTGAAGCCAAGCAGAACAACAATCAGCACTGGCCGAGCTGACAATAAGATTCAGTTGGCCCTGTGCAAGCTTGTCGGCAGCAAGTAATACCGCACTAGACCCCAGGATTCCAGCTTCGGCCCTTTTAACCCCAACCTAGGTCGCAACGTAACATCTACTCCGCAGATCCCCTGTCCATAGGCCGATGGAATGTCTGGGGCATTCTTCTCTGCAAGTTTCTGTTGGTATGGGGCCTTTGGGCACTCATATGATCGAAGACCGTCGGCTCATTCTCTCTCATGTGGCGTCGCTCTCGGAGGAGTTGCCGGGGAGCAATCGGCCGACCACCAGCACAAGTCGTTTATTTCCATAAGGCGAATTTTGGATTTGCATTCCCTTGGCAACACACAAGCATTTCAATGGTCATTTCAGTATGCTAATCATCTCAACCTTTGCGTTCAAGGACCCCTAGCATTCCATTGTTGATGCACACGTGTGGTATCATCAATGAATGCAACACCTTCACCACCAACGAACCAACCATATTTTCGCTTGGGAATAAGGCGAGCCAATTTCTCACGTGGCGAACTCGAAACGCTGATCCGGTCCAGATCTCGGTCCATTGAGATGCCCACGCCTCTTCGTTGGCTGCTACTGTTCATCGCGATATGTGGGTAAAATGCAAGTGCCTGCAATATGATTAAGCTCGTGATGATGGGTTGCTTGCATACTCCCACCCTGGGCCACGTAGGATGGGTAGCCTCAGGGTGGTTTACGTAAATCTTGTCTGATAGCTCTCGTTCATTGAACCTGCAATTCGTCTACCATGTGAATCCTACTATCGTCAGGTCATGAAGCTCAGAAGGTTTCATTCCAGCCGGGGCTCACATTTGATTACGAGCACAAGGATGTTGTAACCTAGTCAATGCCCACATGGAGATTAATAACATGTACTTGTGCCTGTTCAAATGCTTGAAGAGTTATGCCCAGGGTTCAAGATTCGAATACAGCTCAAAAGAAACCTCAGGCAGGTTCATTTAACCAAGAAGAATATCTCTGGCCTATTCGAATCAAAAATTAATCAGATGCCAATTTTTAAATTTACCCAGAAATCTATGCTGTCGCTCACCATCCCAGTCTTCAAATTTGGTAGAAATGTGCACGTTATGTTGGTGTTCCTCTTACCCTAGACTTCCATCTCAGTGCAAGAGAAAATCGCTTGTCTACTGGAGTTCGATTTCATAGTCGGTCATCTAGCTTTATTCAAATAATAGAAACTGAAGGCACAATCTTGACTGCTTTATCTGTGACTAAATCGTTCAGCATTGGCGTAGCAGATGCCTAGACTCTTTCCACTTCTTCAAGGGGCCCCCATTGAATTGCCTTTCACCCAGATGATTATCCATCAACCACCGCAAGCTCTTTGAGCAACTTAGTAAAGTATTGATTTCCAACAGCCATTATCCATTTTAAACCTTCACATATTAGAGCTTAATATTCCACGAATCCGTAGACAGAAACCAAAAGGAACAAAGAGAGAACGTCGAAAACCCCGCGGGCGTTAAAAATGGCGTAAGCTCTAAAAGGATACAGAAAGGCCAAGTAAAGGAATACCATAGTCTCTCGGGATCAAACCTCCATCGTTCGTATACCGTTAGAACCTACCGGCTGTTCATGTGTATTAGAACGCCTGAAACTTGCTTTGAACCGAACTAATTGCGGCGAGGTCCTTAAGACGCTTATCTGAGATACCCTGAAGGACATGCTGGGACGCGTAGAAGACGCAGATGGGATCTCCACGCTATGACCGGCCATTCTCCGTAATACTGGTCGAAGTTTAGGGAGACAGCCTGGCGAAGTTGTTACTAGCTAATATCTTGAAAGCCGGTAGTGTTGTGGTTTTAGAGAGCATCTTACTTGAGAAGACGGCCATGTTGACCTCCACAGCAGCCCACAACATGTTTGGAGCGACGTGATAGGTTATCTCAGTTTCATGAGGGTCGTATTTGATCGACTCGATGAGTACAAACACCGAGGCGATCACGACGCTAGAAAAAGTCAGATCTCTGAAGGAGATATATGCTTGCTAATGGGAAGAGCAGATTTCGTGAAATCTTACATGGCCCCAGATGTGAACAGAGCAAGAATGGCAGCCTTCCGTTTCTGACTGAGCTGCATTTTCAACACCGGGAAGATAGGTAGCATCACAATGACTGTATCCATGATACAGTGAAGCAGCACAGTGCCGAAGAAAAACTTGCTGATATCTATTGGGCACTTTCCACCTTGGATGGATTTATCCCAGATGTACGGCACAGGGGTGCATTGGAATATGACGATGAAGGTGCGCACGATTACCCAGAGGGACGAGGTCAAGAAGAGAATGATGATTGGCCAGCGGATGGAACTACGGTTGAATATGTTCCAGAAGAAGCAGAGGACAGAAAATTTGGAAGAAGCGATGGAGGCTGCGTAGGTGAGCTCGATGATCCAGAGTAGTTGGCGGGACTTTCCCAGAATGAAGCCCAGTTTATCTTGGTCGACATTGGGAAGAAATTGTCCCAAATAGTAATGAGATGTCCCTGAGCCTCAATGTCAGTCAAAAGCTGGTGATTACACATAAATCATAACTGAAGTGAAGAGGAAGTGGTGACAGTACATATCAATATTGTCGTGCAATAGCCAGATGCAAAAATCTTTGTGAGACGTGAGTTACTTGATGTGAACTGAATCTCTTTCTCAAAGTAGGGATGTTACTGACAAATGCAAATATGCAGAGGTAGTCATCATAAAATGAGGGTCGCCTGGTCAGATACAGGGCGACCATCCGAAGAGTCAGTGCCAGAAGGGCGACGGCAAAGGTGGTGATCGTAGCACCCAGAATGTTCGGCACAAGTCCAGCCATCACTGAGACTTTGAGAAACAATGAACAGGCAATGCATGAATTAAAATAACGTCATTATTTGCCGAGGGCCCATTTGCATTGCTCAGTTAGGTGCTGCCGTGTCATAGGTTTACTCGAAGCGAAGCAGTCGAGGTCTGGGAGGAGAAAACGGTGAAGGGTATGCAAACCTGCCGATCCTACGCCAATGAAATTGTCCTGTATTAGCCTTCGCTGGAAAAGAAAGTCCCAAGAGGCGGAGATTGTGAACGTCTAGGATACCCTTAGCCCTCGAGAGAACGTCGCAGAGCGGTTGGGTATTCACGTAGCCGAGGGATGGAAACCCAAGAAAAAGAGGGGAATCGGTGTTGAAAATTGTCCGTGTGGTTATGAGACTATTTATGTACGACTGAGACCTGCGGAACTTCTGGGCAAGCTGATTGCTGCTTGTGAATGACTTGGCGGAGACTGTCTCAGCCACCGCTGATTCCTGTAGTTTCACTGGCCTGATCGAGGCTGACCATCCACATTTCTAGGAAGAGATAATGCTTGATTAGCTCCCTGCTGACATCTGGCTTGCATCCGAACGCTCAAATTTGGTGGCTTGAGTGGCCTCCTGTTTCACCGGCCCTCACCGCTACGGTAAGCATCAGATGAAATGGAAAGTCTTTATTGATCTGTCGTATTCTTATCCGAATCAGAGACATAGCCCACGACTTGCTGCCGATCTCAAACGGGGAGCGAGTATCCATTATAGAGAGATGGCTGGGTCAAATCTGTGCCAAACATTTGTTTTGAAGTGTAGCTATGTCATATGTATTACTATGCTGATGTTTTGATCCACATTGAAAAGGTATTCATCAGCACTACACTAACAATGAACCAGATGAAGTTGCCCTTTTCTGATGCTCACAAACCTGCTACTCTAAGCCTTGACCGCAACCATGAACAATCGAGGGTATGGCAACAAAACCTTTCCATCTTCTTGCGATTGATACAGCTTCCTTAATCGCGAAAGGTAATCCTCGAGAAAGCCAGCCTTTTGTTCCGGTGACAGCGGATCCACGTAGGGCCGCAGACCAGTTCCCTTGACCCATTCCACAATGGCCTCATGATTCTCCAGAGTATGATAGTATGTGGTTCGCCAAATCTGAATTTCCGAGGCCAAAGGCTGGAGAGCATTATAAATCTCGACAGGAGTAGGGAAATCATCCCTTCCAGGGGCCGCGCGTGTTAGAGTCTCTTCCCAGGCAGTCCCCGGGGCAAACGCCGCTTCCCTCATGGCGGTATGCGACGGTTCCGTGAGGTTATCAGGGACCTGAAAGGCGAATACACCGCCAGAGGGCAGCTCCCCTAGGAGACTCTGGAAGAGCGGGATGCGTTTGGGGCCAGGGATCCATTGGAAAACGGCGTTTGAGTAGAACAAATCCACTTGCCCGTCAGGCTGGTACGTATCCAAATCGGCAACTTCGAAGGGAACAGAAGGGAGAACTTCCTTTGCCTTCTTGATCATGTCTGGGGACGAGTCCATGCCTGAAACGGATGCATCGGGGAATTTGTCCACGAGAAGGGCAGTCGAGTTTGCTGGGCCGCATCCAAGATCAACCACCCGCTTTGGTGAGCTCAAAGGGACTCGCGAGAGCAAATCTCGGGCGGGCTGCGTTCTCTCAGCCTCGAACTTGAGGTACTGGGATGCGGACCAGTCTTTGGCCATTCTTGCGGTGTTGGAAATGCGTGCCGTCTGGTTGGAGAGAGCCTGATATGTGGGCTTATGAAGAGATTGTGCAATGCGTCGTGCAGGGAGATGATAATTCAAAGTTCTCAAGCCTGACATGATTATATGTTCAAAAAAAGGTAATCTGCTGACAGAAAAGACTCATTGGATAGGTCAGACGGAAGATTAACTGTAGATATATCATCCAGAATCGTCGTTATTCATCATTGATCGTCATCTCATCGTGAGAGTTCTGCTTACATAACTCGGAGCTCCGATTTTAACCTTCGGAGACTCGGAGGTGACGGATTTTCATCGCAAATACCGTCAATTGACTCGGGAATGATTGAACACCCTCTAAATTCTCGGTCGCTTCGTCGTATTTCCTCTCGCGGAAGCCGAGGGCAATAAGCGCGTCGACAAAATAGCCGACTTCCATCCATGGACGTCATGCAACGATGACTGATCTGTGGAGGAGGGCAGACAAGCGCGACGAGCCCGAGGTGAGACAGAGAGACTTTCCCCGGAGCGACGTTATGCAAACCCAACTGAGATGTTGCATTCGAAGCGAGGACGATAAGCGACCAAGGCTGCATTCATGGCAGGGATACACACATCACTGGACCCCAATCCAACCAGAGAGTGCCAGAGCAATCCCCCGCACTCTGATGAATGTGATTCGCTTAAATGTTCTTCTTTGGGTCACTTCTTCGTCGTAGCTGAACCAATCACCCCATTCCCATGCCAGGAGTTGACTGTGATATCACCTTGCTGACCATCCTATGAGAGAAGGTGGCTTCGTTCATTGCCCACAAGCGACCCCTAAGCACGTGCTCACCGATATCGCTTCCTAGTCGTCTTATTACCCAATACGATACTGTAGCCACGATTGCCTAAGTCGGGCAAGTCGGGTTGGCCGACTTAGAACATTGTCCTCAGTCTGTTGTACGCCGGGTCTGGGCCTTCGCTTGTTATTACCAGGATCGTGGGACAGTTGTTTGCCAAATGCAGATATTGATGGCAAGAAGCGCAAATCAGACACTTTTTCAACAGTCTGGTTCGGACAATAAACATCGGCAAACATACGCGGCGCAAGGCATCAACCACAGCTCGGAGCATGTCCCTCCGTAAATCCTCATTTGCCCAAAGGGGGAGGAAGCTGGCAAGGCCGGCACTTCATGTGGGCAGGGGGCCTGGGCGGATGGTGCCACCTCGTCGGAAACGTGACAGGCAGCGCGATGAAGCAATGGAAACCAGCGTATGATATCCATGTCTAGGCGTGAATTTGAGTCTTCATGAAGGGCGAAGATTGCAACAGCACGGGAACACCGTTGACGAAATTGTTCCCCTTTACAAGTTCAGTCACAAAGTGATGGTCAAGATATTCACTGTAACTCGTGACCCTGCCTCCAATCAAGGCCTGTGTGGTTCTCTGTAGCGGCGGCTAATCCTGTGATTTATGTCACGTTGTACGCCAATGGCATCTGGCATATGCCAGACAGCAATATCAGCGCTTGCGATCCCTGAGGGCTGGATTAGCCTCAAACATACAAGGGTACGCCAACGGTGAGCCCCCACCTGTTCCTTGTCCGCGGTGCCAAAGGATTGACACTTCTGACAACTTGCGATGCTACCAAGCTGCCGAACTACTCCATATCTAGTCTTGAGTTCGTCGTCAACCTGGCGGTGACCGAGGTGACGCCGCTAAATCGATGAGCTTGATGGATAGCAAGAGACTTATGGCGTGGGGGTGGTGTGATGGGAACAGCAGAACAGCTCTCGACATCTTATATTCAGAATCCACGGTACTGAATGAAGTAATAACTGGCCCTAATGAAGAGAATGCAGTGGTAGTAATCTCTGCTATCACTAAATTTTGATTGGCAACGTGCAAATCACATTATTAGCCGTCTTCTCTCTTCTCTGTGGGTCGTCTTGAATTCTCAAACGAAGTCAGCGCGAGAATATGACGACAACCCTAGTCACTGCTCCAGGGGTCCATAGTTCTGGGAACTCAGTAGATAGCCAATCCCACCAACTGATTTCTACCAGCATCATGATGCTCGCGCCCTGCCAGTTTTCTTTCCTCTTTCCTGGCGGTATATGTTTCCTAATATGCAGCCAACTCTCTCTCACCGAGCACGTCGGCGGCACCCGTTACGATGGAGGCCTTCATTGCTCTGGGAAACGATGCATACTTCGACAGCACGGTGTTCATCGCGGTTTGCTCGGCACTGTCCGCCGTTGGGGGAGTTTTGATCGCTGTGCGGTGCGTGGCGAGCGTGAAGCAGATTGGGAGGTTGTATCTCGACGACTGTGCGGCAAGCCTTTGACATCCGGATCATTCGACAGCGAGGGCAAAGCTAACGGAGACGAATGGGTAGATGCGATGATCGTGGGGTTGGCATTTTTGATTGCCACGTTTGTGATGACACACTTGCTGGAGAGGAGTAAGTATCCGGTCGATTGATCCTATCGATCCCACGAACTAAGACTTCGACAGCGTATAATGATATGTACAAAAAGGTCATGGGGCTCTTGGGGTTGGATAAGCGCGCGCTCCCTCCATCCGTCCCAGACTATCTCTTCGACCCAATCCTCGAAATGGACAGAGTACGCCGAAAGTTCACACCAACGTGGGATCTCAATACTCATTGCTTTGAATAGATATGGGTCGCAACGATTACGGTCGCCAATCTTTCTACATGGACGACAAAACTCCCCCTTATGCTCATGCTAGCTCGGTTATTCAGCGTCAAACCCTGGGTCCCATGGATCTCGTACGGCATGCTAGTTGCGTCTCTTCTCGTAACTATTGCCATCACGGCATGGAGCGGAGCCGCATGTGACATGAGAGGGCAGTGGAGTACGAATATCGCCGAAATATGCTCTCCACGGAGTGCTCGCGGCCATCTGGCATCGGGGATCGTGGGGTTAATCGTTGACATCGTCCTTTTTATTCTCCCGCTTCCGATCATCATCAGGTTGAATGTGCCTTTCAAGAGGAAGATTGGATACGCCATTGTCTTTACCACGGGGATTCTGTAAGTCTGGCTCTTCTGACATGAGCAAGAGGCTGGAAGATCTAACAGCCTGAAAACAGAGGCATCGTTGTTAGCATTGTTGGGTGTTACTGGAGAAAGAAGGCACTGAGTGGAAAGGCTAGTGACCGTAAAGTTTCCATTCTCTGCGTGTAAGTTGTCTTGGCGCCCTAAACCCCGAAGTGTCGACTAATACCATGTCAAGGGTTTTGGAAGGTATCATTGCCATTCTCCTGGGATGTGTCCCAGCATACTACTACATATACCGAAACATTATAATCAAGGCCAACAAGTTTTCGAATGCCGCGTCGGGCATCACGGCTACAAAATCAACTCGAAAGCCTACAAGCACGGCTAGGCAGTCTCATATGTCAAGGCGATATACGACCACGGCTGATGAAACTCTCAACTCGACCCAGGGGGACTGGATCAAGATGGACACGCCGCCAGTATCTAGGGATCGATCACGAACAAGGGAACCCGGGCCATCAATGTCCATTGAAACGGCACGGTCCTCTACAGACAGGGACCACATCATTCATATTGGATATGACGGGAGATCTAATAGGACGTAGCATGAGTTGAACGGAACGGAAAGGACAAGGATATAAGATACCCAAGGTCAGTATCAATTGATACCATAGAGTCGGATGCGTCAGCAAACAACACGATACCTTTAATACATCGGAATCATCTTCAAGACCAGTTTCATGGTTATCATACCGTCTTGTGCAGATGGATTGGAATAACTCTAATCTTCTCGACACGACTGGCGTTGCAAAAGCGTGCTTCCCCTAACCCCTCTAGCAATGTGTTGACATAATGTCGAAGTTACTGCACCAGCCTTGGCTCCATCAACATCCACCTTCGCTGAACGGGTCGTCCTGCTGAGAGTGATGGTCGACTAACGTAGACGGAGCTTTGCTATGACTCGTTCCACAGAGTAATATGTAGAGTGCAACCCTATCAGAGATGCTTTCACTTGCTCAATCTGTTCTTATTTGGGGACAGAAACAGGTTATAGGTTATATGACCATTGCGATTCACGAGAATTATCAAGAGTTACCTAGGTATTTATCTATGGAAAGACTTTTCCCACCACATTGCGTCACGAGACAGGATACCAATGACCCGAAAGGGATGATAATTCCATCCTCGTATGGGCGACTGGAAGATCACAGCAGAGTTTTGTCAAATGAGATTCTTGATTTTGTTTAATTAAAAACTGCTCCCGAATAACAACTACATGTCGCTTGCAGCTTAAGCCCCGGCTTGTCCATCGCAGCAGCTCATTCTTAGTCCACGTCTCTGATTTAGTGGAGTTAGACAGACGCGCAGGAAGCACTCTTCCACAGCCACCCATCCTTACTTCTCGAACCAAAACAAGTACCAGAACCCGGGACGTAGTTCGACGTAACAGAGTTCCCCTTGCAATTGTAGTCGTCAAACAGGTAGCAGTTGCCCTTGGTCTGCGATCCGGCCTTGGACCAGATGTTTGCCGTGTTAATTGACAGGGAGTTTCCGGGCATGTTCAGCTGGAAGCACTCGGCCTCCTGGCCGCCGTTGACCATCCAGCCGATGAGCGGGGACTTGCTCCACCAGCAGGCCGCCTCGCCGGTGTACTTGGTGCAGCTCTTGTCGGTGTAGAAGTTGATCTGTGCTCCCTTGTCTGTTTGGTAGGTGGCGATGGCGGGCTGTGCCAGGCCGGCGACTGCGGCCGCGACTGCAATGATGCTGGAGCTGTGCATTTTGGTGTTTTTGTGCTTGTGTATGACCGAGTTAGATTAAGTAGGCTGAATGTCGTTAGTCGTTAAGGAATGAGTAAGAGATGAGAATGAGAGTGAGATGGTATGTTCACTTTTCTGGTTGAGAGGGAACAAACGGCTTTCTTATACAGCCTAGAAGCATGGCAAATATTACCATTTCGCCTTGAGCGTTATGCTTTACGAACTGCCCAGAGGAATGACCCCGGAAAGTGAAACGAGCGGGTGAGTTCGTATAACCAACAATAGGACTGCTTGATTCTCATTCCCAATACTTGACTCAGCGCTTTCTGGAAATCTACCCACCAGACGCATGAAATGAAAATTTTCTTGCAGCCAATGGGGCATTGCAGGAGTGAGCTTTCTCTTTGCTAGCGCAGTAGGGCTGAGCTCGGAAGAGAACTTGGTCTGACATAAGATGGGGCTGGTTATCCGACTTGCATCCCCTCTTTCAAATATTAGCGAGGAAAATTGCCGCCGGGGTAAATCCATGATAGTTACGCGAATAGCCAATCTAGATGCGACTTTAATCTACTTACGAGATTGTAATAAACTCGTAAGCTGGCTGATCTGAAGAGGGAATTTACGACTCACAAAAGTTCTCACAACAATTTTCGCGCATTACCAGTCTGCCTTCCACGTGAGATAGATTCAAATCATATTGACTAGTAATAAAGTCCTAGTATAGCTGGCAATGCTTGCTGGATTATCCTATCAACGCGTATCATACACGTCATAGATGATAATTAATATCTATTATATAAAGAGTGTAGTAGTCTATACTAACTAATGGAAATAAAATGATTGTAAGTCTATGAATATCTATTAATAATGAGTCGCTGTTTCTATTCACATGCTAATATCGCTCTATACATTCTCGCATGCCCTTGATTAAAGGTTTTTGGGGCATTTCGCGCGGATCCTAGATCCGAAGATTTGGAAGATGATAGGAACTGGTACTAAGACCAAGGAAAGGAAGGCCAAGATGCTGTTGCCCCAACCCAGCCCAAGGTCATCATACATGGACAAGCCGGCAAGGGGTAGCATAGCACCAGCCAGAGATCGAAGAACTGTAACAGCTGCCACGACAGAGGCCGCGTATGAGATGTAGGCGTCGATAAGGTATGTTTGAAGGCACATCTGCGTCTTGTTAGCGGATATTGCATCTCTTAGGATTGAAGATAGAGCTTACCATGATGCCCATCAGGCCGAAACAGAACAGCGCAACACCAATCATCGGTACAATCCAATGGGCGTTCTTGTCAGCTGACCATCCGTACCAGAAAAGAGATACCACGATCAGCAATCCACATGGGGCGGTGAGGTATATTGGCATACGATCCTCAGGCACAGCCTGTCCATTTTGGGCAATCTTTCGCTTGATGATGATATCTGCGATAATGCCAAAAGTGATGGTGCCGAGAAGCATGCCGACACCGGTTGGGATGTATGCAAGGCCGATAGTGCCTGTGCCGAAGCCATATTGCTGGGCAAAGACAAACGTGAATGTGCTGAACATGAGATATAGGACTCCGTAAACTACAGCGACGTAGAGAGATAGAATGAAGACGGGTAGTTGAGTGAACAACATCTTCATAGGTCGGACAATGGCGAGCTCGAGTCGTTTCTGCTTTGTGAGACCGTCTTGATCAAGCACGGAATAGAGGCTATCATTTCCAGTCTCCTTCTTGAGCTTCTTGACTTTGTTTCGAAGTAAAGTCGGGTGGTATGTCTCGGGGGCGGCGAAGTAGCAAAGAATTGAGATGGCTCCGGCCTATTGTTGAGTTAGAAAGTGTAAGAGCCAGCCACAAGCTTGACCAAGTTGTGTATACTAAGGGGCAAGCTTACGAATATCGCAATGACCCAAAAGACCCATCGCCACCCCAGAGCCTCAATCATGTAACCTCCTGCCAGCGGCCCAATGCAAGGCCCCAGCAACGGACCCATAGCCCACACAGCCATGGCCTTGCCACGCTCCTCGACGGGAAACATGTCGGATATCGTCCCGCTTCCGTTGGTGACAGGAGTAGATCCCGTGAATCCCATCATGAATCGGAATACGATCAGCATCGGCATGTTCTTGCTGAGTGCAGTTGCTACTGTCATAATGATGAAGAGAACATTGGCGACATTAAAAACAATGGCTCGACCGTAGATTTCGCTAAGAGGGGCTGCGAGGAGGGGACCGAAGGCGAATCCGAGAACGTATACCGATACCACAAACGTTGCGATGCTCGAGTTGAATTCTTTAAATTCCTGCATAATATCTGGGACACCGGGGGCAAACATTGAAGAACCCTATGAAGTGGTTAGTGATAATGGCGGGATGGTGACTACACATGGTACACACAAGAGGCCTAAGTGAATGTTAGCTTGATGGTTGTATGCAACAGGTCATGTGAACCTACGTTAATAGAGTCATGACGGACAAAGCACCGATGCAGATCCATTTCTTTCGAGGGGCCCAATTCAAAGGGTTCTCTGGGTCATCAGGGCCGTTCCAGTTGACAGCATTCGGATCGTCTGCCGTAACGTTGGAAGCCTCGCCTTCATTGTCGTTGTCGGTCGTGCTGACTGCAGCTTCCTCATCCGTATTCTTCATAGCTGCTTCGCTCGGTTTGTACGAAGGGGTGAGTGTTCTTTGACTTTCGGGCCTGTCAATATCATCCAGCTTGATGGCCTGCAGGGATTTTTCCGTAGCCATGGTGTTTGGTCGATTCGATGCTACCTCAAGCCACCATAGGGTTTCACACTTCCGAAGACAAAGCCTCTAGGAGAAGAGAAAAAAGAAAGCTTGGGAAGTCCATTTATTAAAAACAATGTAACGTGTAGAGCTGAGTCCCTTCTGCGTTGCCCCACCCACTATTTCCCCATGTTACGGAACCGAGACCGAGAACGAGCCAACCAACACACTTGTTCACCCCCCAATAGCTACTGTCCGCGTGCACTAATGTAAGATTTGTGTGCCGCTAACAGCGCATTATTCGTTGAATCGGCTCATCGGACCCGTCCAGCTGCCCGAAAACCGTTGCGTGCCGCAGTCGGACTCTGGAGCTGTTCATAAAGGGGGTCCCGACGTGGTTGGTTATGCAACACCCTTCGGCAGCATCAGCTTCCGGGCCAAGAATTATGCAGATCCCCCGACCAAAAGGTGGTTTTATGAGCAATGGGCCCACTCCTTCCAACCTTTTTCTATTATCCAAGGCTCGGGAGGAAATAGAACGGGATCTTGTCCCAGCATTTCGCGAGATTTGTTAGTCGTTTCTCGGAGGAAGCCGAGATGGAAGCCGAGACTAGACCAGCATAAATTTTTCCCCTGTATTCACATTCGGATTTTGGACACCTGATTAGTTGTTGATACAGGCGGGCATGAAAAGATGACACAACGCCCTTCAAAATGGCCAGATAACGCGCACGCTCAGAGCGCGTAAGCCCCTACATTGAAGGAACATTTGGGCGAAATATGAATCAAAATAACAAAACGCCATCAAGATAACCCGTATATGTCAATGTGGCTACTGTGCATGACTTAATTTCGTGTTTCCTCCGCGTAACTTTGATGTTCCGCGATTCTAGGCCCACCATTGCATTTGGACCGCCGGAAGTCAGACCCTCCGGAAAAGCTTATGCCAGAGCATAACTTTCTCCCGTGCTCCCCACAGTTGGACTTGCCTTAAATGAAGCATAACTGCTGTCGGTCCGGATCTAAGCCTCATTAATCTATTCTTCTCAAAGTATCCATCGTCAAGGTTAATCACTCTTCAATATGTAAAAGACGGCTGGGGTTCGCAAGCTTTATACATGGTCGAATTTGAGGACTCAATACTTCAAAGCATGGTCGTGTACCAACACGGCCTAACTATCGACTTGTTTTCCAGTGAACCCCTTTTGGTGGCTTAATTGCGCAGCTTAATTCCTTCAATACCTATAAAAATAGCGTCAATGTTTTCTGGGAAGACTAAGAATGCCTAATTACTTACGCCAAGAGGTAGCACAAGACGTCTGTGACTGCGTGTTGTTGAGGCTTAGGTCTCCTCGCCTACCCTAGAGGTGCATCACCGGAAAGCCTCACTTTCTTCTGCGAAGCCGTGGGTGCTGTCGAGGGGCTGCTCTAAAATCTGCATTCCTTAATAGATTAGACTTAATATCCTACCATTAGCCTGGCTTTTAGTCATAGGGTAGTTAGCATGAGCATGTCCTCTTGCATTTGCAAGGTCATCACATGTACAAATAGGTTGTCCCCCCGAGCCAGCGATTTGAAATTTCCTGGCTAATAATGGTGAGACTTTGCTCGCTAGGAAAAGAATTGTATCTGGAGTGAGACCCGCATGACTCATACAAGGGTGAGCAATGTCAAAATTCAAGTTTTTAGCAAGGGCAAGTCGGAGCCTCATAGATTCCCTAGGAACCACAAACGCAAAAAAAAAATATAAAGAAACCAGTTAAGACTGAGCAGGAGCACTAATGATTTGTATTTCTTCGTGTTGAAAGAATTAAATAGTTTTTACAGGCATCGCAAGTCCCCCTCAATATCAAAATTCAATCCGTTGCATCATGGAATAAGGCCTGGTGCCCATCAGTCGCTTGCAAAGTAGTACCTAAGGTATTGAAGGTACCTTACAGAAAGATGTATCTCCATCATCACAGGAATGAACAAGCCCCTGAGTGATTCAGATAGTTTCAATTGACAAATGGAACCCTCCAGTCCTTTCAGCTCTCTCAAATAGGGTTTTGATGGCATGACATACAGCAAAAGTCCCTCGCACTGGATGCCGATGAGGGCACAAGCACCCTCAGGAGCTTACGGTACGTAAGATTAAGGTAAATTCAGATAGCCCAATGAAGAAGCATTGGCAGCTACTGTAGCTTTGCCAAGAATTGGGTTGGAATGCGTCTCTTCAGGAATTCTGAAGTGTAAGGTTGTCTCGGGTAAGACCGTTATTGAGGGTAACGGGGCTTATCGTTGATGGTATTTGCATTAGAGCCATGCCGAGCACTAGGGACGGGCACGGGAACTTAGCATTTTACGTCTAGTAAAGCTTTCTTTAAAGTTCAGTTGATGATGAGTTTGAATACCTCAATCATGCTCACATTTGCTCATGGGCAAAGCTCAAGGTGGAGCCCATGGCTTTGACCCTATTATTATGAATGTGAAACACGGATGTCAAAACGACTGAATGCTTTTGTGCGCGCAAGAGAGTATTCAAAAACGATCTGTTTGAATCTATTGCTCTGAGACATCACGAGATGGGATTAAAGAGCTGCTGTAGTGACAAGGCCGCCAGCCGTTATTGCACTACCTGACTAACATGTAACGGTTGGTCGCATTCCTTACAAGCGTAGGCTCATACCAGCAGTAACCTGATAGTTGAGACTTTCCCAAATTGAGTACAATGTGCCATATGCTAGACATATGTTTCGACCACAGCCGCAGGCCACGGGGCCAAAATCTGCCGGAAAAGTTAATCATGTCGCAGCCACATTCCCACACTTTGCCAAAGCAGAACCCCAGGCATAACGAGCGGCAGGGGCTATGTCTTGCATTTCAAGGGAGGCACAAAACTCGGATCATGGCAAAATTATATATAGAGAAGGCCTATGGCCAATTTTCGAAGTGCATGAAATCCTAAGAACAGAGCAACATCAGACTTCATCTGCACAAGTCCCGATAATCCACCAACTCCTCAAACCCACTTCCCTGTTCATCAATATGAAGGCCTCACTTTCCGTTGTTCTTTTATTTACATCTGGCCTTCTAGCCAGCCCTGTTCCTGAGGCTGCCTCTTCAGTCACCTCAGCCCAGAGCACTCTTCCCACTCCACTTACTCTCCCGACCCCTGCCGTTCTCCCGGCACTCCCTGATGAGACTACTCCCGTGGATCCCTTCATCACCCCTAAGAAGTGTCGGGTAAGTTTGAATACACCTCTCCTCAATGACGGTTATTTAAGATGTGTTCGTATGATACTAAATGAAGGGACATGACAGAAGCCAAACCAAGTATGGGTTGAGTGTGGATCAGCATGCCCTGCCAGGTGCTGGCAGCCGCCTCCCACCTTCTGCACACTGCAGTGCGTTATCGGGTGTCAATGCGCACCGGGATACTTCTTGAACAAGGTATGTCGATATCAAGATTCCTTTTTGCAAGATTGTGATATGCTAACATGGCTCAAGGCTGGCGCTTGCGTGTCGGCTCTCTCGTGCGTGTGGGATATTTTCAACAAGAGTTCTTAAACTCGAGGTGGAGAGTTTTTACCCATGGCCATGCTTGTATGCGAGTCTATCAATAGTTCTTTAGATCTCGAGAAAATGTCAAGAGAAAGCTTTTTGTTTTGGGCCGAAGTGACTTGCCCTTGACCTTTGATTACTCGCCCGAATGTTGCCAAACAGACGAGGAAGCGTTACAGTTAGGCTTTCTGACTGTAATTAGTCGCCCGAACTTATTGAAACGTAGATTGACACTGTACATCATCGAATTTGAATGCCCAAGTCGCCGTTTCGAGAATTGTGGTGGAGTCTCTACTAGGGTACATAGTCCCCACGATCGCTTCACCTGTCACATACGACCATACCCACTCGAAAACACGCGATCCCGTCCGCTCTCGCCTAGTTAAACGGGTGAGGGGCGGATTAGTAGTTGGGTCGGTGACGACCAGCGAATACCTGCTGTTGTATGTTCTCTTTTGCCATTTTTTTTTGTTATGTGTTCTCTTTTGCCATTTTTTTTTTATCTTTATGTACCTTAGGTACATAAAGATATACATACAACTCCTTGTAGCAGAGTGACAATGGGTGTACCGTAGTCTCTGTCCTCGTAGTTTTGTCTCTACTTGACCTTATGTGTATATTTGCAGGGAAGTTTGGAGAGAATCTAAAACCTGACATGGACAAAAATGAAGCGGGGGATTTGGAACGAAGCGGAACATCTTTCCTACTATTGATAGTGCACCGACTCAAATTAATAGTAGCATATGCTCACCGGTGACCACTGAACTTGGGGTGAATTATAGTTTACTCTCGATGGCAGTAGCCTGTGTTATTAAAATTGGGATAGTCACAGAAGAACAATATATTAAGACCCTGAAGCCTTCAATTTTCCATAAATCCAAAGGGAATTAACTGCAATAACAAGAATAACAAACCAGCCCGACTGTTTCAGTTGATGAGTGAAGAGAAGAAGAAAAAACCAAGTACACAATCTGATGAACCCTCTCTCTGATACTTTTCGATTTCCTTCGCACACAGATTTACCTTCAACTTTTGTTCTCTGAGACACCTTGGGTCCAATGTCCAACGCCAACTCCTTTCTTAGAGAAAAATTTCTCTGTCAGTATCCTTCTTCATCCGTGTAAAAAGTCATTGGTCGATGACATTTGACGAATTCTGTTGACCAACATAGTAGGTCAACTCACTACGCTTGGGATGGCTTGTCAGAATTGCGGGAAACCTTGCAACTTTGTGGGGGAGTCACAAACTCATCCGCACCGTCGCTGCTTGTATCCGAAGGCGAGGTAGATGGAGGGGTAGGGTTGGCCTCGATCGGTTCCGGAGGAGCCATGGCGCAAAAGATCAAGGAGATTAAGTAGCCAGGCCACTCTCGAACCACGAATCTGGGAGTTGACATGAGCTTGGACATGCACGCGGCAGCTCGCATGACGAAGACATGAATTAGAGCAGAGTCGTTATTTTCCTTGAGTGCCGCCGCCATGAGGTCGGGCAGCACGGTGATGGGGCAGTTGTGCTTGAGAGACTTCAACAGCTTTTCGCGGCTCAGCTTCTCGAGCTCAGGAATTTCGTACTTCATAGCCACGGAGTTGACGAGGATGTGATGGAGGAGCGTGTCGAAGCATTTCTTCTCGGAACCCTTGAGGGTGGTCGTGTGCTCGGTGTTAAGCTCGGGCAGAGGTTTGTTGTTGTAGTTCTGTGCGGTCAGAGGCTTCTGATCGGGACCAAGGGTGTAGTTCTTGGTGTAGAGAAATTCGATCATGGATTGAACGACAGCGGGCTCATCGTCTTTGAACTTGAAGGCGCTGATGGGAAGACCCTGAAAGGAGCGGTTTATGTTAACTTCTCCTCAAAGAAAGGTAAGGGACGTCGTGGGCGGTGCCATTTACATACCTTGTATTCTTGAATGAGATTATTGTTGATGACAGGCGACTACTTACAAACGACATCCTTATGAAGAGTGAAGGGAAGCTTATTACAGACAGCAATCAAATCGCAACCATCACCAGTTCGAACGGCTTCAAGTTTCTATCTGGCAGATCTTTACATCCGTCTCTGAGCAGAGGACTTGGGAGCCATGACGAAGAGCGAGTGGTGAAGTTTCTTGGAAAGGTTGAGTGGTTTAGGTGCAGAGATATAGCAAAGAAAATGAAGAGGGCTCAATGAAAGCGAAGAGTTTCGTGATATGAGATGACCAGGACTTTGCATGTAGGTGGTTTAAAGAAGAAGAAATGGCATCTACGGAATTTCAAAGGGAGGCGTTTTGTATCCGGACGAGGAGGGAAAGTAACTTTGGTTTCACCCGGCCTCTGTGATTCACTGCACACGGAATAGCAGCGAGGGGAGAAGTACCAAGTATCAAAAGACAACCGCTCCGGTTACTGGCTGCTCGAGATACTGCGGAGGGCACTGCAATATTTATCGTACCTGGACTGGCCAATGACATTTACCACTAAGCGAGACTTTACAGGCTACCTGTTCCAAAGTTTGCTCTCTTACTGTGATTTAGAACTATGCTAAGTAGTTCATTTCTATTATGAGAATCTCAGACGCCATTGAACACGATGCAACTACTCTGTGTAACTGAACTGCAACGCCACGTGACTGTCGAGTTGAACATATGTGGATGAGCTCTACCGCAGTGAAGGAAACAATTCTGGCAACAGTTAACCATTGCATCGCAAAAATGAACATATATTAATGCAAACAGTTGTGAGCCATCTGATGAAGTATGTTGGTAATCCGTGTTGTGGATTATTAACAATAGAACTCGTGAGTCACGCGATGGCATGGGTGACGATCTCAACACGCGCTTTGAGAGCTCCCATTGGTGATTAGACAGATCATACGAGTCAAGATTGCTCATCAAATACGAAAGCACCTGCCTAACTTGGTAGAATACAGCGCTCAGTTCATTGGCTGGGGCCCGATACCTGGATGCACGATTGTTCGACCAGACAACTGGGACAAAATGCAGGGAGACTTGAGACAGTGTCGCCCAGATAATTATGAAAAGGAACATCTAAGTAGCATTTCTTCAGAGATTACAACGCCTTTTTAACCATTTTGCGTGTTGCTTGTTGCCAAGGCGATCGGACCATCATGGCCGGCAAAGTGGAGATGAGATAACTCGCGTTCCCCAATTGGCCGTAACAAAAGGTCCTTGACTCCTGACGGCAGAGGAATTGAATGCTGAGGGTACTGCTCCCGGTCTGGTTAGGCCGTTGGGTGTAAGCAGAGCCCATAATAAGTTTCCCTGGTCCCCAGGAGATCTCTGGGCTAAGCGAGCACCACCAGTTCACGCAACTCAAACATTACTCTAGTGTCACACTAGCCTGTGAAGGTCATTGCGCGTGCTGCGGACTTGGAGGCAGGGAAAGGCCCTGGGACTTCCCGTACTTCGAATACACAATGCCTTTCTCGTCTGGGGAAGAAAATTTCCTCCAGCTCAACCAAGATGATTTTGACTTCAACATTCAGTTTGAGCAAATATTCTTTGCCATAATCCCATCCACGCTGTTCATCTTAAGCTCTCTATGGCGGACAGTGTCCCAAGCAAGGAAGCCCAATATCGTGGATGCTCCGATATTTCAACTCATTAAGCTCGTGCGTGGAAACCCTGCGGCGGCTACAACTTCGTGGCCTAGAAAATCCAGCTAAACACTAATCCTATGTCTAGGCGACAATTACTGCATACGCCGGTCTCGAACTGTCCCAACTTATCCTCGTTGCCGTTGGCTCATTCATCGTCACCAAGGTCTTCTTGGCGGCCTCGGTCCTGAAGCTTGTTTCGGCCCTTTTCATGGTATCACTTAGTTTCGTGGATCATAGAAAGAGCCCAAGACCTTCAGTACTCCTCAGCAGCTACCTCTTTTTCACCCTCATCCTCGATGCGGCCCAAGCCAGAACGCTCTTTCTCTCATCAGAGGCTAAACCCGAACTCACATACAGCAGTCTTTTCAGTACCGCAATCGCTTTCAAGGTGATAATCCTAATTTTGGAAGCTCAGAGGAAATCTAGGTGGGTCAGCTGGGACGAGAAGGAGCACAGTCCTGAGGAGACAAGCAGTATTTTCTCCATCGGTGTCTTCTTTTGGCTCAACCGCATCTTTTTCGATGGCTACACAAAGATTCTCCGCCTGAAGGACCTTTATCCTCTCGATAGCACCTTGCACAGCCAGCGACTCCATGGCGAATTTTCCAAGCATGTCGACTACGCGAAGCTGAAGACAGACAAGTTTGGTCTCGTCAAGGTTCTGGTACGAACCCTGACGGTTCCGTTGCTTCTGCCTGTTCCCCCGCGTCTTGCTCTTCTTGCTTTCACATTTTGCCAGCCGCTTTTCATCGAGAAACTCCTGGAACATCTTTCCAAGTCAGAAGTTGATGGAAATGTTGGATATGGATTCATTGGCGCCAGTTTGTTGATTTATGCAGGAATTGCCATCTCCACCGCCCTTTATTGGTAGGATGCCAACCTTTCATGTAACCTGACTTTCGCTGATCATTCTTCCCGTCTAGGTACTTTCATCATCGAATGCGCACAATGACCAGCTCCATCCTGATTACCGAGATCTTTATCAGGGCGACAAAGGCTCAAATTGGTGTAGGCAGCGATACGGCTGCCCTGACGTTGATGAGCACGGACATTGAGCGAATCAATCTGGGTTTCAAGCTTTTCCACGATATCTGGGCCAGTATTATCCAGGCAGCTGTGGCCGCTTGGCTGCTACACGCACAGCTTGGCACAGCATTTGTTGCCCCTATGGTCACTGTGATGCTCTGCACGCTGTGTCTTGGAGTTTTACTAAAGTACACCGGCACTTCCCAAAGACTATGGATGGCTGGAGTTCAGAAGCGGGTAGGTCTGACGGCTACGGTGATCGGCAGCATGAAGAACCTCAAGATATCGGGTCTCTCCATCGCCGTTCGAGATTTTGTGCAGCAGCTCCGTGTGGATGAGCTGGATACAGCATCGATGTTCAGAAAACTCACGATTCTGGCTGCCCTCTTTGGGTACATCCCACTCTTGGCCGGGCCGCCGCTCACATTTGCGTTTGCTCAGCGGACACTGGACAATGCGAAGATGTTTACGAGTCTGTCTTATCTCTTGCTTCTGACAAACCCTCTTTCGCAAGTCTTTCAGGCCATTCCCCAACTTCTTTCAGGGCTGGCCTGTTTGGGCCGAATCCAGGAGTTTCTTGCTTGCGAAACACGCGACGATTTCCGACAAGTCTTATCTGATATGAATAGAGAGTCAGAGAAGGAAAAGTCGCAAGCTACAGTGGTCCCAGATTCGCTTGCAGAATCTGCAGCCCCGATCACTATCAAGAAAGGAAGCTTTGGATGGGAAGCCGATAAGTTCGTGTTAACAGACATCAACACAGAGATCCCCAGATCCTCCCTCACTATCGTTGTTGGCCCGGTTGGTTCAGGCAAATCATCACTTTGCAAGGCCCTCCTTGGAGAAATCCCGTTTCGTCAAGGCGATGTACTTTTGAGCACAAGATTCCCACATGTTGGATTCTGCGACCAAACAGCCTTCCTCTCAAATGGAACGATCCGGGATAACATTATAGGATTTTCTCCCTTTGATGAAGAAAGATATGGGGAAATTGTCGCGGCTACATCTCTCACCTATGACTTTGGGACTTTACCTCAAGGGGACAAGACGAATATTGGCTCTGATGGTATTACATTGTCCGGAGGCCAAAAGCAACGTGTTTCTCTGGCTCGCGCCCTGTACCTGCAATCTGACCTTTTAGTCCTTGATGATATTTTTAGTGGCTTGGATGCAGACACTGAAGAACAAGTATTCCGACAAGTCTTTGGCCCTGGCGGGCTTCTCAGACGTCGAGGTTCGACTGTGGTATTATGCACTCACAGTATCAGGCATCTACCCCTAGCAGATTACATCATTGCTTTAGGCAACGGTATAATTGCTGAGCAGGGTAGCTTCGCGAAACTGATGGCTCATCAAGGATACGTCCAAGGTTTAGGATTGAACAGCTCGTCCGACAGTGATGCTTCATCCGTGGAGTCACCAATTGATGCTGCGAGTCCAAAGATGCCACGTCTCCGTACAATCGCAACCACTGCATCCTCAGTCGAGCCAGACATTGATGAAACGCGACGAGTGGGTGATAAGACAGTCTACAAGCATTATTTCAAGAGCATGGGGTGGTTTGTGGCCATCTTTTGCCTTGTTATGGGCGTGTGCTGGGGCTTCTTTACAAACTTCCCTACAATCTGTATGCATCCCCATATCAAGCAACATTTTGAACGTATAGGAGAACGTTTGCTGACTGCTTTGGAATGACAGGGCTTACATTCTGGACTGCTGACCTTAATTCAGCGAACCCATCCCGGAGCTACGCATACTACGCTGGAATGTACGGCTTACTGCAGTTCTGTGCTATTATGTCACTTCTATTATTAGGCTGGGCCATCATCATCACATCTGTGACTAAGGCTGGTGCTAGTCTTCACTGGGGAGCTCTGAAAACCCTTGTGAGCGCACCTCTGCGGTTCTTCACTGCTACCGACACGGGAGTTGTGACAAACTTGTTCTCACAAGACATGAATTTGATTGACATTGAACTTCCAAATGGTCTGTTGAACACCATATACAGTGTAAGAAACTCCCTGAATTCCACTTCGTAGTTCAAGCTTGCGTTGCAATTGCAATTAGGAGCTTACTCGACGTTTCTTATACAGGTTTTTCAAGCCCTTGGTCAAGCAGCCGTCATGTTGACCACGTCTCCTTACATGGCAATCAGTTATCCGTTCCTTTGCATCTTGTTGTATATCGTGCAAAGATTCTACCTTCGGACGTCTCGACAGTTGAGATTACTGGATCTTGAGGCTAAGAGTCCCTTGTAGTAAGTTTACCATGACAGAGTGTCTCCTAGAATGCTAATGCGGACTATCATTAGC